TAACACAGAGACCCATAGACTAACACGGTGACCCATATACTCACACAGAGACCCATAGACTAACACAACGACCCATAGACTCACATGGCGACCCATAGACTCACACAGCGACCCATAGACTAACACGGTGACCCATAGACTCACACAGAGACCCATAGACTAACACGGTGACCCAGAGACTAACACGGTGACCCATAGACTCACACAGAGACCCATAGACTAACACGGTGACCCATAGACTCACACAGAGACCCATAGACTAACACAGCGACCCATAGACTAACACAGCGACCCATAGACTAACACAGCGACCCATAGACTAACACAGAGACCCATAGACTAACACAGCGACCCATAGACTAACACAGCGACCCATAGACTAACACAGAGACCCATAGACTAACACAGCGACCCATAGACTAACACAGCGACCCATAGACTAACACAGAGACCCATAGACTAACACAGCGACCCATAGACTAACACAGCGACCCATAGACTAACACAGCGACCCATAGACTAACACAGAGACCCATAGACTAACACAGCGACCCATAGACTAACACAGCGACCCATAGACTAACACAGAGACCCATAGACTAACACAGAGACCCATAGACTAACACAGCCACCCATAGACTAACACGGCGACCCATAGACTCACACGGTGACCCATAGACTAACACAGCGACCCATAGACTCAGATGGTGACCCATAGACTAACACGGCGACCCATAGACTCACACGGTGACCCATAGACTAACACGGTGACCCATAGACTCACACGGTGACCCATAGACTTACACGGCGACCCATAGACTCAGATGGCGACCCATAGACTAACACAGAGACCCATAGACTCATACAGAGACCCATAGACTAACACGGTGACCCATAGACTAACACAGCGACCCATAGACTAACACGGTGACCCATAGACTCACACGGTGACCCATAGACTAACACAGAGACCCATAGACTCACACAGAGACCCATAGACTCACACGGTGACCCATAGACTAACACGGTGACCCATAGACTCACACGGTGACCCATAGACTTACACGGCGACCCATAGACTCAGATGGCGACCCATAGACTAACACAGAGACCCATAGACTCACACAGAGACCCATAGACTCACACGGCGACCCATAGACTCATACAGCGACCCATAGACTCACACAGCGACCCATAGACTAACACAGCGACCCATAAACTAACACAGCGACCCATAGACTAACACGGCGACCCATAGACTAACACAGAGACCCATAGACTAACACAGCGACCCACAGACTAACACAGCGACCCATAGACCCATACAGCGACCCATAGACTCATACAGCGACCCATAGACTAACACAGCGACCCATAGACTCACACAGTGACCCATAGACTAACACGGTGACCCATAGACTCACACAGAGACCCATAGACTAACACGGTGACCCATAGACTCGCACAACGACCCATAGACTAACACGGTGACCCATAGACTCACACGGTGACCCATAGACTAACACAGAGACCCATAGACTCACGCAGAGACCCATAGACTAACACAGAGACCCATAGACTCACACAGAGACCCATAGACTAACACGGTGACCCATAGACTCGCACAACGACCCATAGACTCAAACGGTGACCCACAGACTCACACAGCGACCCATAGACTCACACAGCGACCCATAGACTAACACAGAGACCCATAGACTAACACAGAGACCCATAGACTAACACGGCGACCCATAGACTAACACAGCGACCCATACACTAACACAGCGACCCATAGACTAACACAGAGACCCATAGACTAACACGGTGACCCATAGACTAACACGGTGACCCATAGACTAACACAGAGACCCATAGACTAACACAGCGACCCATAGACTAACACGGCGACCCATAGACTAACACGGCGACCCATAGACTAACACAGCGACCCATAGACTAACACAGCGACCCATAGACTAACACAGAGACCCATAGACTAACACAGCGACCCATAGATTAACACAGCGACCCATAGACTAACACAGAGACCCATAGACTCACACAGAGACCCATAGACTAACACAGCCACCCATAGACTAACACGGCGACCCATAGACTAACACAGAGACCCATAGACTAACACAGCGACCCATAGACTAACACAGAGACCCATAGACTAACACAGCGACCCATAGACTAACACAGCCACCCATAGACTAACACGGCGACCCATAGACTCACACGGTGACCCATAGACTCACACAGCGACCCATAGACTCAGATGGTGACCCATAGACTCACACGGCGACCCATAGACTAACACAGCGACCCATAGACTCACACGGTGACCCATAGACTAACATGGTGACCCATAGACTCACACAGAGACCCATAGACTAACACAGCGACCCATAGACTAACACAGCGACCCATAGACTAACACAGAGACCCATAGACTAACACGGCGACCCATAGACTAACACAGCGACCCATAGACTAACACGGCGACCCATAGACTAACACAGCGACCCATAGACTAACACAGCGACCCATAGACTAACACAGAGACCCATAGACTCACACAGAGACCCATAGACTCACACGGTGACCCATAGACTAACACAGAGACCCATAGACTCACACAGAGACCCATAGACTGACACGGCGACCCATAGACTAACACAGCGACCCATAGACTAAGACAGAATAATTTTATTGTTTTACAATAATTGTATTGTTTTATATTTTTATTATTTTATTGTTTCCCTTCTACGTGACTTTACCGAAAGAACCAAGAAATATAAGCATAACGTGTTGTCTATATTTATTTAAAGTTGCGCATTTTTATGGGACGTCACATTTCTCACCCCCACTCGTCACACATCGTCACAAATGTCTGACCCGCCCCCCCTCCTAGGTGCGTGACGTCATTTACGGACGGCCCCGTATACATGACGTTCCAGGCAACGGTACTTCTTCACAGCACACCGGCATGAAACGCGACGTGTACGAGGGTTGTCCCCCACGTGGTGATGCAGCTCCGTGCCGTGTGCGCTAAGGGACTGTGCGATCATCACGGCTCCTGTCTCCTACGATATATCGCGATACGATTTTAGACCGTCGCCATGACGTCACGCGGTGGGTGACGTCATCACAGATTATTTTAACGTGGGTGGTTGCATGACGTCATCACCGATTATTTCGATGTGCGCGTGGAAGCAGGTGACGTGACGTCATCACCGATTATTTCGACGTCCGCGTGGAAGCAGGTGACATGACGACATCGCGAGCAACGGTTAGTTCGACTGGAATCGAATAAAAATGTTCTCGATTCTGGTTTAGATTTTTTTTTAGAGCGTGAAGTTTCGCGATGTAAGATTCTTCTTATTATTCTTGGTTCTTTCGGTAAAGTCACGTTGAAGGGAAACAATAAAATAATAATATATTATTTACGTTTAACACGTAGGCTTTCGCGACCAATATTATTCATAATAAAGGTTTTTGGGTTAGATCGCGTTATTTATAAATGTGTCGTAACCCTCCACCACCCGACACGGCCAATCAGAAAAAAAAGTGTCACGTTGACAAAAAACAAATAATTCACTACTTTAACCCACCGGTGTGTTGAAGAGTGAATCCACAAACATTTACAGTAGTCGGGTGGTGGAGGGTTACGACACATTTATAAATAACGCGATCTAACCCAAAAACCTTTATTATGAATAATATTATTATTTTATTGTTTCCCTTCTACGTGGTGACTTTACCGAAAGAACCAAGAATATGAATCCCTGCAGTCACGAAAGCTTTAAATCAAGATTATTATTCTTGTTGTTGTTGTTGGCGGAGGAACGATTCAAGAAACGTGGCGATTTAAAAACTAACCGCGGCACGCACAGAAGCATCAATTCTAGATTTGAAGCTGTCGTGACTGCAAGGATCCACACTCCTTGGTTCTATTCGGTAAAGTCACGTAGTAGGTAAAAAAATAAAATAACAAAAAATCACGACGTTTCGGCCACAACGCAAGCGGCCTTCATCAGGTGAAGGGACCGGACTGTCTCGAGGACAGCGTTGGAGTGAAGAAAGTCAAGGACGCGACCTGGTTTGACTTTCTTGATTCCAGCGCTGTCTTCGTGACAGCGCGGTCCCTTTCACCTGATGAAGGCCACTTGTGTTGTGGCCGAAACGTCGTGATTTTTGTTGTTTTATTTTTTACCTACGTGACTTTACCGAACAGAACCGAGGAGGTACAGAAGCATTGTCCTCTGAAGGCACTGAATGTTTTGCGGGGTCCTGAATGTTAATCAAACGCTTTGGGGGGGGGGGGGGGGGGTATCTGCATATAAAAGATACTGTCATGCTGAAAAACAAATATATACAGTGGTACATTATATATTAAAAAACATTTAAATGCGAAGCAATGATGCACAATTCACACAAATGTAACTGCTGTTTTAATATAATTATATTGTATTTCTACATACGTGACTTTACCGAAAAAAAAACAATGAGTAATTTTACGCAGTCACGAAAGCTTTAATTATTTAGTAACTGCTGTACTTTATTAAAAATAAATGACCAAAACATAATAGCAATTCACACCAATAACTTGTGCAATTTGAACTTACCCGATTTATTTTACCTATTTCTAGTGCTTTGCAATCGTTACCTTTGCACTTTCATCGTTATGGACACGTGCCCCCTACCGGCACTTCTGTGATCAAAGAGCTTGATAGATCATCGGATTCCTCCAGCACTGAATCAATATCGATTCTGATGATTCTCTAACCAACACGTTTGCATCGATTCCACGAACCTCGCTTTACGAACTTTATCGTTTAATCGATTCTTGTGGAATTGATCCATGTGGAATCCATTCCCGTGCAATCGATTCAAGTGGAATCGTTTAATGCGCGATCTATTCTCGTGGAATCGAATCCAGTGGAATAGATTTTTTGTGGGATCCATTGTCGTGGAATCGATTTATAGAATCTAACCCATTGGAATCGATTCCACTCATCACCGCCTTCTACTTTGGCCACACGTGGTTCCTGGTGGTGGTGGTCTCGCAGAGGCTTGGGCCTGCTTTGTTGTTTTAATTACAGATATTCGCCATCGATATTAATAACAGAGATCAATCGGCGGCGTCGCTAGGTGCTTCGTGGTGCCGCTACTGGTTTGTTGCTGCTGCTGCGTACGGTGCGAAAGAAGTTCAAGGTCCAAGCATGGTAGGTGTGTTCGCGGTGTGTTCTCGCCCGGAGTACACGTGCCGCACCACGGCTGATATTAAAACTAAACTAAACTATTTAAGCTTTTACCGGGTAAGGCCCCACTGAGCTATGTAGCTTTATATATTATTTTTTTTAAATCAGAAGCCATCGCGAGTGGTAGCCCAAGGGAGTTTGTGTGTGTGTCGGTGAAAGATCTGGGCAAGGTCCCATCGGTGAGCTCCTCCGGCAGGCAAGGCTGCGTTGGCTGGGTCATGTAGCCCGCATGCCCAGCCACCGCATGCCGAAACAGCTTTTGTTCGGCCGGATCGAGGGGGCTAAGCGGGCGCGGCACGGGCTAGAGAAGAGATGGAGTGATGTGGTACAGGAGGACGTGGAGCTGAGTGGACTTGCCGATGACTGGTACCAGCGGTGTAAAGATCGGCCTCTGTGGAGGAGGCTCGTGAAGGACGCTACTGGGTAGTTGGAGGTAGTCGCCCAACAACAACGGAGGGCGGAGGAGCGACGCTCACAACAACGAGCGGAGCACCGGGGTGGCTAAAGCACAGCAGGTCGGCACAGTAGGGGGCACAGGTGGTGCATCAGCCAGTCATCTCAGTCAGTCGACCCGTGGCACCTGGGTCTGCCCCGTGACCTGCCAGCGGGCGTTCGACACTTCACGTGGCCTCAGGGTGCACATAGCCTGGCACAAGCGTCGTGGTGACGTCACCGCCACTTATGGCGAATGGCGGTTGTTGTTGTTGTGTCGGTGGGAGCGGTGGTGTAGCACATGAGGGGGCACGGGTGGTGGTGCATCGGGCAAGTCGTCTCGGTCAGTGGCAACCTGGGTCCGTCTGTCCCGTGACCTGCTACCAGCCGGCGTTCCACGCTTTTAACACGTGGCCTTGACGCGCACGTAGCCTGGCACGAGCGCCGTGGTGACGTCACCGCCACTTGGTGGCCAGTGGCGGTTGTTGTTGTTGATGTTGTTGTTGGACGCCTCGTGGTTGGCGCCGCGCTACGAAGCCAGCGACCCGTGTTCGATTTCCCGGCTCACGGCCAACACCACGGTGACGATTCCGTTCCTGGGCCTCCCCCTAGGTCGACTCGGCCTCAAACGAGTACCTGAGTGTAGCGCTGTGTAGTCAACCCCCGTTCTTCGTGTATCAAATGTGCTGCTCGATGACAGCACTTACGGGGGGCTGAGGATCTTTGTGTGGTGGTGGTGGTGGTGATCATTGTGTGGTGGTGGTGATCTTTGTGTGGTGGTGATCTTTGTGTGGTGGTGATCTTTGTGTGGTGGTGGTGGTGATCTTTGTGTGGTGGTGGTGGTGATCTTTGTGTGGTGGTGGTGATCATTGTGTGGTGGTGGTGATCTTTGTGTGGTGGTGGTGGTGATCTTTGTGTGGTGGTGGTGATCTTTGTGTGGTGGTGATGTTTGTGTGGTGGTGGTGTTGATCTTTGTGTGGTGGTGGTGTTGATCTTTGTGTGGTGGTGGTGATCTTTGTGTGGTGGTGGTGGTGCAGCTGAGGAGGCAGGCGCGGCTGCGCCGTGAGTACCTCTACCGCAAGGCGAACGAGGCCAAGAAGAACCTCGTGGAGGAGAAGAAGGCACGACTCAAGAGGGCGCTGGATGGTAACGGGCGGCGAGACGGTCCCAGAGACAGAGAGACAGATCTAGAGACAGATCTAGAGACAGTGAGACAGATCTAGAGACAGATCTAGAGACAGATCTAGAGACAGAGAGACAGATCTAGAGACAGTGAGACAGATCTAGAGACAGATCTAGAGACAGTGAGACAGATCTGGAGACAGATCTAGAGACAGATCTAGAGATAGATCTAGAGACAGTGAGACAGATCTAGAGACAGAGAGACAGATCTAGAGACAGAGAGACAGATCTAGAGACAGAGAGACAGATCTAGAGACAGAGAGACAGATCTAGAGACAGAGAGACAGATCTAGAGACAGAGAGACAGATCTAGAGACAGAGAGACAGATCTAGAGACAGAGAGACAGATCTAGAGACAGATCTAGAGACAGTGAGACAGATCTAGAGACAGAGAGACAGATCTAGAGACAGATCTAGAGACAGATCTAGAGACAGATCTAGAGACAGATCTAGAGACAGATCTAGAGACAGATCTAGAGACAGTGAGACACATCTAGAGACAGATCTAGAGACAGTGAGACAGATCTAGAGACAGTGAGACAGATCTAGAGACAGATCTAGAGACAGAGACAGATCTAGAGACAGATCTAGAGACAGATCTAGAGACAGATCTAGAGACAGATCTAGAGACAGTGAGACAGATCTAGAGACAGATCTAGAGACAGATCTAGAGACAGTGAGACAGATCTAGAGACAGTGAGACAGATCTAGAGACAGATCTAGAGACAGATCTAGAGACAGATCTAGAGACAGATCTAGAGACAGATCTAGAGACAGTGAGACAGATCTAGAGACAGTGAGACAGATCTAGAGACAGTGAGACAGATCTAGAGACAGATCTAGAGACATTGAGACAGATCTAGAGACAGATCTAGAGACAGATCTAGAGACAGATCTAGAGACAGATCTAGAGACAGATCTAGAGACAGTGAGACAGATCTAGAGACAGATCTAGAGACAGATCTAGAGACAGATCTAGAGACAGATCTAGAGACAGTGAGACAGATCTAGAGACAGTGAGACAGATCTAGAGACAGTGAGACAGATCTAGAGACAGATCTAGAGACATATCTAGAGACAGATCTAGAGACATATCTAGAGACAGTGAGACAGATCTAGAGACAGTGAGACAGATCTAGAGACAGATCTAGAGACATTGAGACAGATCTAGAGACAGATCTAGAGACAGATCGAGAGACAGATCTAGAGACAGATCTAGAGACAGATCTAGAGACAGATCTAGCGACAGATCTAGAGACAGATCTAGAGACAGATCTAGAGACAGTGAGACAGATCTAGAGACAGTGAGACAGATCTAGAGACAGATCTAGAGACAGATCTAGAGACAGATCTAGAGACAGTGAGACAGATCTAGAGACAGCGAGACAGATCTAGAGACAGCGAGACAGATCTAGAGACAGAGAGACAGATCTAGAGACAGAGAGACATATCTAGAGACAGAGAGACATATCTAGAGACAGAGAGACAGATCTAGAGACAGTGAGACAGATCTAGGGACAGATCTAGAGACATTGAGACAGATCTAGAGACAGATCTAGAGACAGATCGAGAGACAGATCGAGAGACAGATCTAGAGACAGATCTAGAGACAGATCTAGAGACAGTGAGACAGATCTAGAGACAGATCTAGAGACAGATCTAGCGACAGATCTAGCGACAGATCTAGAGACAGATCTAGAGACAGATCTAGAGACAGTGAGACAGATCTAGAGACAGTGAGACAGATCTAGAGACAGTGAGACAGATCTAGAGACAGATCTAGAGACAGATCTAGAGACAGATCTAGAGACAGATCTAGAGACAGTGAGACAGATCTAGAGACAGCGAGACAGATCTAGAGACAGCGAGACAGATCTAGAGACAGATCTAGAGACAGATCTAGAGACAGTGAGACATATCTAGAGACAGAGAGACATATCTAGAGACAGAGAGACATATCTAGAGACAGAGAGACAGATCTAGAGACAGTGAGACAGATCTAGAGACAGATCTAGAGACAGTGAGACACGCAAGACGGGCTAGAGACAACTAGACGAGACATTGACTGTAGACGGAACAAATGGTCCTGGCGTTACAGACGACAGGGGGGTGACGAGCCCTGCAGACCGTACAGACGACACAAACGAGACTGCCGACACAGGCGAGAAGACAACCGCGCCCTTGGAAAGCGTTCCCGAATGAATCCATGCGTGCGCATGATTTTTCTTCCTTGTTAATTCTCTCCCCCCGCCCTCGCCCCCCCCCCACCCACCGTCCCCCCCCGACGTCGTCACCGTAGAAAACCTGGTGCTGCCCACGGACCTGCGGCGGGAGGCGCTTGAACTCCAGAAGGCCGCGGAGTTCGACGACCAGGGAGGAGAGGGTGAGCTCACGTCGCTGACCGCCGCTGACCGTCGCCGACCGTCGCGTTTCTCTCTCTCCCTTCCCGCGAGACTCCGGGACATGGGGGAAAAGCGTCGCGCGTCTCCGCCCGCTAGACACGCCGGGCCCCCCAACCATTCCCCCCCCCCCCCCCCCCCCCCGTTTAATACGCCGTGGTTGCGTTGACCGTAAACGCCGCACGGCGGACGGCTTCCCAAGTGGACGTTGAAGGATCTCGCGGCGTGAACGCGGAAGAGAGCCGGCCGTGTGAAGCGGTGTTGGCGGTGGCCGCCGCCAAGTTTTTTTTTGCCGACCGTCGAATGAAGGCGGTGGTCACCGCATCACGTGCCCTTGTGCTGGCCATCGTCTGCAGCGGTCTTCCTTGCAACATTGGGAATCCACTGGAACTTTGCACCTTTGAATAATCGTCGAGATTGACAAACTCGTTTCTTGGGGACTGCGTTTTTGCGGTTACTCTGTCACACCTCCGATCAGCACAGTCGGCGACGTACTGCAACAAAGAGGTTTAGCAATCGCCGACCCACTCGTTCACTCGCTCATCATCTTGATCAATTTAGCCACTCGCTCGCTATGTCACCCACCCACTCGCTCACAGTGGACGGGTCAGTCACTCACTCTTGCAATTGAGACTCATCCTGGTCTCATAAGTTCTCAGCTGACGGCGATCACTGCCGAGTGATATTGTGAACCGTTCACCCGCACGGTGAAGTGTGACAAGTGATCACCTACCCTCTCTGTCTCCACCCCCCTCCCCCCTTCCCCATCTACCCCCTGTGTCTACCCCCCCCCGCCCCCACCCGTGTCGGTAGGAGTGAGTAGCCACGTGGATGACGAGTACCGCTGGGCCGGCGTGGAGGACCCACGCATTATGGTGACGACCTCGCGCGACCCCAGCTCCCGCCTCAAGCAGTTCGCCAAGGTGCGGTGCTCGGGGTCACGGGGGCTAAAGGGTTCGGGGTCAGGTGGCGCGCGAGGGATGTGGGTCCCCGTGTGTTGCGTGTGTACAAGCGTTGCGGAGGTACACAGGTCCCCCATATAGCCTTAGCAGGCTCTTGGGGCAGGTGCTGTTTGTGAGGGGGGTGGCTGGCCAGAAACACGTCCGGCCGCCTTTTTCTCTGCAGCGGTGATGTTTGACACGCCGCGGCTAGGTTCCTCGTTTGAGGCTGAGTTGACCTAGGGGAGGCCCAGGACCAGTTCAGGTCATCGTCACCGGTGTTGGCCATGAACGATAATCGACCACGGGTTGCCAGGTTTATGGCGAAGCGCACTAACCGCTCAACTACACACGCACGCGTTCTCTATCGCACGAGGGCCGCTGTTGACCAATCACCGGGCTTGTGCAGTGTGAGTTAACCCGGGAGAGATCTGGTTATTGGTGAAAGGTGGAGGCCGTGTGGGGGGTTGGCCGTGAGAGCTGGAGCGTTGGATACTCTGGTCTGGAGCATGCAGCGTTTCTCAACTCCATTCCTCACGATTCAGTCCACCTTTTCCCAATGACCGATCCCTTTCATTTGTCAAAACAGTTATCTACTGGCGCAACTGTCCACACAGGACGGTCGGTGGTCACAAGAAAGCTGTAGCATTGGGGCGCCGCCGTGACGAGATGTTAACTACCTCGCCTGGTATGCAGGAGTTCGCAGATTCAATGCTGACCCTGATGCCTGCTGTGCATTTGGAGTTTGCGCGTCTCTCTTTCCGCGATGTCGCGTGGATTTTTCCTCCGGGTCCTCCGGTTTTTCCCTCCGCAATTGGAATCGACATCACCACGCGTTCAGAGTATTTGGCTGCTAGAAATGTCCGCGTGATGACAAGCCACTTCGTTGAGCTATCATTTGTGGCCGGGTAGCTTCTGTAAAAGAGCCATGCATGGCACAGTGGACCTTACCTGGTAAAATTACAATAGTTCCATTGGCGCGTCCGAGTTGTGCCAACACGGCGGTTGGCGACCCCCGCATACCGGTACGGCTCGGCTTCCGCAGTGGACAAAAACCAACAACGCAACCCGAGTCGGATGGGGTGGGGGGGGCGGGCAGGTGGGGGGGGGGTGGGGGGTTGAAAGCAGCATGGCCGTGGGGACGGATGCCTGTGGGACGAGCGGGCACGGCGCGTGACCGCTTGCCGTCGTGTTATCCCACCGCCACCACCACCGCCACCACCGCCCCCCTCCCACCGCCGCCGCAGGAGATCAAGCTGATCCTGCCGAACGCTCAGCGGATGAACCGCGGAGGCCACGAGCTGGAGGCGCTGGTGCGGGCGTGCCGCGCCAACGCCGTCACCGACTTCATCGTCCTGCACGAGCACCGCGGCATGCCAGGCACGCTCGCGCACCCGCAGTGGACAAAGCTCCCCCGTGTAGGCTTTGGCAGGCTGTCGGGGCAAGTGCTGTTTGGCGAGCGACCTGCGAAGGCCGGCACGGCACACGGCGCGGGGTGGATGGTGTCGTTGTCATGAGCGCGCCTGGCCCCCTTTGTCTTCCACACTGTCGACGCTCGAACTCGGCTCACCGGGTTCGTGGTGCAATGAGATAGCCGCTCCGCTACCGCTCCCCGGCGTGATGCGTGTGATGTGGCACAACAGACGGGGGGGATGGCGGTGTTTTTAACTGTGTGTGATGTGCGGTGTGGTGTGGTGTGACGCCGCAGATGGATTGCGGTGTCTTAACTGTGTGGGGTGTGATGTTGTGATGTGGTATGACGCCACAGATGGAATGGCAGTGTGTCTAACTGTCCAGTACACTGTCCGTGTGACGCACGTGGTGGGACACCGTAGCCGGGATGGTGGTGTGTCTAACTCTCCGGTGTGCTGTCCGTGTGACGTGTGGTATGATGCCACAGATGGGATGGCGGTATGTCTAACTCTCCAGTACACTGTCTGTGTGACACGTGGTGTGTCTAACTCTCCAGTACACTGTCCGTGTGACACGTGGTGTGTCTAACTCTCCAGTACGCTGTCCGTGTGACACGTGGTATGTTTAACTCTCCAGTACGCTGTCTGTGTGGCGCACGTGGTATGTCTAACTCTCCAGTACGCTGTCTGTGTGGCGCACGTGGTGTGTCTAACTCTCCAGTACGCTGTGTGACACGTGGTGTGTCTAACTCCCCAGTACGCTGTCTGTGTGACACATGGTGTGTCTAACTCTCCAGTACGCTGTCCGTGTGACACGTGGTGTGTCTAACTCCCCAGTACGTTGTCTGTGTGACGCACGTGGTGTGTCTAACTCTCCAGTATGCTGTCCGTGTGACACGTGGCGTGCCTAACTCTCCAGTACGCTGTCCGTGTGACGCACGTGGTATGATGCCACAGACGGGATGGTGGTGTGCCACCTGCCGCTGGGCCCCACGGCGTACTTCACGCTCTCGAGCGTGGTGATGCGGCACGACATCCCGGACGTGGGCACGATGTCCGAGGCGTTCCCGCACCTCGTGATGCACAACTTCACGTCGCGACTCGGCAAGAGGGTTCGTGCGGGCACCGTGCGGGCACCGTGCGGGCACCGTGCGGGTCTCGCCCACATCCACCTCTCTCCCCGCAAACGCAACGACAAAGATGCCCCCGTATAGCCTTATCACCCTTTCTCGTTCCGGTGATGTACATATATGTCGCCGAAACGGAACCGTAAGAAAAACTCGCGTACGTCTTCCGACCTGACGATGTACCGAGACTCTCCCATGAGGCAGTGCGGGAGGGCGCGTGGCACAGTTTTGATCCACAGAGTGCCGGTCGTGTCACTACGGTTCTCTGCTGGCGAGTGCAACGCCTTTAAAAAAACAGCGGCGCCACGCCTCTAAATAAAATGTAACGCCGAGCCGCTCGCGCGTGCCGAGATTCAGCGGTGAACGGGACACCTGCCGCCCGGCAACTTGCAGATGTCTCGGAACGGGAAAGGGTGAACAGACTTTTGGGCCAGGTGCTGTCTGCCCCCGCCCCCCCCACCCCCTTTCAGCTTCGTCCGTCGGTCTGTCTGTAACGGGTGGTCATCGCGAGGGCTTGCGTAGAGATGATCGGATATGAACGAAGCCGGAGTGTATAAAGTCGCGTTGCTGGTAGGGGCTCGGCACCACAGTCACCGCCACCGCCATCAGGCGCAACTTGGTCTCGCGACGAGACGTGCGTCACTGAGCCACGTAGCTCTTTATCAGAAGCGACCTGGCTGTGACAAACGATAGCTCAACGAGGTGGCTTGTCAAAATGGGAATTTATAGCGGCCGAATACTCTAAAACGCCTGACGTTGGTTCTAAACCTGGAGGGAAAAACCGGAGCACCTAGAGGAAAATCCATGCGAAGTGGTGCAGGGGAAGGACAGCAAACTTAACGCTAAAAGCATTGCTAAAGAAATGACCTTTCAATCTAGATTTTAAAGCGCATAGCTCCTAACGTGTTCCTAATATCGGAAGGAAGATATCCACAGATAACCACAGACATCCAGAGACTCGTATAGAAGCATAGAGACCCATAGAGACCCATAGAGACCCATAGAGACCCATAGAGACCCATAGAGACCCATAGAGACCCATAGAGACCCATAGAGACGCATAGAGACCCATAGAGACCCATAGAGACCCATAGAGACCCATAGAGACCCGTACTCATGTATGTTGAACTGCTTTCACACACCGTACGTAGACCAACCGTGCTCATCGGAGTTGCCCGTGGTGGGGGGGGGGGGGTGGGGAGGGCGGACGAGGAATCTCCGCGCGCACGTGCCCGATAGTTACCCTCTGGGCGTGTTTCCCCACCCCCCACCCCCCTCCCCCGTCTCTCTCGTGGCGAGAGCAGGTGTCGAACATCCTCCGGTACCTGTTCCCCGTGCCCAAGGAGGACAGCCGGCGCATCATCACGCTCGCCAACGACGACGACTACATCTCGTTCAGGTGCGCCGCCGCCCCCGCCGCCTCCTCGCAACGTCGCCGTCGCCGATGGCTTTGCCGCAGCGTTCTTCGTTGCAAGGCCCCCCGCGGGCCACTTGCGGGCCCCCTGGTGGCCTTCAGTGCGGACCCTGATGTGCGACAATGCACAAATGTGAAACTGAACTGTTTTGGTAGAAGTGACGAACCGGGGCGATGCTGCGACGTGATTTGACCCAACTAGGTAATTTGCGGGTTTGTTTTTCAAACACGGTAAATTTGCACCGTGACGCCGGCTTGCCACGGTGGCTGGGAGATGTTGACCACTTCGCCTGGTGTGCGGGAGGTCGTGGGTTTGATCCCAACCCTGACAGCTGCTGGATATTCGGAGCTTTGCATATTCTCCCCCCCGCGGTCGCTTCGATTTTTCTCCCGGTCCTCCGGATTTTCCCCTCCGCGTTTAGGAACGTGCGTTTCGAGTATTTGGCTGCTGTCAGTTTTCACGTGATGATAAGCCACTTCGTTAAGCTATAATTCGTGATAACTAGGTCGCTTCTGAAAAAAGAGCTGCATGGCTTGGCGGTAAAATGAAAATGGTTTGGTTTTGACTTAATTGAACGCCCGCACTGAAGCTGGCGGCGCGTAATGTTGTTCATTTCTTGACGCATCCGCAGCATTGAACGTTGGCGGCCGCTGTGCTCGGGCAAACGTCTGCAAGGACGCGCAGTGACAGTCCAACGCCGTCCGTGTGACTTGCCGCGACCCCTCCCGTGACCTCTGTGCCCCCCCCCCTCTCCCTCGCTACCGACAGGCACCACGTCTACAAGCGCGACGGCAAGGACATCGAGTTGAAGGAGGTGGGACCGCGGTTCGAGATGAAGCGTAAGTCTGCTCGACACGTTGCTGCTGCTGCTGCTGCTGCTCGCCTCCACTTGACAGCCCTGCGGAGTCCGCGGTGGAAATTCCACATTCCTTGTGCTTTCCCGACTCATTTTTTCCAACCCCGGGGAGGACTATTGGCTTGGATGTGAGAGTCTAGCGTCGGGCCGGGCGGCCTCCGGGTGATGCTCGGAGCACGGTCGGCACTTGAGTCGATGGGGGTCGCGGCTCTGGTCGCGTTCGCTGTGCCGTGACCTGAGCCGCACCCCCAACCACCCCCGGTACGATGTGTGGATTCAAAGATGACCGGATGTAATGCTGGCCACCCCACCCCTTCGTGTGCCGTGCTGGCTTTCTTTCCTAGGCCCTAACTCGAGAACAGCGCTACTCCCAAACAGTCTGTTAAAGGATACACGGGGGGGTGGTGGATCTTTGCCTTTGTGTGTCACGCAGTGTACGAGATTAAACTTGGCACGCTGGACAACGCGGCCACCGCCGAGGTGGAGTGGCGCTGGCGACCGTACATGAACACGGCGAAGAAGAGGAAGTTCCTGAGCGTGGAGTGAGGGAAGGGGGCGACTTCCCCCCCCCCTCCAACACCGCGAGGGGGGGGGGGTTTGTCCCTGGAACCCCCCCGGAGTTGGAGTCGAACCTGGCGGCGCTCTCTGCTGAGGCCCGAGGCGTTGAGAGGTCGCCGCGTGGATAGGGCAGTGCGTGAATCGCTGTGCCAACCCTCGTCACGCACGCGCATCATACGCGTCACACACACACACACACACATTGCGGATGGACATTTATCACACACACAGCACTCACATCGTCACGTTTCGCACACAGACGCACACAATTGCACAAAAAGACAAAGGTACCCCGTGTAGCCGTTAACAAGTTGCTGGGGCAAGTGCTGTTAGCGGGTCGCGTCTATGAAGGCCGGCATGGCACAGAAGTGGGTGGGTGGCCAGCCTCACGTCTGCCTGCCTGCCTTTGTTTCCCCAGTTTTGCGATGTTATACACACCACACCACGTACTCGTTTATGACTGAATAATACTCGGGGGGGAGGCCCATGACCGGTGTCATAAATTCGCCACTCATATTGGCCGTGAGCGGGAATTGAAGTCGGATGGCTGGGTTCGTAGTGAAGTCCGCTAACCGCTGCACCACCACTCCCCAAACGGGGCACACAAACCTACACGTGTAAACAAAACGAAACATTAACATTTATTTAAGTAAAAAAAAATACCAAGTCGTGCAGATGGAGAAAGTGGCGTGTCGCCGTGTACAGCACCGTTCTCTCGTAGCTACGCGCCTCGGGTGAGAGGTCTTGGCTTTAGTGCTACCCAGTGTTTTTGTATGTGAAAACCTGTCAAAATAAATAATATTTTTTGGAAGTCACAAGCGCCTTACGTCACATCGTCTCCCTCTTTCCGCCCCCCCCCCCCCCTCAGCTGTCCCCGTGTAGCACAAACTAAACTAGCAAAAACTAATCTTTTTATTTTACCAGGTAAGGCCCACTGACCTGTATAGCTCTTTTTCAGAAGCGGCCTGGCCACAAATGAAAGCCCAATGAAGTGGCTTGTCACGTGGAGATTTATAGCAGCCAAATACTCCTAAAGGCACGTTTCTAAATGTGGAGGGAAAAACCGACGGACCCAGAGGAAAAAATCCACTCGGCCACGGGGAGAACAAGCAAACTCCAAATATACAGGCGTTGGGATTGAACCCACGACCTCCTGCATACCGGGCGAGGCAGTTAACATCTCCTAGCCACCGCGATGTCCCAAGGTGAATAAGCACGAGTCTTCGAGAGTGGATGTTATTAGTCTGCCAGCAGGGGGTGATGATTCCAGATTTCAGTCTCGATTGAAACTGAAATCTGGAACACTTTTATCGGAGGGGTTCGACCATACTGTGATGTTTTGCCCGTGCAAGTGTGTTCATAAAATACGAGTTTGGTTATTGAGAGTCATGAATGTCATGCATTTCACGTTTATACTGGTAGGAACGAAGTTGTAAACTGAGTGTACCAGCCTGCAATAGATTAATGTGTCCGTCCGTCCGTCCCCTTTCAATACTTTAACGAAGTGAAATCTCGTGCTGTTGGGTGTAATAAAATTGCGCAAAATTCCAATGTTCCTACCATCCCACCCTGCAGGGACCTGTTTTTCGTACTACATGCCACAGTGTGTTTCACACGCTCTTCAATGACGCCGCTGCCTTGAGAAGGAAATATAATGACGGCCGATGTTTGGGGCAGTGGCCCTTCAACATGGCACACACATCGAGGCAGCGGAACCCGTGGCACCGCCAGTTCAACGGTGGGGACCGTGGCCCCATTGACACGTCGGTGCGTGGCTGTGCCTTCACCTGTGGTGGGAATGAGACCAGAAAAAGGACAGGAGGCCGTCTCCAAATGGGGGCGCAAGCGTCGGTCCGTCACGCCCTGGATCTCGCCAGCGGGACGTCGGATGGGAACAAAAATTATGGAAGCGGGAAAGTTTCTCTTCTGGCGAAGACATTCCCAAAAAATTGTCGCCTTTCCCAACTAATGGAATTTAGTGCCCCAAATAATGGAAAACGTCGCCCTGATCCAAAGCAGCGGTAGCCGGAATCTTCCGGAAGGCTCGGGATTTATTGGTACAAACGTTTGGATGTTGGGTGTCCGCATGGACTTGCTTTTAAAACCCCTGCTCCACGTGACGTCTTTTAAACAACACCTGTGGTCGCGTCCGCTCCCCCACCTTTCCATCCCCTGCTTTTTTTTTTAAATAGATATAACCGGTGTAGTTTATGTTGACGGGTGTTTCCGTGCGTCGCATCGCGATGTAACAGGACCCGCGCATTGCCTCAAATAAATAAATAAGCACGTGGCTTCGCTGTTGTGACGTCACCCGTGCCCCCTCGCGGGTTTAGCCATTCCGGTGTTTTTGCGCCAAGCGTATCGAGGTCGCCGATTGCGAGATTCCTGTGGCTCGAAGACTCGCGCGTTCGCCGCGAGATTCTCTGTGTCCATCGCAACTTTGCTGCCCGTGATGATGCTGCTGCTGCTGCCGCCGCGGAAGAACACGTGACGCCCTCTCGTCTTTCTCCAACTTGTCTTTCAAGTTGGGCCATCGTGGTTTCCAGGTCACTTGATGTTTCCAGCCTCCGGTAAGGAGGCAGTGAGATTCAGCCGCACGATGTTTAATCAGTACAATACGCAGATGCGTGCACAGTATGAGACCGTAGCTTTATTTAAGCGTTCAACAAACACGACTAACCCTCGCCCGAAACGGTGAAATATATCGTAACACGCAACGTACAAAAATTGTATTTTTTAATCAAATTAGAACTGTAATGCTGAAAATGATATTGCATGAAACTAGGGGTTTTATGGAGTATCTGTGGCAACCGAAATTCTACCTTCTGGGGAGGGTTTCTCAACGCTTCACGCCTTGGCCCCCACTGATGCCCTCTTCTCCCCACCCCCCATGTGTCCAGATGCTACTGACTATTCTATGTAGGGTGTGTAGGTATATATAAAGTCAGTAGATACTACTGACTATGGTATGTAGGATGGGTAGGCATAGAGTCAGTAGATACTGACTTGTGTGTAAGTTTATATAAAGTCAGTAGATACTACTGACTTGTATTTAGGGTGTGTAAGTATATATAAAGTCAGTAGATACTACTGACTATTGTATGTAGGATGTGTAGGTATATATGCCTCCAAAATGTATACTTTTTTCTTTGGGAGGGGGGCGACAATTGTTGTAAACCTTTTGGATCAATTTTTTACTCCCACATTTAGTGGGGAAGGGGGGGGGGGCGTCCACTTTCTATAACTCTCATAATTTAGTTGGCGGACACACGGAACCACCGGGCTTTTATAATAGATTTGCAAGTCCCTTTCATTATTACATGTCTTGTTCTCTTAAGAAGGGCCATTGCCTGGAACGTCAACAAGGCCACACAGACACTGCTCTTGATGAGAATGTTGAGTTTGTTTTTGCTAATCGTGCTTTCTCACCGCTGTCAATGCATACCTGGCAATTCATACGGTTTTAGGGGCTGTCCATAAATGACGTCACGCACCTAGGGGGGGTCAGACATTTATGACGATGTGTGACGAGGGGGGGGGGGGGTTGAGAAATGTGACGTCACATAAAAATGCGTAACTTTAAATAAATATAGACAACACGTTCTACTTAATTAAATAGACGTTTTAATAAATGTTTTCTACCTACAACATCAGAGTGCAGCGCCACATTAAATACGCACTACAATGACAATAGTTTAAAGCGATTTGAAGCATTTTTTATTTGTTTTTTTGGGGGGGCGGGCGGCAGAGCTTTGTGACGTCATATTTGAGGGGGGGGGGTCTGACTTTGTGACGTCGTGTGACGATGGTGGGGGGGGGGTCAAAAATCGTCCAAAATCGCGTGACATCATTTATGGACGGCCCCTTAGCCGTATTCATGTACAGGGAAATGTAGTTTTCAGGTCCATACGGCATACAGACGTTTAAATACGGGCACAGAAACTTTTTTGTCTATTTGTTTGCGTTTCTCCCCTGCGATAGGACTTTGTGGGGTGAACGTTGAGGTTTATAAGGGCACGGGGTGACCAATCAGCTTTGCATCGGTCTGTAATACGCTCAGATCTGGTAAGGGGTTGACAGATGTGGCAACACATTGGCCAATAAACACTGCGTGACCTTTAAAAAAAATATATATATATTCATGGGCGACGTTTCGGGCGAACGACCCTTCCACGTAGCATATAAATAGACGCCATGAAGATTGTAAATCGCTGCCCGCTATGGAGGTGCTCTGGTGGCCCTGTGGCTTTGCGCACGGCACTGTGAGAGCCCCGCCCCCCGCCCCCTGGCCCCACCCCCCTCCTCCCTCCCCGCCGTGCCGTGCGCAAAGCCGCGCGCCGTGTGCAAACCACGTGTTCGTCCATTTGACTCAGACACTGCGCGGCTCCGTGTGGCTCAGGTGGGTCCCGCGGAGGGGTCCAAAACGGGGGTTCTTTAAGGGGGGGTATCACCTCTAGGTGGTGGGGGGCGCTGAAGGGGATCAGCAGGTTGTGGTGGGAGTAGATGGACCCCCCCCCCTCCTCTCTCTCGGACTTGGGGTGTGGGGGGTTCAACACCACCCCTTACCACTCCGTGCTTGCCCTCGCTGAGGCCTGCAGGCCCGGCCCCCTTGACAGCACGTGGGGCGGTGGGGGGGGGATCATAGGCCTCGGGCTTTCTGATATGGCAGTGGGTCGCCTCGTCTGTGGGTTCCCCGTCTCGGGGTCCTTGCCACCTGGGTCTCGGGCGTGTGGAGTTTCGAGGTTCCTGGGCTTAGGGGGTGTGGGTGGATTGGTCTCGTGGTTCCTTGCGCGAGTGGTCTGTGGGTGTCCCCGTGCGGGAATGTCGAGTCGTCCCGTGTCACCCGCGTAAATGGCATGCCACTTGAGGGTTCGGGGATCGCCTTGTCGGCGTCGTAGTGTCCTGTGGTCGACTCGGCAGTCTCTCGGTGGGGGGGGGGGTTCGAGCTACATGGGTTCGCGAGGGGAACCGGGTTCTAGGTGTCCCAGTGTTGCAGCTGTTGCTGCTGCTGCTGATGCTACAGCTGGTTTAATCGCGGCGATTTGGGCGTTATCTATGCACTGAACCCAGGACCGCTTTCGCGTTAAGGCACCGCTCCCACGTATCCCCCTTTAGTCGTGGGGGGGTCCCCCCCGGGGGGTCCCCCCCTTGACCCCTCCCCTCGCGAGCCTTCACGGGGCGTGGATCGCTGCCGCGGGGCTTAAAATAGAACAGCGGCTTGGAGAGGGGGGTGGTGGTGCCAAGGGAGGACTGACTTGTGTGTGTAGAACTTCTTTCGCACCGCACGTAGCCATCCGTGCTAATCGGAGGTGCGACTGGGGTGTAGTGGGGGGGTCTCGGAGTCCCGGCGAGGAAGCGAGGGGGGTTACTTTTTGAGTCCACGGAGCCTGTGTCTGGTGGTTCTCCTGGTCCCAGAGTCCCCTGCGTTATGGGTTCTTGAGCATCAACGGATGGGCGTCCTTTTAAGTTGTCGCGTAGGGGGTCCGTGTGGCCTTGTTCAGGATGTTAACTGTGTAAGGGGGGTCTCGGGATCCTGTAGTGGTTCCCTGTGTAGGTGCTGGGGGGTTCCTAGCTACCTGCTAAGGGGTTCTGTATATCGGGCCACTAGGGGCCTCGGTAACTATGGATGGCCTGTATTCGGAGGTCGGGAATTACTGGGACCCCGTATAGGGGGTTGAGGGATCCGTGTATGGGGTGTCGCGTGGGTCCCCTGTGTATGGGGACCCTGGTGGTAGGCGTTCACATGTAAGAGGCATAGTCTGTGTAGGGGGCCCGGTGTTCGGGACTGGGGGTGGGGTCTCTGGGTCCCCGTGTAGGGGTCTCTGAGTAACTTTGGGCCCCTGTATTCGAGAGGGTCTCTGGGTCCCCGTGTAGGGGTCTGAGTAACTTTGGGCCCTTGTATTCGAGGGGGTCTCTGGGTCCCCGTGTAGGGGTCTCTGAGTAACTCTGTGCCCCTGTATTCGAGGGGGTCTCTGAGTAACGTTGTGCCCCTGTATTCGAGGGGGTCTCTGAGTAACTTGGGGTCCCCGTGTAGGGGTCTCTGGGTCCCCGTGTAGGGGGTCTCTGAGTAACTTTGTGCCCCTGTATTCGAGGGGGTCTATGGGTCCCCGTGTAGGGGTCTCTGAGTAACTTTGTGCCCCTGTATTCGAGGGGGTCTCTGAGTAACTTTGTGTCCCTGTATTCGAGGGGGTCTCTGGGTCCCCGTGTAGGGGTCTCTGAGTAACTTCGGGCCCCTGTATTCGAGGGGGTCCCCTGGGTCCCCGTGTAGGGGTCTCTGAGTAACTTTGGGCCCCTGTATTCGAGGGGGTCTCTGAGTAACTTTGTGCCCCTGTATTCGAGGGGGTCTCTGAGTAACTTGGGGTCCCCGTGTAGGGGTCTCTGGGTCCCCGTGTAGGGGGTCTCTGAGTAACTTTGTGCCCCTGTATTCGAGGGGGTCTATGGGTCCCCGTGTAGGGGTCTCTGAGTAACTTTGTGCCCCTGTATTCGAGGGGGTCTCTGAGTAACTTTGTGTCCCTGTATTCGAGGGGGTCTCTGGGTCCCCGTGTAGGGGTCTCTGAGTAACTTCGGGCCCCTGTATTCGAGGGGGTCCCCTGGGTCCCCGTGTAGGGGTCTCTGAGTAACTTTGGGCCCCTGTATTGGAGGGGGTCTCTGAGTAACTTTGTGCCCCTGTATTCGAGGGGGTCTCTGAGTAACTTGGGGTCCCCGTGTAGGGGTCTCTGGGTCCCCGTGTAGGGGGTCTCTGAGTAACTTTGTGCCCCTGTATTCGAGGGGGTCTATGGGTCCCCGTGTAGGGGTCTCTGAGTAACTTTGTGTCCCTGTATTCGAGGGGGTCTCTGGGTCCCCGTGTAGGGGTCTCTGAGTAACTTCGGGCCCCTGTATTCGAGGGGGTCCCCTGGGTCCCCGTGTAGGGGTCTCTGAGTAACTTCGGGCCCCTGTATTCGAGGGGGTCTCTGAGTAACTTCGGGCCCCTGTATTCGAGGGGGTCTCTGAGTAACTTCGGGCCCCTGTATTCGAGGGGGTCTCTGGGTCACCCCCTCGCCGCCTTTGCCCCGGTTGTGGCGCAGTCTGAAAAGGCGCGAGATCTCGCGAGACTTGGGAGGCCGCGGCGGCCGCTCTATTGATGAAAAGAGGCCCGCGAGCCTCGGCCGAGATCTCGCGAGATTTCCGTGAGCGGCGGGGGTGGGGGGTCGGGCATGCTCGAAACCACGTGACCGATCCCAATACTGTACCGTCAGTACTGTACAGCGACGCAGTGCTGATTAACACAGGTAAACATCGCTACTCTCTGACATCTCGTTATCTTACTCATCGTCGTCTTCGATCCCTTATTGTTTTTTTCCCCACACTCGCCCATTCCCCCTCATCTTTGTTGGAATGATTTTTGCTCAGCGCCGCGCCATCTTCTAATCGCGTTCACCTCATCGTTATTGTCGATTTGTCTCGATCTAATCACTCCTCATCACACTCGTCACACTCTCATTTGCTTCAGCGTAACGCGATCATAACCCCCAGTCTCAAAATCGCCGTCGTTCACCTCATCACTCGCCCAATCCCATCGTTATTGTCGATTCGTCTAATCGATCTAATCACTCATCACACTCATCACACTCTCATTTGCTTCAGCGTAACGCGATCATAACCCCCAGTCTCACAATCACCGTCATTAACCTCATCACTCGCCCAATCCCATCGTTATTGTCGATTTGTCTCGTCGATCTAATCACTCATCACACTCGTCACACTCTCATTTGCTTCAACGTAACGCGATCATAACCCCCAGGCTCACAATCGCCGTCGTTCACCTCATCACTCGCCCAATCCCATCGTTATTGTCGATTTGTCTCGTCGATCTAATCACTCATCATCACACTAGTCACACTCTCATTTTGCTTCAACGTAACGCGATCATAACCCCCAGTCTCACAATCGCCGTCGTTCACCTCATCACTCGCCCAATCCCATCGTTATTGTCGATTCGTCTCGTCTCCGTTACTTCATCTCATCACTCCTCACCCTCATCACGCTCATTGCATCAAAATATAACAATAGGGTTTACCCGTTCTGGCTGCAGAACAGGTGTTAAAATGTTAAAACACTAAAACAGAGTCCTTTTTCAAGGAATCCTGTCTGCATTAACCACACGAACTTGTGGTGAACATGCAAACATAAAACATGCTCTGATAATATTTCATTACATCAACATAACGCGATCATAACCCCCTGCGTCACAATCACCTGCGTCACAATCACCGTCATTCACCTCATCACTCGCCCATCGTTAGTCTTTTCGTCTCGTCTCCATCACTTCATCTCATCACACCTGACCCCTCATTACATCAACATAACGCGATCATAACCCCCTGCGTCACAATCACCGTCATTCACCTCATCACTCGCATCATCACCTAACCACCTTCACGCTATTACCATAAATACATTCTAAGGGCCCCATTGATGGTAATAACGATGCCCATGAACAACCTGAGGCTGAAGGTCCAGCATCATTGGGATGATTGAATCAGAATCCGTATTTATGCTGGAGGGAATTCGCTGAGCTATTAAGCTCTTTTTCACAGATGTTCAGTATTTCACAGATCTCCAGATTGGTCAATTAATGCACTGTAATACACAGACACAGTATATAAAGATACATTACATAGATACACAATACATAGATGCACCATACATAAATCCATTACGTAGACACGTACATCAGCATACACATCACATCCACACTACCTATACATAAACATCACATAGACGCAACAGTACATAGACAATACGTAGACACACCGTACATAAATATACACGTAAAATAGACAAACAGTACACAGACACCCAACAGACATATACCGTAATTCGAGTTCATACACATATACTATAGACATACAGTATATAGGTATGTATAGTATACAAATGCATTATATTGAGTACATACTGTAGACATGCAGTAGTAACAGTATATAAACCGTGCGCATACAGACTATGCATTGTGCATTACCTAAATATAGTACACACAGTACATGCAGTATATTTTATACGTACAGTTTATACTAGTCAACCCTATCCGTATGCGCTACACATGAAGCTGCGTGTAAACGTGGAGTGGTGTGGGCCGTGATTGAGTGGTGTATCTGTGGCTGAGTGGAGTGTGTGTATTGGCCAGTTGTATTTGTGGAGTGGAGAGAGTGTGCGTGTGTGTTCAGTGTGTGAAGTGGTCTGTTCTGCTGAGTGTACGAGTGGTTGTAGCCGGCTTTTCTGTGTGGAAGTGGTGTGTGTAATGGCTGGTGGTATGGACGGTGTTTAGCGAGTGTGCCTGGAGTGGTGTTTGTGTGGCTTCGTAAATGATTGTGTGTTGCATGCGTTAGTGCTACTTGTATATGTGTTATCTGGATGTCTGCATTGTACTGTGTGAGTGAGTGATGTATGTGTTGTTTGCATGCGTGGTGCTGGTGTGGGTGAATGTGTAGTGAAGTTGTGTGTAACTGGTGTAGTATATGTTCCGAGGTGTGCGCATGAAGTGTTTAAGAGTGGTGCACGTGTGCCTGGGTACACACGTGGAGTGTTGTGCGAGTGGCTGCATGTATCGGCTTGCAGTCGTAAGTACACGTGCGGAATATTGCGAGCGTGACATTGCGACTATCTCTCCCCACGCAGGGCAGGTGCGGGCGGAGGAGTGGAGAGGGGCGGAGGAGTGGAGAGGGGCGGAGGAGTGGTGAGGGGCGGAGGAGTGGTGAGGAGCGGTGAGGAGAGGAACGGGAGTGAAGGGAGAGCGGCAGGCGAGGGGCATGAGCAGTAACGAGTGTTTCAAGTGCGGCCGCACAGGCCACTGGGCCCGTGAGTGTCCCACAGCCGGGGGTACCGGGGGTACTGGGGTGGCCGGGGGACCCGGGCCAGGCCCCATTGGGGGGGGCCGTGGACGTGGGAGGAATCGTGGCGGGAGAGGAGGCTTCGCTGGCGGACGAGGTGAGAACCTGCGGGGCGATGGTCTTGTAGTGTGTGAGCGAGTGTGTGTTCTTCTGTCGGCCTAATAGCAGGCCCTTGACTCGGACTGCTCCGTTCCATTCGTTATTGATCTGATATAAGGATGGGCCATTGCCTGAAACGTCATTATTGTAGTTTCCATTGTTTTATACTGTCTCTTGGGCTTAATCCCAGCTTCCTTACAGAACTTCCTGCATCAAGCTGTGACATCTTCGGAGGATGTGTCCACTGACCACATCTCTTGACCATTCCGAAGCATCATCACACCATCATCGGTTGTCGTCACACACAGCATCATGACCATCATCCTTCTAGGACTTCTCACGTTCTTATTTGCGGAGAATGTACCCTAACCACATAGTTTGACTTTTTTGGATCGTTCTAATCATACTTATTCCTGAACATAATCGAGAAATACTTTCTCAATGTATATCATAGTTATATGTATGTGTGTAATAATTCTATGCATGTAGAATTTAGTGTATTTAATTATATATGTGTGTGTGTGCCATTATACACCCGGTTAATCTTTTTACCAGCCGCAAGTCCTAATCCTATTCCCGGCATCGGCCATGGTTGATCCACTGCAGGATGAAGGTCTTCCCAGGCCACCACTGTTCTCGCCACCACCACCACCTCACACGATCCTGCGATGTCACAATCCACCCAGCAGCCATATTCTTATGGGTGGCATAATTTCTTTGTTTTTTTTTTCTGTGTAGGGGGCGTAGTGTTCGGGACTGGGGTGGGGGGGGGGGGGCCTTTGGGCCCCTGTGGAAATGCGTGCCGTGTTGGGTTGGCGGTGTCTCTTGACTGACTTCGTTCACCTGTGCTTGCAGATAACTGCTACCGCTGCGGAGAGTCGGGCCACCTGGCGAAGGATTGCGAGCTGCAGGAAGATGGTACAATCATGCACACGCATGCATACAACTGCACGCAACAGCAGCTACAGCCGCCGTTAGACACTACGGCGCTCGTGCCACACTAAGTGCACTGTGTGAGGCCATGTGGAATGTCGTAGGATGTCATGTGAGAGGCCGAGGTGCTGCTCGAGGTTAACTGAGATAACCGGCAAATGCACCACCACCTATGCTGCCCACTGTGCCAGCTTTCTGCGTTTTAGCCACCCGGCGCTCCACTCGTGAACGTCACTTCTGTCTTTTGTTTTTGGAGGGTGGCGAATGCCTCCATCAGCCCAGTAAAATCCTTCACGAGCCTCCTCTACATTGGCCAGTCTTGATTGGACACACGAGGTAATGATCCCCAGTATAACCTTGAGCAGACTTACGTACTTTTAAATCTAGATTGAAAACGAATTTTAGAACGGATTCTTGTGTTTGTCCTTTCCCCACACCTCCGATGAGCACGGTTGGCTATGTACGGTGTGAAAGAAGTTCAGCATGCATACGAGCCAAATCGATATGGGCAAACTGAGTCTATGGGCAAACTGAGTCTATGAGCAATATTAGTCTATGGGAAATGTAAGTATGGGTTAAGTTAGTCTTTGAGCAATGTAAGTCGGTGGGAAATGGTAGTCTATGGGCAATGTTAGTGTAAACGCGTATGTATGTTTAACTTTCATTGTAAGAGGGGCTAGAGACACTCGCGGAGCCAGTGGGGGGGGGGGGTGGGGTGGCACGTGCCCCCCCCAATGATCCGATCGAAATTAGGGATTTCGATCGGATCATTGGGATTTATCAATAACAGATAAATCGGCATTTTGCGACCCCCCCCCCCCACTGCCACTATGTAGCATATTATTACGTGCCAGGGACTCTGAGATGATAAGACAATAGTCTGAGTCCATAATTGGCAATAAGTAACGGCAAAGCAGTTATAAGTGACTCACAGAATTGTGCGCAGTTGCGTATACAGCACACGACTTTCCTGAAGGCATCAACACCTTCAGCGAGAGCGATACCGATCACACAACGCGGTTCTAATTCGACCCTCGATCGATGGCTGCGCCATCGCCGCACACGCGTCGGATAAAAAGCAAGGGGCAAGTCCTTACTTACTAGCAACTCCTATCATTTTTAAATGCTGGAGGGGTTGCCCTCCCCCCCCACCTGAAAATCCTGGCTCCGCCGTTGGCTAGGGAGACTCGCATCTTCTGCGACGAGCAGCAGCCAGACGTCACCCTCGTCTTTGTTCCCCACCCGCCTCTTCCGCCTGCCACCCCTAAACCCCCCCCCCCCCCCACCCCCCCCCCCAGCTTGCTACAACTGCGGCAAGAGCGGTCACATCGCCAAGGACTGCAGCGCGCCACGCAAGGAGCGCGAGCAGTGCTGCTACAACTGCGGCAAGCCGGGCCACCTGGCGCGTGACTGCGAGCACGCCGACGAGCACAAGTGCTACACCTGCGGTGGCTTCGGCCACATCCAGAAGGAGTGCACCAAGGTCAAGTGCTACCGGTAGGTTGGGGGGGGGGGGGGGGGTGGGGTCGCGGCCACAGACCGGGACGTGCGCCGGAGGAATAGCGCGGATACGCGGGATCCTTCCCGAAACCGTCGCCGCGGCTTGCGTCGTCGCTTGCGACCGCTTTGTCGGCATCCGAGCGAGCCGTTGTACCACGTGTCTGGCCAGGCAGCCCCTCCATAGTAGCGCCACCCGCGACCCACGTTGGGACCGGAACGGCCGATCGCGGCTGAGCAAATGCGTTGCGTGGTGACGAGAACTACCTTTTGCCCCAAATCGCTGAGCATCTCGAAGCTTGAAAAGTCGAGTCGGTCTCTACTGTGAGCACCGAGTTAGCGCAGCCGCTTCGCCACCGGCTGTGGAGACATCCGTGTGTAAGCGATTCGATCGTGGGCAACCAGTTGCTTAGGTGCGGGACTCCGCTTGTAGGGTTTTCTGCACCGCTGGAACGTCGCACGCACCGCATCGTGTGCGTCTGCGGGTGTGTTCATCGGTGCATGTTCACGTGCGCGTGTGTGCGGAGCGGCGGTGCACCGATTTTTTTTATTTTTTTATTCTGCGTTGCGCCACGAACCCGGCGACCAGAGTTGGATTCCTGCTCGCAGCCAACATCAACGTGACGGCGACTATCTGAACTGGTGCTGGGCCTCCTCCCCTAGATTCGTGGTTCTCAAAACTTTTTTGTTGTTGCTACTGGGTACCCCCTTTTATTGAATTGTTTCAACCGAGAGTGTACCCCCTTTGCTTGACCCAACATGGTTCTCGGTTAACCATATGGGTGTAAAATTTATCATAGTTATTTTATATTGGCGGATTCATACGTGATTATTTACCAGTCAATGCGCGATATAATTTCACGTACCCCCCCTGGGTCCACGTATCCCCCGGTTGAGGACCGCTGCCCTTGGATTGACGGCCTTAAAATGAATACCTGGCATGGTGCGTAAACACCAGCGACCGGGGGAGACAAAGGCGGCCGGGGTTGGTGCCGGCCACACACCCCACGAGCTCGTGCGCCGTACGGGCCTTCACAGGTGCTGCTCGTGTACAGAACTTGCCGCCGACGAGTCTGTTAAAGCGTACGGTGCGGGGATTTGCGATGTCTGTGTCAGGTGCGGCGAGACTGGCCACGTGGCCATCAACTGCAGCAAGGCGAGCGAGGTGAACTGCTACCGCTGTGGCGAGGCGGGACATCTGGCGCGGGACTGCTCCATCGAGGCCACGGCCTGAGAAGAGCACCCGGGGCCGCCCCTCCCGTCCCGCCCGCCCCCGCCCCCGCCCCCCCCTCTCTCGCCCCCCAACGAGGGGGGGGGGAAAGAGTTCGGGGGGAGGGGGGCGCACGCAAGTGTCGCCGCCAGTGGATAAACCGCGCGGAGGAGGAGGAGGAGGAACGGGCTGCTGTTTTTTGAGCTTTTCTTTATTTTTTTCCACCGAGTTTATCGGCCCTAACCCACCCTTGTTTAGCTTGGTAGAGGTGTGTGCTATATCAAATTTACTTCAACGATGAAAAAAAATTACGAAAGCGTAAGACCATCCCCCCCCACTCCCTTTTCCTCCTTTCTGGGGCTTTAATGGTTGTGTTTGACGTGTCTCTCGGGAGGTGGCATGGGTGTCTGTTTGAGGGATCAGCAGGGAGATGGGAGACGATGTGGTTAACCCAGTGTGACACGCCCCTCCCTCGCTTCGGCTCCCTGCTCGTGGGCCCCCCCCCTCCCTCCCATTCCTCCCCTCCCTCCGTCCCTCCCCACCACTTTGGTGCCGTCTCAACCAGAGAAACGCCGTCAGCGGGGCACCTCTACGTCTTTTTCTCACACAGGTCTCCATTGGAGCAGCAGCAGCAGTAATGGAGCGCGGGTTGTGCTTGCAGGCCCGGCCACGCCGTAGAACCAAGCTAGGGCGTGGGTTCGGGCCAAGAAGGGTCCTGACAAGGCGTGGGTTCTGAACAGATGTGGTTTCAGATCAGAAAGTTCTGACCGGATGGCAGTTCAAAATGGATCTGGGTTCAGGCCAAAGAGGCTCTGACCAGGCATGGCTTTAGATTGGATTTGGGTTTGACGCCAAACTGGTTTTTGACCAGGCGTTGCGTACTGAAACGGATGTCGGTTCTGAACGAAAGTCAGTTCTGAACGGATGTGGCTAAATAGGTTCAGGATGCATAGGGTCCTGATGATGCGGAGTAGGATTCTGAACAGATGTGGTTTCAGATAGGGACGGGGCTTCCAGCCAAATAGGTTTTGACCTGGAGTGTCCGCTATTCCTGATGTGGGTTCTGAACAGAACAATGTGTTCACATGTTAAAATTATTTGCAGTGTATGCACATTCATACCAGACGTGGGTTCTCAACCATATCGGTTTTTATCCAGAGTTGTGACCATACCAGATGTGGGTTCTGAACAGAAACTGTGGGATAGGATAGGATCCCACAGAAGAAGGGGGGTGGTGTGCGGACAATGCGTACGATCTGGCTGGAGTGGGCGATGCAGACTACAGCAGGAGTTTTCTCTGCGTCCACGCCACTGGTCACTTGGTTTTATCTTAACAATTCCCGTTGGGGCCACCGAACGCGATGCAGAGAGGTTTGGATATTGCCCGCCCTTGCCCACCCAACTTCCCCCCCGCCCACTACCCATGAGCCTCAGTTTTTTCTGCATCTCGGGAGCGAGCTGCAGAAACGTTTTATCCACCGGCTAAAATTAAGAAAAATGCGTTTGAGCCTCCAAACAAGTAACGTACATTTTTTTTTTAGTGTTATGCGCCTTAACGAACGCGATGATAAATGGTTACGATCCCGCATGTGAAAGTCTCGGGGTTGGACTCTTCCCCCGCCCCTCGTGCTTTTGTACAGGACGCTGTACGTAAGCGATACGAGCGTGGGGGGAGAAAAAAAAATAACTTGGCGACGTGGATCGCGGGCCCGGCGGGCGATCGCGATTCTCGTATTGTCCCAGGCGTTTCGGGCAACGAGCCAAGGTGTGCGTTGCCCCTTTCCGGTCGCGGCCGCAGCGAGCGATTGCCGTGTTTTGCCAGTTAAGACTTTTGCGTTGCAATTGCGCCGGCGGTTGAGCACGCCACGTTCATCAAGGTGACCGTCGGGGGGGATGGGGGTAGTACAATCGAGACGTTGGAGCGGCTCCGGCGGGGCGGGGGGGGCGGCACCGTGACCTCTGCACTGCCGATGGCGGCGTTCAGCTCAACGGAGCAGCCAGAGGGGACGGCCATCGCCACAGGCGACACGGGAAGGGAGTGATCATCGGCTGGGCGACCACCTCGCAGAGGGCGGCAGCGGCGGGTGGGGGGGTCATTAAGTTATTTGGCAAAAAGGAACCAAATGCGTCCAGCTCAAATACCGTTTTAACTGCCGTCCCCTTCGAAGTTCAAATCCTTTTCAACTCTGCATACCTCCGCTTGGCGCGGAGCGAAAGAAGTTCGACGCGCGGAATGTCCTTTGGCCCCAAAGGCAATTCCTAACTGTTGCGACATGAACCAAGTGACCATTGGATGGCAGCATGGACCAGAGAAACAAGTCTTTTTTTTTTACGAAGGTACACAACGTTACTTTATCAGCTTCCAGTGCAAGCAGCTCGAAACTGGGAGGCAGCGCAGCGATGAGTGGCGGTGCACTGCGCGCGCGCACGAACACCGTGAAGCGTGGGCCTCGCTTGCGCCAGTGGTGGTGTCGTATCGATCGATCACTGCGCCGAAGTTCGGCGGGCGTTATTTTTGTACAACTGAACCTTAAGGCGGTACCCCGGCGTTCCGTAGTACCCCGGCTCTCGCATAATGTCCGTGATGCAGTCACGCCGTCTGCTGACGGTCGGCGATGCGGCAATCGACGAGGCCGTACACGATGCACCCGCTACGGTGCGTACGAGCGTTCAGGGTTTCGGCGCGAGCGTCCGCGCTGCATTTCGACATCGCGGAGTAGCACTGACTTCGGATTGATTGGAGTTAAGAACGCCCCTGGAAAAAAATAGTGTCCCAGAAATTAAATATTTAATTGCCTCGGCCATTGTGTATTATTTGGAATCCCGGGGTAACGCCATAAGCATCGACTTAGCTTTGGTAACATCAAGGCAAATTGAGAAGAGGAAAAAAAATCTTTTTTTTTAAATGAATTAAGTATAAGAGACTAGTTCCTTGTTTGTAGCGCTTTATTCGAACTGTACTTGTCAATAAAACTGCAGGAGGAAGGGGATTTGGTGCACTCGCATGCGTGTATTTTTTCTAGTTGGCCGGGCGTGGATGAGGGCAGTGGTTTGTGCTGTGCTATTGGAACCTTGTTACTCGAGTTGTGCTCCTGGCGGTGAATAACGCCGCCAGTGAAGTTCTCACCATATTCCCCAGATTGTTAAGGCACACATTACATTTTGGGGTATTTTTCACAAAGCGTTTTATAATCGGGAGAAAGGCTGGCAATACGGGCGTATGCGTGTACTCTCCGAGAGAGAAGGGGTATTTATTTGGAGCTCGCTGCTTTATAATCGATCCTCTGGAGGATGGGCATGTCTTTGGGGTGAAGCAGAGAAAGCTGCTCACATCCGTCCGGCATGGCGTGGGCTTTGTTTGCAAGATTGTGTCTGGAAGATGGTTCTGCGTGGCTGGTGGTGTTGCCTGGTCCGTACCGTGTGGTGGTCACGTACCGCTGTGATGAACAGTCTTCCGGAAGATCGTGAACAACGCTTGAACGCGCCGAAAGCTCGCGTTCATTGACGAGAACCGAACCGCCATGGGCATCTGAGCGGTATACACAAGGGCTGAACGATTTGTGGAAAATATGAAATTGCGATTTTTTTGATAGATTGCGATTTGATTTGCGATTTTTTTTTTAAGTCGCGCTTCAGTTCAGTGTTCACTAATAGATTTAAAACGTGGAGCATTACCACATACCATCAAAATATGAATTGCTCTATTCTAATGCAAGGATGAGAACTTAAAAGATATGAATTGCTTCCAACATGTATTAAAATGTTTTAATTGAAATATAACAATCATAGAATAATTAACTTAAAAAATAAAAAAAGTTAATCAAATCGGAAGCAACGCAAGCCTCCGTCATCAGGTGGGATAGTCACAGCAATAAGTAATTTGCTGCAGCGGACTACAGCAAATTGCTGTAGTGGACTATCCCACCTCATGACGGAGGCTTGTGCTGCTTCCGAAACGTCGTGATTTGATTAACTTTATTTTTTTACCTACGTGACTTTACCAAAAGAACCGAAGAGTATGGATCATTGCAGTCACGAAAACTTTAAATCTAGACTTAAGTTAAATAAATTAAGTTATAATTAAAAAAACTATGCAAATCACATTGTTTCAAATTGCGATTTCGATTTGAGTATACACCAGGTCTCCTAAAGCCATCCATTAAATTTAAAATTTGGATCTCAAATGGCGGTTGCTACAAAAAACTAAATGAGCTCTAGCCTCCTGTAATAAGTTAGGTCACGTGTGACCCACCTCCACACTTGAATCCCTCGCCACCTGAAAATGCACGCTCACTTCTGCGTGCTCCCCTCTTTATCCCAGACAACTTGGCCCAGTCATATCGTCGTTCGTTTGCCCAGAAGTACCCATTGATCCCTCGCATTAATTTTTCTTCCAAACGTTAAATCCATGACCTCACTCCCTTTCCCATGCTGTGCCCGTAGGTAAAGAGTTGTACGTCCGTGCAAATAAAAACTGAACCAGACCTGAGGCCTGATGCGGTGTGCAAACGGCTGGGAAGACGTTGGGAACCAGGCGTGGGGAACGCCACGCCACCCGATTTGCCGTGTTGACCTTAATAGGTGCTCGCAAACAGCACTTTCGCTGGCAGTCTGGATAAACGGGTGATATTTAGTAATTCCAACTCGTATGCGTGTGTACTCTTCAAGAGAGCAACTCGGAGGCTCGATGAACCACGGGTAAGCGGGAAGGCAGAAGCCATGGAGTCGGCACCAACAATTGCCAAAGGTCTGCGGTCCTCTATATATTAGGGCAATGGTTCTTAACCTGGGGCGCAAAACGCCCTTTCTGGGGGTGTGAGACGCGCCGGATTTTTTTTAGCAGGTAAATCGTCTAAACAAATTGAACCAAAGGGCACGTAAGTACAACTACTTTGTTTCATCGCACCTATCACATGTTTTCAAGATCCAGAACCAAAGGGCGTAAGGCTGCAGTCAAGGTTTCAGTACGATGTACTTGTGTGTATTGAGCCAATGAGTTCCGTAGTTCATTTATTTGGTATAGCCCTGTGAGCCATTCGGCTCTGGAATCGGGTGCAACCGCAACAAACAAAAACGTGAACAAGAAAACATCTTAAATGGATGAAACCCAGGCGTGCGAGAGGGAAGCTCGTAGAGATTGGAACAGGCGGAGTCCACATTTTGCTGTACCACAACACTCGCGGGAAGGGAGTTTTGTGAACCACCAACCCTCGCTGCCATCTGTGGTGGCGATTACAGGCGTCCGTAGTCGCCCCTACCCACCTTTCAGGCATGGCTGCCAAGTGCACGATTAATCTACTACAAAGTGATGATCGTTCCTTTGTGCAAGAGGCATTTATTTACAGCTCTTTGGAAGTTATATACAGTTGTGTTTAATCGCCTGCCGATTTGATACATTTTCACGCTTCTGGGGCACGATTCTGTCCCGTTTAACTGAAGGAGCAAAATGTTTGCGTAAATTGCCGATAATTATTATTTGCTGTTTTATTAGCAAAATAATCCACCTTAATCTTGAGTTGTATTGTGACTTACCGGATTAAATCTAGGATAGCTGGCCACATCGGTCGGGGAGAGCGAGGAATGTCTCACAGTCGGAATATTGCGAGTTTTCATCTGGGTTCGGAACGTGGAATTTACACCACTGCCCAGCCCGGGCTGTAAACGTGAGAATGAGCAACACCGCAATGCTTCGTTCGCTCGTAGCAGGAATTCACTTTGGATGGAATGAACTCGGCAGACTAAAACTTGCGAGATGTACGACGGAGACGAAGTACTCGTATCGAATCGTGATCCCCACCCACCCCCCCATGTTTGCATCGGCCTTCTCGCGTGTTCTGCTTCACGAGACTGCGAGTGCCCATGGCGACGGTATGGGGGAAGCCTTCATCTAGTCGTGGATAGATCACGCACTTCCGATTTAGCACGGCTGTCTATGTACGGTGCGAATGAAGTTCAACACACGAAACGACGACAATTTTTGGCCAAGTCGACGCTTTCCCCCAAATCCAGCGGACGGTCATCTTCGGCGGGGTGGTTATTTTTTGCCTCTTCGCCACTCCACTGTGCGTGCTGTTCTGTTCTTTGAGCGGCCGCGGCGGGTTGGATCAGTGCGCGGGGTACAGCCGCCCCACCATGGCTCTCCACGCCCGCGCCAGCATCCTCACCAGGGCCGAAGTCGGGCGCAGGGCGGCAGGCGACGCTGCGACGAAGAGAACGGAACGCCCGTTGCAGACGTGACGTTAAGGGGGCTTAAGGGATTGTGTTTATTGCAGGGCTGTTGCGGAATGCTTTGGTATCGGTGCATCGCGTGGTCTCTCGTCTCAACCCATCCGTCGCCCTGTGGCAGTCGGGCCAGGTGACTAAGGCGGTAAAGCGAGCGGGTAAGGCTGCGAGTTCAAATCCTGGCTAAGGAGTTCGCTCGACCACGTCATCCCTCCGGGGGCCAATAAAATAATTACCACTTTGTGGGGACGTCAACAGTGGTCCTGTGGATAGACTGGCACCTACCATAGCAATGTTGAGTTTCCACAATTGACTTCGGCATGTTGAGAGATCAGAAAATTACTTTTAAGTTAGCACAAGACAGTGTTATTCATTGCAAGGCCCACGGGCCACCGGTGGCCTTTACTGCGGCCCACGACAATATAAAAATGTGAAAACACCCCCATCGTCATCGTGCTGCTGTGAAACCCCAATGGTTTCAATTGTATGGCGGCCCTCACACTGATGATGTCTTATCGGCGACAATTAGTGATGAACACTGGCTTAGGGGATCCCCAGTGCCAAGCAACCCTACTGCATATGGGAGTGGTTTTTCATTCGAAGGCAATGTTACTCGGCGGTTTTTAATCGCGAGCTCGATTGCCCCCTGAAGCCTGTGTTGGAAAAGTTAGAATCCTCACCGGGGTCGAGTTGGAAGAGCAGCATGGAGAGGAGGAAGAGGAAGAGGGCGGCTTGGCGAATGGGGGCTCCGGTCACCGACATCACGGCCAAAAGGGTCCGGCACACGCGGCCCCAAAGCTCATTACCGGGGCTGCTGCTAATGCCATCGCCATCACCTGGAACAACACCGCCAAAGTTATTAACATTTACAGCTGCTGTTCACCGAGTGGCGGTGAACGTCACCACAGCGCTCGTAACGGGCTAGGTGGGCTTTGAGGCCACGTGAAGTGTCGAAGGCCCGTTGCCAGGAGGTCACAGAACAGACCCAGGCAGCATGGGTTGACTGACTGAGATGGCTGGCAGATGCACCAACTGTGCTTCCCACTGTGCCAACTCTCTGCGTGTTAGCTGCCCGGCGCTCCGCTCGTTGTTGTGAGCGTCGCTCCTGTGCCCTCCGTTGTTGCTGGAGGGCGACTGCCTCCAACTCCCCAGCAGCAGCAGCGTCCTTGACGAACCTCCTCCACAAAGGCCGAGCTTGACGCCCGCTGGTCACACCGCCACCAACATCATGGCACCTCGATGACCCCACCATCACTACTGCCGCCACCACCACCACTACAACACCTCGAGTGCCGAGGGTGTCGTAATCTCGCTGCGAGCGGCAAACGAGAGAGTTGCGCTCTCTTCCATCGGTTGCCACATGGCGGCTGACGACGAGGCACGATGAACGTCTTCCACGCCTTGATTTCTGTGGTCACTGCAATCACATCCTGGAGGCCAGGTATGGGGGAAACCTTTTCCTTAGCGAGAGCAGAATCGGACCTTCGGTGGGCCCCACTGGTCCTGAGCGCCCCGTGCCACCACCTCTACCACCACCAAACCGCACTGATCGGCGTGAAGTATGGTCAAACAATCCCCACGACCGCCAACATCGGAGACCACCCAGCGGTAGATTGATAAAGGGCTGTGCACAATCATTCTACCTGTTTTGCATCGGAAGCAATAATATATTGGTCTATCCCGATTGAAATTGCCTCGACGGTGAAGCATAACTCTGCACTGTTGTGGGAAGGTGGGCTGGTACCATTTGTCTGGGCGGGCAGTGGTGGTGGCTGCCGCTGCTGGTCACATGGCCCCTGTTTGGGGATAGAAGCCGCCCTCTCTCTTGCTCCCTGCAGCAAAACCTGGGCCCGGTCTCCCCGCCAGCTCTCCCACACCTCGGTCATGCTGCAAGCAACACACGCAGACACACACACACATCAACCAAAACAAATACACGCAGGCATACGGACCTTTACATGCATACGATGAGACAACATGCATCAATGCGTGCAGATCAACGCATAGACGCAGATCATCATCGCGATCCATGGGCAGGTAGCCCGTAGGTGTCCACTGCACATTTCGGCATTTGTTTCCACTTTCCTCTTGCCTTGTGCCGATTTGCTAAAGCAGTGACCACATCTTTCTGGCACCAATCCCCGATGGTGGCGTTCTCTCTTACGTCTTCCTCTCCCTCCTGTTCCTTCCATTTTTTTCCCCGAACAACACACTTTTAAAATGTTCCGTTGTCCGTCCTACACGTGCGTCCAACTGGTGCAGATACAAAGGCAAAAGATCCCCCCGTATAGCCGTTTAACAGACTAGTTGGGTAATGATCTGTTAACCATCAACTATTAAGGCCACCATGGCACCACGCCCGGACGCCTTTGTCTCCCCAATGGTGATCTTTACACATCGCACCAGGTATGCACTTAAGACCGAGTCGACCAAAGGGATGTCCCCCTACTGGCTTAGATATTATTCACCGTCCTTGCAGTGAGCGGGAATCGAACCCGGCTCGCCAGGCTCGGAGTGCAGTAAACTAACCACTGCCCCACCAATCCCCACAGCACGTAGATACAAAGACATACACCATACCATGTACACACAGCAAGCATGCAACAAACAGAAACATGTAGACTACATATTTCAATCGTTTTAACTTAATTCTACTAAATTCCTGCTTCAGTTTTCTTGCCGTGCGACGAACTCTGGTCAGCAGGGCACCTCCGATTGGGACGGTTGGCTACGTACGGTGCGAAAGAAGTTCAACATACGTACGTACAGGAAACGTGCCCCTCGTGTTAAAAATAGAGTTGTCAATTAAAGTCACGTCCAGAGTAGTCTCGCAACATCATCCAACGTCATTCACGGGCCGTTCCCTCTCGCACGCAGTGGTGCGCGCTGGCTCGCCCCGCCACAGTTTTCCCGAATCGGTTCACCTGCTGAGCAGCGTCTCCGCCTCTCCCCACCGCCGCAGGGGAAGCAGCACGTACTGCAGGTGAAGCTCCGCCACAAGGGCCGACCCATCCCGAGTCTGATCTACGCAACATTCCAAAGACAAGGCTGTGATGATGTCGTTCTATGGGAGACGGAGCCTTCTGCAGCCAGGGCTCCGGGATTGTGAAATCCCCCTTCCTCGGGCGGTTTGAGATTTCCGAGTGCCTATCACTTTTTAAATCACGTGTTTTTAAAACTCACCCATTTGTACAGGCTTTATCCGTAACGTGAGATTTAAAAAAGCAATTCTGTTGTCCGATTGGATTACTCTGCAATTATTATTAGTCGCTTTTGTCAGTTATTCATTTTATTGGCCTTTCGAGAGTAGTCATTGACATTGCTATTATCAGCTTTCTATTTCGCTTAGATTCTATCTAAATTTGTGAGTAGTTTTTTTAATGTACAGCGCTTTGAGATACTTCAATATGGGAAGGCGCTTTATAAAATAGAGATTGTTATTATTGTTATTATTACCCTCGCCTTCTCCCATCGGGGTCGGCCTGTGGCCGCCGCCATCTGCCGTGGCGTCCGGTGTGACTCTCCGGGGGGCGACGTGCTCCTGTAGCCAGGCCCGCGCCATGTCCAGCACCATCTCGGGCTTCCCGACCCGGCTCATGAGCAGGATGCTGGAGGGTGGCCGGAGTTAGGAAAGGGTGGTGGGTGGGTGGGGTGGGAAGGAAAAACGATAAGTGTGAGCGAGCAGGGGTGACGAGGTCTTCCACAGTTTAGCAAGTACTAGGTAAATCTTGACTTAAAGATTTCGTGACTGCAGGAATTCATATTCTTTGCGGACTTTCGGTAAAGTCAAGTAGATAGCACAGGGTGTGAAGGCGGTAAGGTGATGCGTTCCAGAGTCGAGCAGCACATTGTGTGAAGGCGGAAGGTGGTGATGAGTTCCGTGGTTGAGCGGTACAGGGTACCAGGGTGAACGGTGATGCGTTCCAGAGTTGACCAGCGTGTGTGTTGCCTCATTTGTGGGTTGCGGGCGAGGACATTTGGCCATCAGGGCTTTGACGGGGCCCAGTGTTATGAAGGTGCGGATAAGGGTCTCGAGACGGATTGGAGAGGCGAGAGTTTCATTCGTTGAGTCGGGGTGTGAGGCAGAAGGCACGACCATCAAGGGTCTCCGCAAACAGCTGGGGCGAGGTACTGGCGGGTGCGGGAGACGTCGCGCAGACGCAGTTACGGGCTCCTGCCGAAACCTGTTGGCGCCTCGCTCCTCACCACAGCTGTAGCACCTGCGCCGGCAGGTTCCCCGCTGACCCGTACTGGGCCAGCACCCAGGGCAGCACCTCGGCCCAGCGCTCCATCTCCGCCAGGGCCTGTACGCCCAGGCAACAGAGCGCGGCGCGGGGCCTGCGCCGGCCGGCACACCGAGCGTCGGTTACAATCGGCATTGTTCGTTACGCCTGGCAGTGACTCACGGCAAGCGCAACTGACGGTGTAGATTCAGTCAACTGCGCTGCTGCAACTGTAATACCTGGACACATCCGTCAATAACACTTGCCATAAAAAGGCGAGACACCTACGACTCAAGCGGGGCTCTCCTGGGTACGTCAATTATTTATCGCACAATTGGTTCAAAACTGTGGCGCCACGGTGGCTAGATGTTAACTACCTCGCCTGGTATACAGGAGGTCGTGGGTTCGAACCCGACCCTGACTACGCCTGAATATTTGGAATTTGTCTATCATGATCATCATCACGGTGGCTAGGAGATGTTAACTACCTCGCCTGGTATGCAGGAGGCCGTGGGTTCGATCCCGACCCGGACACCTGCTGTATATTTCGAGTTTGCGTGTCTCTCTCTCTCTCTCCCCGTGGTCGCGTGGATTTTTCTCCGGGTCCTCCTGGTTTCCCCTCCACATGTGAAAACACCCCCATCGTCATCGCTGTGTGTGTGTCTGTGTGTATCTGTGTATGTGTTTGTGTGTGTCTGTCTGCGTGTGTGTGGAAGCGTAACGCATTGTAGTGTAGTGGTTAGCGCGCTGTGTGTGTCTGTGTGTGTCTGTGTGTGTGTCTGTCTGTGTGGAAGCGTAACGCATTGTAGTGTAGTGGTTAGCGCACTGTGTGTCTGTGTGTGTGTGTCTGTGTGTGTGTGGAAGCGTAACGCATTGTAGTGGTTAGCGCGCTGTGTATGTGTCTGTCTGTGTGTCTGTGTGTGTGTGGAAGCGTAACGCATTGTAGTGTAGTGGTTAGCGCGCTGTGTGTGTCTGTGTGTGTATCTGTGTGTCACTGGGCAGACCCAGGTGCCACGGGTCGACTGACTGAGATGACTGGCTGATGCACCACCTGTGCCCCCTACTGTGCCAACCTGCTGTGCTTTAGCCACCCGGCGCTCCGCTCGTTGTTGTGAGCGTCGCTCCTCCGCCCTCCGTTGTTGTTGGAGGGCGACTGCCTCCAACTGCCCAGTAGCATCCTTCACGAGCCTCCTCCACAGAGGCCGATCTTGACACCGCTGGTACCAGTCATCGGCAAGTCCACTCAGCTCCACGTCCTCCTGTACCACATCACTCCATCTCTTCTCTAGCCCGTGCCGCGCCCGCTTAGCCCCCTCAATCCGGCCAAACAAAAGCTGTTTCGGCATGCGGTGGCTGGGCATGCGGGCTACATGACCCAGCCATCGTAGCCTTGCCTGCCGGAGGAGTTCACCGATGGGACCCTGCCCTTGAAAAAATCAAGGATTTGTGAGCTCCTCACACAATCCAGTCTGGTTAAACCCAGGATGGATCGTAGGCAGGCCAGCCTAAATGTTTCTAACCGGCGAAGATGTTCCATTAGGGGGGTCCACGTTTCGCAAGCGTAGAGAAGGGAGGGAATGACCTTGGCCGAGAAGACCTGAAGCTTAGTGCGGAGCGACAGACCAGGTAGCTTCCACACAGCATTACGCAACCGATGAAAAGATATTGCCGCTCGACTGATTCGGAGTGAGACCTCTGCTGTTAAACTGGAGCCAGTCATAAGCACACTGCCCAGGTATGGGAAACTCTCCACTCTCTCCACAACTGCCCCATCACCGATTGGGAGTTGTGGGGGTGGAGTGTCCGATGGTACAAATACCCAGTGACCTCCTGCCAGCGGGCGTTCGACACTTCACGTGGCCTCAAGGTGCACATAGCCTGGCACAAGCGTCGTGGTGACGTCACCGCCACTTAGTGGCGAATGGCGGTTGTTGTTGTTGTTGTGTGTGTGTGGAAGCGTAACGCATTGTAGTGTAGTGGTTAGCGCGCTGTGTGTCTGTGTGTGTGTGGAAGCGTAACGCATTGTAGTGTAGTGGTTAGCGCGCTGTGTGTCTGTCTGTGTGTGTGTATGTGTGTCTGTGTGTGTCTGTGTATGTGTCTGTGTGTGTGGAAGCTTAACGCATTGTAGTGTAGTGGTTAGCGCTACGCTACGCTACGAACCCGGCGACCTGCTTTCGATTCCCGCTCACGGCCACCACCGGTGACGATTATTTGAACCGGTCCTGGGCCTCCCCTAGGTCGACTCAGCCTCAAACGAGTAACTGGTCTGCTGTGTGAACATCGCCACTGGGGAGACAAAGGCGGCCGGGCGTGGTGAATCCAAGTCCCGGGCGAAGCCGGGGGGAGTAAAGCTAGTAGTAATATTCAAATGTGCTCAAAATGTCCCCCCTAATATCTAACCTATAAAATAGATTTCTGTTTATATGATGTGGTCATGGTTGTACTTTATTAATCCCTAATCTCTGCCATTTACATACAATGAAACAAGAAGATGTAAACAAAGTAAAAAAACAGAGCAATGTAATACAATACACTGTTAGACATTATTGTTAAAAATAATAACATTTGGTCAACCCCCCCCCCCCCCCCCTCCATGTTGACTCCATGGCTCCGGCCTTGGAGCCAGCAGCAGCAGCAGCACGGCCCACCGTCTTGTGTTGCCGGCTAGAGAAGAGAGCAGCGCCCTTCTTACCCACAGCCTCCTCCTCCTCCATCTGTCCTCGCGTTCTCTTCACACAGCGCCCACAGATCCTCAAATCGCCCCGTCACGAGGAGTCCATTGGCGCGTTCCACCACCACCACCGCCGCCGCCGCGACTGCCATGGATGACGGCGGCGAACTCTGACTCCGTGTTCACACTCTGGCTCCGTGTTCACACTCTGGCTCCGTGCTCACTCTCTGGCTCCGTGCTCACTCTCTGGCTCCGTGCTCACTCTCTGGCTCCGTTCTCACACTCTGGCTCCGTGCTCACTCTCTGGCTCCGTGCTCACTCTCTGGCTCCGTGCTCACTCTCTGGCTCCGTGCTCACTCTCTGGCTCCGTGCTCACTCTCTGACTCCGTGCTCACTCTCTGACTCCGTGTTCACTCTCTGGCTCCGTGCTTTGGTGGCTAAACACCGCACCGCGCTCTGACCCCCCCACCCCCACGTAATATGGCGGGCGATTGTTTCGCGGTTGCGTGGAGAGGGTGAGGGCATCGCGCCGCTGCTGCTGCACGGCCGTGGGGCTGCGCTGGGTTCTCCCATCCCCACGTAACATGGAGGGAGGTTGATTCGCTGTTAGGGGCCGTCCATGAATGACGTCACGCAATTTTTGACGATATTTGACCCCCCCTTCGTCACACGACGTCACGTGAAGTCAGATCCCCCCCCCTCAAATATGACGTCATGCCCCCCCCCCCAAAAAATGCTTCAAATCGCATTAAACTATTGTCATTGTAGTGCGTATTTAATGTGGCGCTGCACTCTGATGTTGTAGGAGAAAACATTTATTACAAATATATATTTAATTAAGTAGAACGTGTGTATATTTATTTAAAGTTGCGCATTTTTATGTGACGTCACATTTCTAAACCCCCCCCCCCCCCTCGTCACACATCGTCACAAATGTCTGACCCCCCCTCCCTAGGTGCGTGACGTCATTTATGGACGGTCCCTTACACAATTATGAATACAGTGCACACAACGCTGGGTACCATCCCCCTACGTAACATGGCGACGATATCGGTTGGCGGTAAGAGGGGCGCCATCTTACTACCCCTCCCCCAAGTAACATCGAGGGAAATTTGTTGGCTGCATTGAGGGGGGGGGGTCCGCTATCTCTTACTACCCCCACCCCCCACAACGGTAGCACGGTTGGCTACTACGTACGGCGCGAAAGAAGTTCGACATGCAGTTGCGGAGCCGTACTGGGCAGGTCTCCACCCCCACGTAACATGGCGGCGATGGCGGTTGGCCACGAGGAGGGGGCGGGCCATCCTGACGATCGCACGCGAGGAGACGGCGCGCTCCGATTGGTGGTTCGCGCGCACGTGGCGCGCCTCGCGTCACAATGCGTTGTCGCAAAACGGGTCCAGGCGACGCAGCACTCGCCGACGAACAAGGGGCATCGCCCGAAACGTCGCTTGTGACACATATATCTGTGTATAAATGTTTTCCATTTAAGGTCATTCGCCACTGGACCAAATCTTTCAGAGGGTCTGGGGGTCTCCCCCAGAAAAATTATTCTAAATTTGAAAACTAATTTCCTGCCTAAAATATTGAAAAATTCACTAACATATGGGATGGACTTTTTAGTTATTTTTTTACAATAATGTCTCATCGTGTAGTATATTACATTTTTTACCTTTTATTGTTTCATATATATGTAGTGGCAGAGATTAGGGATTATTAAAGTACAACCACAATCATATAAACATAATTCTTTGCATTGTTATATGAAGACAAGTTCAGATATTGTGGCCAAGGTTTAGCAAATTGTTGTTTTTATTTAAATAGCATTGCAATGATTAGATAAAAAAAATATATAGCAATATATTGGGGGGGGGCATTTTGAGCATATTTGAATATTGGGGGGGGGATGTATATTGGGGGGGGGGGGATGTATCCCCCCCCCCCCAATATATATTGCAATTACGGCCTTGGCGTGAAGTGTCGAAGGCTCGATGCTGACAGATGATGCACCAACTGTGCCCCCTACTGTGCCAACTTTTAAGGCCACACACATACACAAGAGATAAAGACCCCCGCCGAATCGCCTTAAGGGCCCGTCCATAAATGACGTCACGCGATTTTGGACAATTTTGACCCCCCCCCCCTACGTCACACGGTGTCACAAAAAGTCAGACCCCTTCAAATATGACGTCACAAAGCTCTGCCCCCCCCAAAACCGTATTTCCATTTTGAAAATAAAAAATGCTTCAAATCGCTTTAAACTATTGTCATTGTAGTGCGTATTGAATGTGGCCCTGCACTCTGATGTTGTAGGAGAAAACATTTATTAAAAAGTCTATTTAATTAAGCAGAACGTGTTGTCTATATTTAAAGTTGCGCGTTTAGATGTGACGTCACATTTCTCACCCCCCCCTCCTCCTCCTCGTCACACATCGTCACAAATATCTGACCCCCACCCGCCCCCCGCCTAGGTGCGTGACGTCATTTATGGACGTCCCCAAACAGACTGTTGGGGCAAGTGCTGTTAGCGAACAACTATTAAGGCTGGTAACGGTGCACGAGGGGGGTGGGTGGCTACCAGCACCACGCCCGACCGCCTTTGTCTCCCCAGTGGCGATCCTTCTTTTTAACGCACCCACACCAGATTACTGTTGAGGCTGAGCCGACCTAGGGGAGGCCCAGTACGGGACCAGACAATCCGTGACTGCCGTTGATTCGAACTTGGGGGGGGGGCGGCGGCTTCGTAAGAGCGCTAACCGCTACTAACACTACCCCCCCCCCCCCCCCCCCACATTAGAATTAAAAACAAAGATCCCCCGTGTAGCCTCTAACAAACTGTTGGGGCAAGCGCCGTTATCGATCACCTATGAAGAGGGTAGGTGGCCAGCACCACGCCCGGCCGCCTTTGTCTCTCCCTAGTGACGATTGTTTTTACGCACCGCGCCAGGTAACTCATTTGAGGCTGAGTCGACCTAGGGGAGGCTCAGATAATCCCTTCACCGGCGTTGGCCGTGATTCGAACTCGGCGCGCAAACCGCTACCCCCGCCACCCCCCTCATCACAACAACCGCCACTAAGTGTCGGTGACGCCGCCTCGGCGCCTGTGCCAGGCTAGGTGCACGTTGCAGGCACGTGCAGTCGGTTACGGGGCAGACCCAGCAGGTGCCACGCGTGTCGCCTGGCTGAGATGAGTGGCCGATGGCACCACCTGTGCCCCCTTTTACTGTGCCCCCACCCACAACAACACCATCACACACACAGCGACATTGACGAACGCGTCGAGATTATTATTGTTGTTGTTATTATTTGTGCAGCGCGCTCGCGCCTGTGTTTGTGTTAAGAACGAAATGACGCCGGTAGTGACGTTGCTTGGCGGCTGCAGCGGCCGCTGGGAGCGAGTGGCGCTGCTGCTGCTGTTGTTGACGGCAAAGCCGCCGCCGTTAGTAAGCGGCGGCTTTTGTTGTCGGCGTTTTGACAGTCGCGAGTTGTTTGTTGTTTGTTGCTGTTGTTTATTTATTATTTGTCCGCGACGCCATGGCGGCGGTGATCCCTGGGCCCGGCACCGGCGGCCGAGACGAAGCGAGGACCGAGGCCGGGGCGCGCCTCGGGGACCCCCGGGTCAACGAGGAGGTAAACGGTGCAGTCCGGAACCGCCACGCCCGCCAGGCAAGGAGGCAGGCTTCGAATCGGGGTTAGGCCGCAGAGGGGGAGGCCTCTGGAAACGGCTCTGGGAGAGACATAGAGGGGGATAGGGGGGTAGAGAGGGGAGAGGGGATAGGGGGGTAGAGAGGGATAGGGGGTAGAGAGGGATAGGGGGTAGAGAGGGGATAGGGGGGTAGATAGGGGATAGGGGTAGAGAGTGATAAGGGGTAGAGAGTGATAGGGGGTAGAGAGGGATAGGGGGGTAGAGAGGGGATAGGGGGTAGAGAGGGATAGGGGGCTAGAGAGGGATAGGGGGGTAGAGAGGGGATAGGGGGTAGAGAGGGGATAGGGGGTAGAGAGGGGATAGGGGGGTAGATAGGGGATAGGGGGGTAGAGAGGGATAGGGGGTAGAGAGGGGATAGGGGTAGAGACTGATAAGGGGTAGAGAGTGATGGGGGTAGAGAGGGATAGGGGGGTAGAGAGGGGATAGGGGGGTAGAGAGGGATAGGGGGGTAGAGAGGGGATAGGGGGTAGAGAGGGGATAGGGGGGTAGAGAGGGGATAGGGGGTAGAGAGGGATAGGGGATAGAGAGGGATAGGGGGTAGAGAGGGATAGGGGGTAGAGAGGGGATAGGGGTAGAGGGATAGGGGGTAGAGAGGGATAGGGGGTAGAGAGGGATATGGGGTAGAGAGGGATATGGGGTAGAGAGGGGATAGGGGGGTAGAGAGGGGATAGGGGGGTACAGAGGGATAGGGATAGGGGGTAGAGAGGGATAGGGGGGTACAGAGGGATAGAGTAGGGATAGGGGGGTAGAGAGGGATAGAGAGGGGATAGGGATAGGGGGGTAGAGAGGGATAGAGGGGTAGAGAGGGGATAGGGGGTAGAGAGGGATAGGGGGTAGAGAGGGATAGGGGGGTACAGAGGGATAGAGAGGGGATAGGGATAGGGGGGTAGAGAGGGGATAGGGGGTAGAGAGGGGATAGGGGGGTAGAGAGGGATAGGGGGTAGAGAGTGATAGAGGGTAGAGAGGGATAGGGGGGTAGAGAGGGATAGGGGTAGAGAGTGATAGGGGGTTGAGAGGGATAGGGGGTAGAGAGTGATAGGGGGTAGAGAGGCATAGGGGGGTAGAGAGGGGATAGGGGGGTAGAGAGGGGATAGGGGGGTAGAGAGGGATAGGGGGTAGAGAGGGGTAGAGAGGGGATAGGGGGGTAGAGCGTGATAGGGGGTAGACAGGGATAGGGGGGTATAGAGGGATAGAGGGTATAGAGGGGATAGGGGGGTAGAGAGGGGATAGGGGGGTATAGAGGGATAGGGGGTAGAGAGTGATAGGGAGTAGAGAGTGATAGAGGGTAGAGAGGGGATAGGGGGGTAGAGAGTGATAGGGGGTAGAGAGTGATAGGGGGTAGAGAGGGATAGGGGGGTAGAGAGGGGATAGGGGGGTAGAGAGGGATAGGGGGTAGAGAGGGATAGGGGGTAGAGAGGGATAGGGGGTAGAGAGTGATAGGGGGTAGAGAGGGATAGGGGGTAGAGAGGGATAGGGGGTTGAGAGGGATAGGGGGTAGAGAGTGATAGGGGGTAGAGAGGGATAGGGGGTAGAGAGGGATAGGGGGGTAGAGAGGGATAGGGATAGAGAAGGGAGAGGGATGGGGGGTAGAGAGGGATAGGGGGGTAGAGAGAGTTGAGGAATGGGGGGGGATATTGTCATTGTTTTACAACCATTAGCCGGAGGGGAAAAATGTAATAATATTTCCATTAATTGAAAGTAAAATCAATTCTTCCACCCCCCCAAAAGACAAAGATCCCCCGTATTGCCTGAGCAGGCTGTTGGGGCAAGTTCTGGTAGCGACCACCTATGAAGGCCGGCACGGCACACAAAGGGGTGGGTGGCCAGCACCCCGCCCGACCGCCTTTGTCTCCCCAGTACGTGACGTTCACACACCACGATCAGGTACTGTACTCATTTTAGGCTGAGTCGACCTAGGGGCAGCCCAGGACCAGGTTTAGATAATCGCCACTGGTACTGACCGTGAGCGGGAATCGAACTCGGGTCGCCAGGTTTGTAGTGCTGCGTGCTATCCGTTGCGCTACCGCTCCCATCGCACACAGTGGGCAAAAAAAAAATCCACTTGAATCCATCAATGGATGCGTCATTGCATTCCCATTCCCCAAAGACATCTCAGATAGGCCTTTAATGCCCTCTCAGCTGCTTCTCAATGTGGACCCAAAACCTCCCAGTTGCCTCATTGCACGGGTAAAAAGCAAATATAATAATTATAAACACTTTATTTATTTTTCCCGGAAAGCCTCGATGGGTCGAAGGGCTCTCTCGTTCAGGAGGATCCAGCAATGGGTTTTTTTATTTCAGTATGTTTTCATGCAATTGATGGGTGCTTACACGCGCGGGAGGAAACCGGAGCGGCCGGAGAAATCCAACGCGTGTTAGGGGAGTCCATGCTATCGCCGTGCAGATGGAAACCGATGGCGATTAGTCCACTTGCTGAACTGCCGTCTCCTGGCGAGCCCGGGAATGGCACCTCGACACCCACGGGAAGGGAGTTGAACAACATTTGTGCCATTCGCCAGCCCTCATCCACACAGTGCATCAGCCATCTCGCAAACTCTGGTCATTCTCGCAGCGGCGACCGTTGGCTGCTAGCCCTCGAACAAAGACGGCTACTGCGTCTCGCGCTTTCAGTTGCACATCTGAAGCCATCCGGAACGCTCTTTTAAATCTAGATTGAAACCTCATTTCTGTAGAACTGCTTTTTGTGTTTTAGTTTGTTGTACTTTCCCCGCACCTCCGGTTAGCACGGTTGGCTCCGTACGGTGGGAAGGAAGTTCTACGTACGTGCGTACGTGTGCCACCACCCGCCAGGCTGTCAAGCACAACTCAATTCTGTGCCTACACATTGAACTGCATCTGAACATCGCATAAAAAAACACGAGAAGCAGCCCATCCGCGCAATGCGGCCGTGGCGCGTCAAAGCCAAATGTGGGAACACATCGTACAGCACCGTCCCATGCTTCGGTCATTCGTTGGCAACATCTAAGGGATTCTCAACATCACTCCCGTAGCCTCAGCTGCCTCGCCAGCCTTGATATGAACGCAGAACGTTGCCTATCATGAAAGAAAAATAAAATGTGTTAGGTTTTCCAGACTAGTGTTATCGCACCACCAGCTTTTTGTTTAAGCTCTACCGGTTTTTGATCTTCTAGATCTCATCAGCAGTCAGAACCTGTTAAACAACCACTGCTGGGATTACCATATGATATTGGGAAGTGCACACCCTGAAATAACTGATCACACGGGGGATCACCAATTACTGCGATTTGGGAATGTTGTTTTCAACATAAAGGAATATAAAGCGGCCTAAAGCGTAACTGCCGTCCTGCTTTGCCTTAATGTCACGTCTCGTGACAGAGTGCCCGTCCGTATCTCTCGACCCTTGTGCTAAGAGACGCCCTCCCCCATAGTACAGAACTGCTTCTGAAGATCCCTTTGAGGTTGCTACAATTTACCACACGCACACCCTGCGACAGAGAAATGGTTATCACACGGTGGCTAAAGCGATGATTTTTTTTTGGTCTTCAGTTGAATCAGATCGCTGAATGGGGACCGTTAATCCGAATTGCTTTCGGGAGTGAGAGGTGCATCGCTGAATCGCTGCAGCACCAATGTTTTGGAACATCCTTGTTTTTCACTCCCCTTGACATCGTAAATCTTCCTTTAAACTTTTTTTATCATGAAGCAGAAGATTAGTAGTGCTGGATACAGCAGTCACGTTTGCGAATGTGACCGCTGTAACTTTGATCCTTGCCCGTTCAGTTTTCGACAGTGCAGTGTTAATGTTCCATTTTATTGAGGCGCTACTGCTGTGTGGTGTTATCTTGGTGAGGTTTGGGACTCTTTTGTTGTTGTTGTTTTTGCTGCTGCCTTGCCCAAGCTTGATAAACTGGACTTATATAAATAAATTGCTTATTATTTTTGTAATGTTTGCTGTTGCAACTTGCTCACCCGCCCTTACTGGACATCTTTGAACAAGAGCTTCATGGCTCATCGGATTCCTCCAGTCTAAATAAAGATTATGATTGTGACCTGGGAGGGGGCGGGGGGTGGTCTGGTGGTTGATAGGCACAGGTTGGAGATTTGGCTTTTAGGGTGAGATTTAGGGTCATGTGTTTCTCTCTCTCTGTGCTCCTTAGCTTGCACTGCGAGTAAAGAATGTTCCCTTCCAGCGCCTCTAAATCACCTCAATTTAAGTAGCGCGTAATTAGTTTTTATATTACACGTAGAAGTGTTTTTGTTTACCCCCTTTTGGGCCTGTGCCTATGATTATCCGTCCAGTGCTCGCCAAGCTGCATTGGTTTCGGGTTGCCAAACGAATGCGTTTTAAGGTGATGCTCATCATGTGCACACAGTGCTTGCCGCAAATTAACCACAATACCTCGCTGATCTCGTCAAGGAGCATGAACCATCATGCGAACTCCGGTCATCCTCGTAGCGGCTTTTGACTCGACATCAAACAAAGGAATATTTAGAACAGGACAGTCCCAGCCCAATTGTGGACCAAATGATTGGTCACAGCCATTACGGACCAAAGTCTGTGTCGTCCAGGGCGGTGACGTGGCCTAGCGTTGGTGCTTTCGCCGCTTGTTGCAGAGGGTTCACGGTTCAAATCCAGCGGCCGCCCTGATTAATGCTGCGCGAGTGCGATGACCGTGATATTACTACTAGTCATGGAACAAAGACGGTCAACTGTGGCACGTGCTTTCAGATGCGCCTTTCTGTGGACGTCTGGAATGCTCTTCCTTCCGATATTAGGAAGCCACTGGAGCTGTGCACTTTAAAATCTAGATATCTTTAGAACTGCTATTTTGTCTTTAGTTTTTTTTTCCTTCCCCGGCACCTCCGATTAGCACGGTTGGCTATGCACGGTGCGAAAGAAGTTCAACGAACGTACAGTGAGAGAAAAAAGTATTTGATCCCCTGCTGATTTTGTACGTTTGCCCACTGACAAAGAAATGATCAGTCTATACTTTTAATGGTAAGTTTATTTGAACAGTGAGAGACGTAATAACAACAACAAAAATCCGGAAAAACGCATGTCAAAAATGTTATAAATTGATTTGCATTTTAATGAGGGAAATAAGTATTTGACCCCCTCTCAATCATAAAGATTTCTGGCTCCCAGGTGTCTTTTATACAGGTAACGAGCTGAGATTAGGAGCACACTCTTAAAGGGAGTGCTCCTAATCTCAGCTTGTTACCTGTATAAAAGACACCTGTCCACAGAAGCAATCAATCAATCAGATTCCAAACTCTCCACCATGGCCAAGACCAAAGAGCTCTCCAAGGATGTCAGGGACAAGATTGTAGACCTACACAAGGCTGGAATGCGCTACAAGACCATTGCCAAGCAGCTTGGTGAGAAGGTGACAACAGTTGGTGCGATTATTCGCAAATGGAAGAAACACAAAAGAACTGTCAATCTCCTTCGGCCTGAGGCTCCATGCAAGATCTCACCTCGTGGAGTTGCAATGATCATAAGAACGGTGAGGAATCAGCCCAGAACTACATGGGAGGATCTTGTCAATGATCTCAAGGCAGCTGGGACCATAGTCACCAAGAAAACAATTGGTAACACACTACGCCGTGAAGCACTGAAATCCTGCTGCACCCGCAAGGTCCCCCTGCTCAAGAAAGCACATATACATGCCCGTCTGAAGTTTGCCAATGAAAATCTGAATGATTCAGAGGACAACTGTGTGAAAGTGTTGTGGTCATATGAGACCAAAATGGAACTCTTTGGTATCAACTCAACTCGCCGTGTTTGGAGGAGGAGCAATGCTGCCTATGACCTCAAGAACACCATCCCCACCATAAAACATGGAGGTGGAAACATTATGCTTTGGGGGTGTTTTTCTGCTAAGGGGACAGGACAACTTCACCGCATCAAAGGGACGATGGACGGGGCCATGTACCGTCATTTCTTGGGTGAGAACCTCCTTCCCTCAGCATTGAAAATAGGTCGTGGATGGGTATTCCAGCATGACAATGACTCAAAACACACGGCCAAGGCAACAAAGGAGTGGCTCAAGAAGAAGCACATTAAGGTCCTGGAGTGGCCTAGCCAGCCTCCAGACCTTAATCCCATAGAAAATCTGTGGAGGGAGCTGAAGGTTCGAGTTGCCAAACGTCAGCCTCGAAACCTTAATGACTTGGAGAAGATCTGCAAAGAGGAGTGGGACAAAATCCCTCCTGAGATGTGTGCAAACCTGATGGCCAACTACAAGAAACGTCTGACCTCTGTGATTACCAACAAGGGTTTTGTCACCAAGTACTAAGTCATGTTTTGCAGAGGGGTCAAATACTTATTTCCCTCATTAAAATGCAAATCAATTCATAACATTTTTGACATGCGTTTTTCTGGATTTTATTGTTGTTATTCTGTCTCTCACTGTTCAAATAAACCTACCATTAAAATTATAGACTGATCATTTCTTTGTCGGTGGGCAAACGTACAAAATCAGCAGGGGATCAAATACTTTTTTTCCCTCACTGTACATGCAAATGTGATTTAAATAAAATGAAGTAAACATTTGTGGTCGAAGTTAGCATCCGGTTTGGGCTTCGTGGCACCAGGGAGGCTGATGTTATCTGGAATTCTGCTCGCTACCACTCGCCCCCCCCCCCCCCAACTCTTTGTTCCACCCCAACAGGTGTGGAACCTGCAGCAGATGATCAAGTTGACGCAGGAACACCTGACGGCGCTGCTGGAACGTTTCGGAGGCGAACACAACCCTCCCTCCATCTACCTGGAGGTGAGCGAGCAGTGACAAACCCCGTTGTGTTGTTACTGAGCGGCCCGCGGAAGCGGATGTCACGCAACTACTTCTTAGATATTCTTTGGGTCTTTCGGTAAAGGTCGCATAGACAGATTCAAAGAATTTCGATTTAAAGCTTTCGTGACTGCAAGGATTCATCTTCTTTGGTTCTTTCGGTAAAGTCACGTAGAATGAGAATAAAATAATAAATTGATAAATAAAATAACACAATAAATTTGCGGCCGAAACGTCGTGAGAATTTTATTGTGTTATTTTATTTTATCATTTTATTATTTTATTCTCATTCTACGTGACTTTACCGAAGGAACCAAAGAAGAAGATTAAAAGAAAATAACCAAAAAACTACGACCGCTTGTGTTGCGATCGAAACGTCGTAGTTTTTTGTTATTTTATTTGAACCCATCTACGTGGCTTTACCGAAAGACCCAAAGAATATGAATTCCTGCAGTCACGAAAGCTTTAAGTCAAGATTCACTTCTTAGATCCCTGTGGTCCACGCGGTACAGAGAATCACTTTCCTCCCCACCTGCCCTGTCACATGCAGGAATTCTCATCTGAAGACTCTGAAGCCAATATGAGAATAGATCTCAAGCCAATAGTTTTTAATTCCCAGAGCTGGAATTGACCCCGAATTAAAGTGCAGAATTCCGTATGAAGGGACGGCGTTTTGAGTGGCCATTGGTAAAAGGGGCTGATGCAATTGAAGCTTTAGACTCGACAAGCCGGTTCAATCGCAGCTCCTTTGTAAGTGTATTTTGAACTTCTGTCGCACTGTACGTAGCCAACCGTGATAATAGGATGTGCGGACCTGTAGGTCTCTTTGTGATTTTACGGGTCTCTGTGTGCATCTATGTTAGTCACTGGTGATCGGACTGACACCATTGCCTCGCTGCACCCGGGAAGCTGGTTTGGTTCACGGTTGGGTGGCCGAACCCGGAAATTCAAACGCACGATCTCAGCGGTGCCCGGCTCGGCTCTCTGGCCCCTTGAGTCGCGCGTCCGTGCTTATTTCTTCTCCTCCGTCAAACCCCCACCACCTCCCAAACCCGTGCGTCTCGCAGGCGTACGAGGAGTACACGCACAAGCTGGACGCCCTGCAGGCTCGCGAGCAGGAACTTCTGGGCGCCGACGGCAAGGGGTCGGCGCCCCCGCCGCATCCCCGGCAACCGTCGCGCAAGCCCCCCGCGGCTACGCCGGGGCCCCCCGTCCACGTCGTGCCCTGCCCCCGCCCGCCGTGCCCCCCGAGCGACAAGCAGCGCTGCCGATCGCCGGTGTTCGCCGACGGCGCTCGCTGCGGCGCCGCCTTCTCCCCCGCTGGACCGGCGGCCGAGGCGGCGCCGGGGGAGCAGGCGCAGGCGGTGGAGGCGACAACGCCGCAGTCGCCGCTGAGCCGCACGGTGCGCGTGCACCTGCCCAACAAGCAGCGCACCGTGGTGAGCGTTGGCCGCGCGGGCCGGTGGGCTTCTCGGTCGACAGATCGGATAACGCGGGAATAGTTTGGACGAAGCGTCTTGTTTTTAGCGCGCGTACCACTGGGTGGGAGGTTAGTGGTGGCCGGGCGTGGTGACGTTATCAGCAGCGTCGCTTTTGAAGTGGTGCATTTTCGGAGTGTCTCGCCTTCGGGAGGGCAGGGTTGGGGGCAGTCGCCGTTTATACCATGGAGACCATTGTGAGGATCTTCTTTGGTTCTTTCGGTAAAGTCACGTAGAATGAGAATAAAATGATAAATTGATAAAATAAAATAACACAATAATATTCTAACACGACGTTTCGGCCACAACACAAGCGGCCTTCATCAGGTGAAGGTACGAGACTGTCTGGAGGACAGTGCTGGAGTGTCTCGTCCCTTCACCTGATGAAGGCCGCTTGTGTTGCGGCCGAAACGTCGTGAGAATATTATTGTGTTATTTTATTTTATCAATTTATTATTTTATTCTCATTCTACGTGACTTTACCGAAAGAACCAAAGAAGATGAATCCTTGCAGTCACGAAAGCTTTAAACCATTGTGAGGATGTTTTCTACCTCGCCGGTTATACAGAGGGTCGTGGCTTGGATCACGAAAATGACGCCTGCTGTGTATTTGGAGTTTGCACGTTCTCCCCGTTGTCGCGTGGATTCTCCCCGACGCATTTAGCTAAATGCGTGTCGAGTATTTGGCTGCTATACATTTTCACGTGATAAGCCACTTCGTTGAGCTATCATTTGTGGTCAGGTCGCTTTTGAAAAAGAGTTCTATATATAACTCAGTGAGCCTTATCTGGTAAAATAAAATGGTATTCAATCAAGAGGTTCGAGTTAACGAACCTAAGAAGTTGTCAGTATTTTCCTCTGTGATGACTCGGAGCTCTCTGCATCGTGTGACACACCACGTAGCCACCACACACACACACGCACAGGACCTCTCCCTTAACTGGACGTGTCTGTGGTTGTGTGCAGGTCACAGCAAGGGCTGGGATGACCGTCATGGATTGCCTGGCCAAAGCGCTGCACATCCGTGGACTCTTTCCGAAGTGTTGTGCCGTCTTCCGCCTGCAAGACGGGTACGTGTCTGCGCATGTGACTCGGTTCACCCATGACACCTAGGTTTGTCCCGTGACCTCCTGCCAAGCGATGCTTTCGATGCTTCACATGGTGGCCTCTAATTGCACCTAGCTCGTAACAAGCGCTGTGGTGACATCACCGCCACTCATTGGCGAATGGCAGCTGCTGTTGTCGGGCGCGTTGAGTGAGTGACAGAATAGTGGTTTCGCACACCGCACTAGGAACTCCCACGACGCGGGTTTGATTCCCGGCCATGGCCTACATCACTGGGCCTCCGTTAACGCTTCTCACCCTCAAATGAGTACCTGGTGCGGTGTGGAAACGTCAGCACAGGGGAGACAAAGGTGGCCAGGCACGGTGATAGCCACACACCTCTTCGCGTGTGACGTTAGCCCAAACAGGCGCTCCCTAACAGCGCTCGCCCCAACAGTCTGCGTAGGCCACGCGGGGCGTCTCTGTGTCTGTCGGATCTTTCTCTACTTGTGGAGAAGCGTGCACCGCTCTTTCTACTTCCGGCTATAGAACCAGCGGCGTGGCTATCGCTTGTGAAGAGGTGGTGCAATTGCGCGGGGGGGGGGGGGGGGTGTGTGTGTGCCGGGGGGCGAGGGGGATTCCCCTAGGCCGGGGACCCCAGGCGTGGGGGCTGTGAAGAGGAAGGAAATGTGGACATTCGTTTGGACAAGTGTCCGTGCCAACCACCCTGCGACACCGGTTGCAACAGCGTGCGTGTGTGTGTGTGCGCCGTGGACTTGTGCCAATTTTTATTTTGTATCTTCTGTTCGACATCGGTTTTTAACGCTTTTCACCTGCGCCAGGTGGCATTTAGCTCAACACGACACTCGGGCAATTTCGTAAGGTTTGTCACGTAAACAAAACATGCCAATTAGTTGCAAGTTCAGCACACCGGTGTGTCGGAGAGTAAAACCCACAACGTTTAAAATGTTTGGAACCGCGATGTTTTGTTGGTAATTACAACAACCAGAGTCACGTTCACACGACCTAACCCAAAAAAAAAAACCTTTATTAATGGTAGCATTACTGCATTATCTCTCCGTCTGTCTAAACCGGGGGGTGGGGTGGGCGGTGGGCCACGATCGCTGTCATAAAGATGGTGCTCCAATGGAGGTGTTTTGGTTGTTGTTTGCAGCCAAAAGTCGGCAGTGGACTGGAGTACGGACATGGCCTGGCTGTCGGGCGAGGAGCTGTCTGTGGAGGTCCTCAAGCACCTGCCGCTCTCCACACACAACTTTGTACGTCCGTCACGTCCCAAGCCCAGGGCCCGTGTTCGAACCCGTTTTTTTTACGGTCATTGCGGGGGGGGGCACGTGGCACCCCACCCCTCCCCCACTGGCTCCGCCAGTGCGGTCGGCTGCGTCACCGTCGAGAGTTCAAGGCCCGCGTGTGCGCGCACACGCGGGCCTATCTCGAGCGGTGGCGCAGCGGTTAGCGCGTTGCGCTACGAACCCGGCGAGCCGAGTTCAATTCCCGCTCACGGACAACACCGGTGACGATTTTCTAAAAATCGTTCCCCGGGCCCTCCCCGAGTCCCACTCAGCCTCAAACGAGTGCCTGGTGCGGTGTGTAGACAAAGGTGGTCGGGGTGGTGCTGGCCACCCACCCCCTCGTGTACCGTGCCGGCCTTCACAGGTGCTCGCTAACAGCACTTGCCTCTACGGTCTGTTGAGGCTAGACGGGGGATCTTTGCCTTTGTCTATCTCCACGTCGACAGGTCCGCCGGACAGACCTGATGCTGGCGTTCTGCGACATTTGCCGCAAGCTCCTGTTCCAGGGATTCCGTTGCCAGGAGTGCGGCATGCGCTTCCACCAGCGTTGCAGCACCGACGTGCCCATGATGTGCATCAGCTTAGACGGAATCAAGTGAGTAGTTTCCCCGGCCCAACCTCCAATACAATCACAGTATTAACTGGAAGTTGTCTGTCTCGTCGAGTCTCCGCATGTCTCCGTGTGTCTCTCTTGCCCGGTACTCTGCGTGTCTCCGCGTGTCTCTCTTGCCCGGTACTGTGCGTGTCTCTGCGTGTCTCTGCGTGTCTCTGCGTGTCTGTCTCGTCAAGTCTCTGCATGTCTCCACGTGTCTCTCTTGCCCGGTACTCTGCGTGTCTCCACTTGTTTGTCTCGTCGTGTCTCCGCATGTCTCCACGTGTCTGTTTTGTCCGGATTTCTGCCTGTCGTCATGTGACTCGTGACTCCGTCTGTCTCCATCTGTCTCCGTCGATCTCTGTCTCCCTCTGTCTCGTGGGAGGGTAGCGCATGACGCCGTGTGAAGGGGGCGAGGGTGGGAGTCTGACGGCAGCTCACGTAATATAATAATGAAACAATAATAACAGAGAGAATGTGAAGATACTGCGGATGGCAGTAATGCACATGCGAAAATAACTTCGACAGTCTCAACACATTCGTCATTAACACCACTGCATGTGTGTGTGTGTGTGAACTTAAGAGAAACAAAATATAAACAGGGGTCGTTTCGGACAAAGGCCCTTCTTCATAGCCCGAAACGTCGCCCGTTATATATTTTTCTTTTTGTTATTGACGAACGCGTCGAGTTGTTTTTTAATGTTCAGCGTGTGCGTGTGCATCACTGCCATCTCGGCAGCAGCAGCAGCAAATCATCTGTTGAGTCGCGCAGCAAACGTGACAAATCAAAATTAACTTGAACTTAAAAGATGTTCACAAATGGGACCTTTTCACGTTGAACCTTGCGCGTGTGTGTGTGTGTGCGCGTGTTCACTTCCCTCTCTTGCACAGTGCAGCAGCGGTGGCCAACACGTGTAAATCTCTCTCAGTGCTCGCTTTTTCTGTCAAGTTATCTATCGTTGCACGCCGGGTGTCAAACTGTAATTTTATGTGCACATTCACATCTGACCTCTTCACATATCTGGTTACGCCACAGACCCCCCCCCACTCACCCACCGAGCCGCGTGTTGCGCTGTTTAAGTTTTATGTTTAAAATGTAACGTTTCGTTGCACCAGCTGAGATCTCGACTAAATACCGGGATTCAGTCTCATTTGCAAGAGTGACCAGGGGGCATTAGCCTCCCAGTAGGGGACGATGCTCACAACGTTTTGCACCTCCGATCAGCTCGGTTTTCCTCCGTACGTTGCGAAAGATGTTCAGCACACACGTAGATACGAGCGGAACTCCATTCTGTGTGGCCACGCAAAAAAATCCATCGGTCTGTTGACTTTGCAGACCAATGGTGTCTTGCGGCAAATTGTTCCGAGCAAGGGAACGCAGTCGACCTTGAATATTTTGTCAGTCAATCGACCAAATTGACGCGAAGCGTTCCAGCTTTGACGTCCGATCAGCTCGGTTGGCCACGCACGGCGCGATAGAAGCTCGACATGCACACAGTTGAGTAAGCTGCGGTGTGAATGTTTTAATTTGGCAAGTTTTGGATCCTGACCCCGACGCGCAACATCCTCCCCTTGCGGACGCTGTCACGGGGGGGGATCCGTAACACCCACCATGAGGTATAGACACCACGTATAATTGTTATAGTTACTACAGTTATCACACCCGACGCTGGACTTTACAGTGTACTGCTTACAGCACCTTATGTCAATCCACTGCTGGATGAGGGTTATAGGGCATCGTTTGATTAAAAAAATACCCCGCCGTGCCTAGCCTCCTAGAAATCTAAATTATAAACTTTTTTTATTTTACCAGGTAAGGCCCACTGAGCTACGTAGCTCTTTTTCAGAAGCAACATGGCTCTCACAAATGATAGCTCTACGAAGTGGCTTATCACATGGAAATGTATAGCAGCCAAATACTCTTAAACGCACATTTTTAAATGCGGAGGGAAAAACCGGAGGAAAATCCACGCTACCACGGGGAGAACACGCAAACTCCAAATATACAGCAGCAGGCGTCAGGGTCAGGATCGAACCCACGACCTCCTGTATACCAGGCGAGGTAGTTAACATCTCCTAGCCACCGTGATGATGATGATGATGACAGAGAGACACGCAAACTCCAAATATACAGCAGCAGGCGTCAGGGTTGGGATCGAACCCACGACCTCCTGTATACCAGGCGAGGCAGTTAACATCTCCTAGCCACCGTGATGATGATGAGAGAGAGAGACACGCAAACTCCAAATATACAGCAGCAGGCGTCGGGGTCGGGATCGAACCCACGACCTCCTGTATACCAGGCGAGGCAGTTAACATCTCCTAGCCACCGTGATGATGATGAGAGAGAGAGACACGCAAACTCCAAATATACAGCAGCAGGCGTCGGGGTCGGGATCGAACCCACGACCTCCTGTGTACCAGGCGAGGTAGTTAACACCTCGGCATCGTATCTGCGCGTGTCTCTGTGCGTGCGTGTGTGCGCGACACAGCCCGTGGTGGCAACCACCATTGCCCGCGCGACCCCCGACCCGGACGCACCACTCGGAGGCGGACAGCTCGACCCCCCGCCGGGCGTTGGTTCACCCCCCCCGGCCGCGATCCACGTCCGCTCCCAACGTCCATACGGGCGTAGTGGGGCCAGTGACGGCCAACCTCGTTCAGGTGTCTCTCTCTTTCTCTCTCGTAAACGCCGCTCCCCTTGCACGCTGTTTTCAAATACTCCTGCGCGTGATGATGATGATGGCGTCGGTGGCAGCGTTGTGATCGAGCGGTGGCTAGGATGTCACTGTTGAGGGGGTTCTGCTGCTGGCCACGACGAGAGGGCTTCAGGAGAGATAATTTGTGTTGTTTAGTTCAAAGTGAAACGAATTTGAAGGTGGCGGAGGCCATGCTTAGGGTGGTGGATCGCAGTCTAAACCAAACTATTTGACCAGGGTAAGGCCCACTGAGCTATTTTGCTCCTTTTTCAGAAGCGACCTGGTCGTAAATGATAGCCCAACAAATTGGCTTGCGTGGAAATTTATAGCAGAAAAATAATGAAGGCTGGCACCGCACACGGAGAGGTGGGTGGCCAGCACCACTCCGATGTTTGAGGCTCTGTCGCCCTAGGGGGAGGCACAGAACCGTTTCAGATTATTGTCACCGGTATTGGTGGCTGTGAGAGGAAATCGAACTCGGGTTCATAGCGTAGCGCGCTAACCGCGACACCACACAGACACGCGCACGCGCACGGAGCGCGGAGCGCGGCGCTAAAATTATACACGCGGTGTTGTTGCCAGGTCGAAAGCATTCCCCTCTTGTAGCCAATTAGCGCGGAAAAGACACTCGGAGCGACGGATAAATATCGATTGCGTGCCATTTCAAAAGTGACGGGCCTCTCGTGGCCCCAGGATGCACGGCGGACCCGTCGAGAAAAAAGGTGGACCGTGGGCAAGGAAGGAGGAGAGCGTGGGAGAGGTTTTTACGAAGACGGGAGTTGACAAAAAGGATGCTCTAATCCACAATGGAGGGGGTTTTTTGTTGTTGTTGTTGTTGTTGGGTTGGATCGCGTAAATATCAACGTGTCGTTAAACCCGCCACCACCCGACACGGCCAATTAGTAAGGTTGGTGACGGAAACAAAACGTGCCAATTGGTCACTAGTTCAGCACACCGGTGTGTTGGAGAGTAAACTCACTACATTTACAACTGGAGTACGACGTTACGCCAGTGATTACAACCGGCATCGTCGGGCGACAGCAATAATTGTGGAGAATTCCTCCTCCTGGCTGCGAAGACCAGAGGGGAGAGGTTAATGTCGTCATGTTTGTTACAATGCATATCGATTATTCGTTGGGTTATTCACGGTTAATTGGCTGTGTCGGGTGGTGGCGGGTTTAACCGCACGTTCATACATTTGCGCGATCTAGCCCAACAAACAAAAAGCCTGTTATGGATAACATTGGTGCTGATTGGGCTGCTCTGGCACAGCGGGGGAGGGCTCGCTTAGTGGACTGGCCTAGCCAGCGTTGTTGACATCCGATCGTTGCCTGCATTGTGATCACATCCCTGTGTGCGTGCGTGTGTGTTCCTCAGGACATGATGCGTGATTGCAGGCATCACGAAGGTAAATGGGCCTCTGGTTGCTTTTTGCAGTTCGTGGAGTTATTAGCAATCCGGGATTAACTGTGGGGTATTGGTGATTAGGCATTAGGGTTGTAATGGTGCGTCAGTCGTCGGTTGGGTGGTAGGGTGTGATGCAACGATAATATTTGTGCCACACAGCAACAAGGACCTGGGTTCGTTCCGTGTGGAGTTTGTATGTTCCCCTCCTGTTCCGCAGAGCGTGAGTGTTTGTGAGTGTGTGGAGTTTGTGCGAGGGTCGGTAGTGTTAGCGGTTAGCGCTCTGCGCTGCGAACCCGGCGACCCGAGTTCGATTCCCGCTCACGGCCAACACTAGTGACGATTATCTGAACCGGTCCTGGGCCTCCCCTAGGTCGACTCAAATTAGTACCCGGTGCGGTGTGTTAAATCGTCGCCACTGGGGAGACAAAGGCGGTCGGGCGTGGTGCTGGTCACCCACCCCCTCGTGTACCGTTTTGGCCTTCATAGGTGCTTGCTAACAGCACTTGCCCCAACAGTCTGTTACAGGCTATATGGGAATCCTTTGTCTTATTTGGAGTTTTTAAGTTCTCCCTGTGTCCATGTTGTGTCCCCCGGGTGGTGGATGCTAAATGACTTGGGCATAAAACTAACCACCACGTTGCCTAACCCAACAAAACAACAATGGATTGTTACAATAATGTTATAGCAATAGGGGCGCATTGGTGACGAGATATTAACTACCTCGGCTGGTATGCAGGAGGTTGTGGGTTTCGATCCCGACCCCGATGCCTGGGTACTTGGGGTTTGCGTGCTCTCTCTCTCCCCGTAGTCACATGGCTTTTATCCGTGTCCTCCGGTTTTTCCCCTCCATGCGTTTCGTGTATTTGGCGTCTCGAGATTTCCACGTGATAAGTCACTTTGTTGTGCTATCATTTGTGGCCAGATCGTTTTCCTAAGAACGCTATAGAGCTAAGTGGAAAATACATTTTTTTTAGTTTAATGTTGAGTTTAGTAATCCATTTGAAGGCGTCAGGAGTTGCTTGATTGAGTCCCGGAAGGAGACTCTTAATCTCGGCGGGCTCTCGCACATTTATAATCACTGCACGCACACATGTACCCACACATACAAAAACAAAGATCCCCCATTTAGCCTGTAACAGACTGTCGGGGCAAGTGCTGTTAGCGAGCAGCACCTATGAAGGCCGGCACGGCACACGAGGGGGTGGGTAGCCAACACCACGCCCGGCCGCCTTTGTCTCCCGAGTGACGATGTTTACACACTGCACCAGGTACTCATTTGAGGCTGAGTCGACCTAGGGGAGGCCCGGGACCGGTTCAGATAATCGTCACTGGTGTTGGCCGTGAGCGGGAATCGAACCCGGGTCGCCAGGTTCATAGCGCAGCGCATGTACGCACGCACACACACGCACACACACACACGCACACACATGTACGCACGCACACACACGCACACACATGTACACACGCACGAACACACGCACGGACACGCGCGCGACCTGAGTGAGCAACACCCGTGCTGCATGCAGGCACGAGTGTGGGTCTGACAGCCACCTTCCCCATGGACCTCCCCGGGTCTCGCGTCGCTTCTCCCGGGCCCTCCCGTCCAGCCTCGCTCACAGACGATCGCATACACATGGTACGGAGACAAAAAATCCCCCCGGATAGCTTTTAACAGGCTGTTTGATAGGTCAAGTGCTGTGAGCGAGCTCTGATGAATGCCGGCACGCCACACGAGGGAGCGATAGTCCAACACCACGCCCGGCCGCCTTTGCCTCCCCAGTGGTGGTGAGATGGTTGTTTCCCTCGCCCGGTATGCAGGAGGTAGTGGGTTCGATCCCGACTCTGATGCGTTTATGTTTGGAGTTTGTATGTTTGGAGTTTGTATGTTTGGAGTTTGTATGTTTGGAGTTTGTATGTTTGGAGTTTGTATGTTTGGAGTTTGCATGTTTGGAGTTTGCATGTTTGGAGTTTGTATGTTTGGAGTTTGTATGTTTGGAGTTTGTATGTTTGGAGTTTGTATGTTTGGAGTTTGCATGTTTGGAGTTTGCATGTTTGGAGTTTGCATGTTTGGAGTTTGTATGTTTGGAGTTTGTATGTTTGGAGTTTGCATGTTTGGAGTTTGCATGTTTGGAGTTTGTATGTTTGGAGTTTGTATGTTTGGAGTTTGTATGTTTGGAGTTTGTATGTTTGGAGTTTGCATGTTTGGAGTTTGCATGTTTGGAGTTTGCATGTTTGGAGTTTGCATGTTTGGAGTTTTGTATGTTTGGAGTTTGTATGTTTGGAGTTTGTATGTTTGGAGTTTGCATGTTTGGAGTTTGCATGTTTGGAGTTTGCATGTTTGGAGTTTTGTATGTTTGGAGTTTGTATGTTTGGAGTTTGCATGTTTGGAGTTTGCATGTTTGGAGTTTGCATGTTTGGAGTTTGTATGTTTGGAGTTTGTATGTTTGGAGTTTGCATGTTTGGAGTTTGTATGTTTGGAGTTTGTATGTTCCACCCGTGGTCGCGTGGATTTTTCTCGGGGTCCTCCGGTTTTCCCCTCCACATTTATAATCAACGGGCGCTCAGAGTATTTGGCTGCTATAAATTTCCACGTGATGAGCCACTTCGCTGAGCTATCATTTGCGGCTCAGGTGGCTTCTGAAAAAGAGCTATATAGCTCAGTGGACCTTAACTGGTAACATTTAAATATAAAAATTAAAGAGTGAGTGAGCGTTTTGGTAAATTATTGTGTGAGGGATTTTGCGTGCAAGTGAGCGTAAGCATTAGTGCGAGTGAGTTCTCATTGAGTGAGTGTAAATGTTAGTGGGTGTATACACAATGGTTTTGAGTGTAATCGAATATGAGTGTGTGAGGTGATTTTGTGTGTGTGAGTGAACGTAGACTTCAATACATAGATGTATGCAGCCTCGTGTGTTCCCGTGTGCCTATGTGTGGGCGTGCGTGTGTACCCTTGTGTTTGTAAGTGTGGTGATGGGGCAGTTGTGGAGGGAGTGGAGAGTTTCCCATACCTGGGCAGTGTGCTCATGACCGGTTCCGGTTTGGCAGTGGAGGTCTCACTTCGAATCAGTCGAGCGGCATTATATTTTCATCGGTTGCGTAACGCTGTGTGGAAGCTGCCTGGTCTGTCGCTCCGCACGAAGCTTCAGGTCTTGTCGGCCACGGTCATTCCCTCCCTTCTCTACGCTTGCGAAACGTGGACCCCCCTAATGGAGCATCTTCGCCGGTTAGAAACATTTAGGCTGGCCTGCCTACGATCCATTATGGGTTTAACCAGGCTGGATTGTGTGAGGAGCTCACAAATCCTTGAAAGATCTGGGCAAGGTCCCATCAGTGAGCTCCTCCGGCGGGGAAGGCTGCGATGGCTGGGTCATGTAGCCCGCATGCCCAGCCACCACATGCCGAAACAGCTTTTGTTTGGCCGGATCGAGGGGGCTAAATGGGCGCAGCACGGGCTAGAGAAGAGATGACATGGAGCGGAGTGGACTTGCCGATGACTGGTACCAGCGGTGTCAAGATCGGCCTCTGTGGAGGAGGCTTATGAAGGACGCTACTGGGCAGTTGGAGGCAGTCGCCCTTTAACAACAACGGAGGGCAGAGGAGCGACGCTCACAACAACGAGCGGAGTGCTGGGTGGCTAAAGCACAGCAGGTTGGCACAGTAGGGGGCACAGGTGGTGCATCAGCCAGTCATCTCAGTCATCTCAGTCATTCGACCCGTGGCACCTGGGTCTGCCCCGTGACCTCCTGCCAGCGGGCGTTCGACACTTCACGTGGCCTCAAGGTGCACATGCCCTGGCACAAGCGTCGTGGTGACGTCACCACCACTTAGTGGCGAATGGCGGTTGTTGTTGTGTATGCATGTGCCCGATGTGTGTGTGCGCATGTGCCCGCGTGCGTGTGCGTTACCCGTGTGCCCTTATGTGTGCACCGTGTATTTGTGTGTGCGTCTCTCTGTACGTGTGTGTGTGCCCGAGTGTGTGTTGGTACATGTGTTTGTGTGTGTGCATGTATCCATGCGTGTGTATGTGTACGTACACGTGTGTGTGTGTGTGCCCGAGTGTGTGTTGGTACATGTGTTTGTGTGTGTGCATGTATCCATGCGTGTGTATGTGTGCGTACATGCGCGTGTGTGTGTGCCCGTGTGTGTGTTGGTACATGTGTTTGTGTGTGTGCATGTATCCATGCGTGTGTATGTGTGCGTACGCGCGCGTGCGTGTGTGTGTGTGTGCCCGTGTGCGCGCAGCGTCCCCTGAAGAGGAGAGACTCGTGTGATGACTGGGAGATCCCAGAGGGGCAGATCGCATTCGGACAGCGGATTGGCTCGGGCTCCTTTGGAACCGTCTACAAGGGCAAGTGGCACGGTGAGTGGTGAGCGGCGAGAGTGAGCGGCGTACATGCAGAGCGTGGTGAGCGGCAAGGGGTGCGTGGTCCGTGATCGCCTCTGTCTGCCGATGTAACCGGTTGTCTGTGTGATCGAAAAACTTTTTTTTACCAGGTAAGGCCCCACTGAGCTATGTGGCTTTTTTTCAGAAGCGACCTGCCCACAAATGATAGCCCAACGAAAGTGGCTTGTCACGTGGACATTTATCGCAGCCAAATACTCTGAACGCGTACTTGTCTAAATGTGGAGGGAAAAACCGGAGGACCCGGCGAGAAATCCACGCGACCACGGCGAGGGAGAAATGCAAACTCAAAAATATACAGCAGCAGCAGGCGTCAGGGTTGAAATGGAACCCACGACCTCCTGCATACTTGGCGAGGTAGTTAACATCTCGTCATCGTGTCTGTGTGTCTCTGTGCGTGCACGCATCCCGTAGTGGCAACGACCATTGCCCCCGCGGAGATGTGTGTTGTCAGTGCAGCGTTGTTCGTGCGTAACTGACACTTGCCTGGCCGTGTCGCCGGCGTGCAGGAGACGTTGCTGTGAAGGTGCTGAACGTGACCGATCCAACGCCGCAGCAGCTGCAGGCGTTCAAGAACGAGGTCGGGGTGCTGAGGTGAGTACCGTAGCAGCGCACATCACCCTCAGTGGCGGATAGAGCACCCAGAGGGGGGCAGCACTGCAGCTGCAGCACGCATAGCGCACGATACAGCAACAACCACACACATAGCACACGATACAGCAACAACCACACACATAGCGCACGATACAGCAACAACCACACACACAGTGAGTGAAACAAGAACAACCACACACACAGTGAGTGATACAAAAACAACCACACACACAGTGAGTGAAACAGCAACAACCACACACACACACAGTGAGTGATACAGCAACAACCACACACACAGTGAGTGACACAACAACAACAACAACCACAGTGAGTGACACAACAACACACACACACAGTGAGTGAAACAACAACCACACACACAGTGAGTGAAACAACAACAACCACACACACAGTGAGTGATACAACAACAACCACACAGTGAGTGATACAACAACACACACACAGTGAGTGATACAACAACAACAACACACACAGTGAGTGATACAACAACAACCACACACACAGTGAGTGATACAACAACAACAACAACACACACACAGTGATACAACAACAACCACACACACACAGTGAGTGAAACAACAACAACCACACACACACAGTGATACAGCAACAACCACACACACAGTGAGTGATACAACAACAACAACACACACAGTGATACAACAACAACCACACACACACAGTGAGTGAAACAACAACAACAACAACCACACACAGTGAGTGACACAACAACAACCACACACACAGTGAGTGATACAACAACAACCACACAGTGAGTGATACAACAACAACACACACACAGTGAGTGAAACAACAACACACACAGTGAGTGATACAACAACCACACACACAGTGAGTGAAACAACAACCACACACACACAGTGAGTGACACAACAACAACCACACACAGTGAGTGATACAACAACAACCACACACACACAGTGAGTGAAACAACAACCACACACACAGTGAGTGATACAACAACAACTACACACACACAGTGAGTGAAACAACAACCACACACACAGTGATACAACAACAACAACCACACACACAGTGAGTGACACAACAACAACCACACACACACAGTGAGTGACACAGCAACAACCACACACAGTGATACAACAACCACACACACACAGTGAGTGACACAACCACACACACACAGTGAGTGACACAGCAACAACCACACACAGTGATACAACAACAACACACACAGTGAGTGACACAACAACAACCACACACAGTGATACAGCAACAACCACACACACAGTGAGTGATACAACAACAACCACACACACACAGTGAGTGATACAACAACAACAACCACACACACAGTGAGTGAAACAGCAACAACCACACACACACAGTGATACAACAACAACCACACACACACAGTGAGTGATACAACCACACACACACACACAGTGAGTGATACAACAACCACACACACACACAGTGAGTGACACAACAACAACCACACACACACAGTGAGTGATACAACAACTACACAGTGAGTGAAACAACAACAACCACACACACACACAGTGAGTGATACAACAACAACCACACACACACACACAGTGAGTGATACAACAACAACCACACACACAGTGAGTGATACAGCAACAACCACACACACAGTGAGTGATACAACAACAACTACACACACACAGTGAGTGATACAACAACAACTACACAGTGAGTGATACAACAACCGCACACACACAGTGAGTGATACAACAACAACAACCACACACACAGTGAGTGATACAACAACAACTACACAGTGAGTGATACAACAGCCGCACACACACAGTGAGTGATACAACAACAACAACCACACACACAGTGAGTGAAACAGCAACAACCACACACACACAGTGATACAACAACAACCACACACACACACACAGTGAGTGATACAACAACAACCACACACACACACAGTGAGTGATACAACCACACACACACACAGTGAGTGAAACAACAACAACAACCACACACACACAGTGAGTGATACAACAACAACCACACACACACACACAGTGAGTGATACAACCACACACACACACACAGTGAGTGAAACAACAACAACAACCACACACACACAGTGAGTGATACAACAACAACCACACACACACACAGTGAGTGATACAACAACCACACACACACAGTGAGTGATACAACAACCACACACACAGTGAGTGACACAGCAACAACCGCGCACAACCCTCGTTTGTCGTGCCGGCCTTCATAGGTGCTGCCAACTCGCCAACAGAACTTTGTCCGCCCCCAACAGTCTGTTGAAGGCTATCGGGGACGGGCCGGGCGGGGGTGCGAATCCTCGTTTCTCGTGCGCGCGTGTAGGAAGACTCGGCACGTGAACATCCTGCTGTTCATGGGCTACACGATGCAGCCGCGCCTCGCCATCGTCACGCAGTGGTGCGAGGGCTCCAGCCTCTACCGCCACCTGCACGTGCTCGACACCAGGCTGCCCGTGCTGCAGCTCATAGACATCGCGCGCCAGACCGCGCAGGGCATGGAGTGAGTGGGGCGTGTCGGGGGGGCGGGTGGGGGGGGCGCGGTGGCGCTAGGGTCCGTGTTGCTGTGTGGACAGGGTGAGTGGGTGAGCGAATGAGTGTGTACGCATGCGTGTCGTTGAAATTCTTTCGCACGTGGTCAACCGTTCAGGTGGCCTAGGCCGCTTCTGAAGATGGTGAAGCCACTTAAAGCTTTCGTGACTGCAAGGATTCATCTTCTTTGGTTCTTTCGGTAAAGTCGCGTGGAATGAGAATACAATAATAAAGCAAAACAATTAAATTCTCACGACGTTTCGGCCACAACGCCGCTTGCGTTGTGGCCGAAACGTCGTGGGAATTTTATTGTCTTATTTTATTCTTTTATTCTCATTCCACGCGACTTTACCGAAAGAACCAAACAAGATGATGAAGCCACTTCGTACCGCTGTCACTTGCGGTGGCCAGTTCGCTACATGGAAACTCAGTGAGGCCTTACACCTGGTAAAGTAATAACATGTTTGTTTGTTTTTGTTTGAGCGGCTGGAGCTGCGTTGACACCGCTTGTCCCCCTTTCTGCAGCTACCTGCATGCCAAGTCCATCATCCACAGAGACCTCAAGTCCAACAGTATCCTTGCACGCGCACGCATGCGCGTCACCTCCCGTCGCAGCGCTGTTGTTTCACACAGTGATTGTTGCGTTTCTCGAGTGTCAGCGTGAGTAAGGGATCCACTTCGTGTTGATAGCATTCTTAGGGTGTAGCGTCTGGCTGTTTGTTTGGTGCACGTGCGTTCGTGTCTTCTCTGCGTGTGTGTGTGTGTGAGGTATTTGAGTGTTGTGTATACGTCTGTGTATTGTCTTTGTTTATATGTCCGTGAGTGTATGTGTGTGTCTCTGCATTTTTGTGTGTCTATGCACATGTCTGTGTTGTGTGTGTGTGTGAACCTGGTGACTCGGGTTCAATTCCCGCTCACGGTCAACACCGGTGACGATTATGTGAACCGGTCTTGGATCTCCCTTAGGTCCACTCAGCCTCAAATCCTGGTTACGATGTGTAAACATCGCCGCTGGGGAGACAAAGGCAGCCGGGCGCGGTGCTGACCACCCACCCCCTCGTGTGCCGTGCCGGCCTTCATAGGTGCTGCTCGCTAACAGCACTTGCCCCCAATCGACTGTTAAGGCTACACGGGGGATCTTTGTTGCATGCATGCCCCGTGTCTCCTTGACCACCTTCTGCAGACATCTTCCTCCACGATGACCTCACGGTGAAGGTCGGAGACTTCGGTCTGGCCACGGTGAAGACTCGGTGGAGCGGCTCCCACCAACTCACACAGCCATCCGGATCCATCCTGTGGATGGTGAGCGAACTCGCTCGCTCACCGGTCCCCTGTTCCGTCACACAAAGATCTCTCATGTAGCCTACACGGTAGCATGGGCGGGGGGGGGGGAGCGGTGGTGTAGTAGCGGTTAGCGCTACGAAACACGGCGACCCGAGTTCGATCCCCTCTCGCGGACAACACCAGCGACGATTATCCGAGCCGGTCCTGTGCCTCAATTTTTGTCTGCTTGGTCTTAAATAAGTACCTATGTATGCACGTTGAACTTATTTCACATTGTACATAGCCAGACGTGCTAATCATAGGTGGTACCTGCTGCGGGTGTGTAAATACCCGCACTGGGGAGACAAAGGCGGCCGGGACATAGTTCTGGCCCCCGTCACCCACCGTGTTCCGTGTGGGGCTTTGTAGGTGCTCGCTAACAGCACTTGCCCCAGCAATGTAATATACATATTCTTGGTTCTTTCGGTAAAGTCACGTTGAAGGGAAACAATAAAAGAATAAAATATATATAAAACAATATACTGTTTGTGTTACAGTCGAAACGTCGTGAGAATTTTATTGTTTTATATATATTATTTTATTGTTCCCCTTCAACGTGACTTTACCGAAAGAACCAAGAATATGAATCGCTGCAGTCACGAAAGCTTTAAATCAAAATGTAATATACGTTGAACTTCTAGATTTGAAGCTTTCGTGACTGCAAGGATCCATACTCTTTGGTTCTATTCGGTAAAGTCACGTAGGTAAAAATAAAATAACAAAAAAATCACGAAAATTCGGCCTTCATCAGTCCCTTCACCTGATGAAGGCCACTTGTGTTGTGGCCGAAACGTCGTGATTTTTTTTGTTATTTTATTTTTACCTACGTGACTTTACCGAATAGAACCAAAGAGTACGTTGAACTTCTTTCGCACCGTACGTAACCAACCGTGCGAATCGGGGGGGTGCGAATCAACAAGCCTACGTGAGGCTATAGGGAGGGGCGGCGGTGGTGGTTCTTCGTGTCGTACGCAGGCCCCGGAGGTGATCCGCATGGAGGAGGAGAACCCGTACACGTTCGAGTCGGACGTCTACGCGTTTGGGGTCGTGCTCTTCGAGCTCATGTCCGGCCAGCTGCCGTACTGCCACATCAACAACCGAGACCAGGTGCGGTGGCCGCAGCGGCCGCAGCAGCTGCACCTCCAATAGGAGTAGCGTTAGCGCTCGTACCGACACCAGCGGGACCAGCAACAGCACCAACAGCAGCAGCACCACCACCAACAGCGCTTTACACCCAAGCTGATACCGTCACCACTGCCACCAACAGCACCAACAGCAGTAGCACCACCACCATCATCACTTTACACCCAAGCTGATACCGTCACCACTGCCACCAACAGCACCAACAGCAGTAGCACCACCAACAGCACCAACAGCAGTAGCACCACCAACAGCACCAACAGCAGTAGCACCACCAACAGCACCAACAGCAGTAGCACCACCAACAGCAGTAGCACCACCAACAGCAGTAGCACCACCACCAACGCTTTACACCCAAGCTGATACCATCACCACTGCCACCAACAGCACCAACAGCAGTAGCACCACCAACAGCACTTTACTCCCAAGCTGATACCGTCACCACTGCCACCAACAGCACCAACAGCAGTAGCACCACCACCAACAGCACTGACACCATCAGCAGTTGCAGCGTCAACTCAAGCAGCAGCAGCAACAGCAGCTGTATTGTCTACACACTCGGCGATGCTGCATTTGCCCAGTGGTCCTGCTGTAGAGAAAATTACGATCGCATGACACTGATATTATTTAAATTCCGGAGTGGAAATGACACCATTTCACGATGCGTAAGGGCCCGGGTGTAGTCACGGGCGGCTGAAACTGCGGTCTCGAAACCAGCACCGCAGAGGTGACGGCTCAGCGCTCTGACTGCCTGAGCCACCCAGCCACTGCTGCTGTTACCTGCTCCGCCGCGTGTTGTGCTGCACACACACATACATAGGTGGCGAAGTTGACAAATCATGGTGTCACCGAGTTTTTAGGCTTCCTGTGCCGTGCTGTGTGGCTTCAAGCTCTGTGGTTGGGTGACAGATCATCTTCATGGTGGGCCGAGGCTACTTGAGCCCTGACCTCACCAAAGTCCGGAGCAACTGTCCGAGGGACATGAGGCGTCTCATGGCCGACTGCCTCAAAGCACATCACACCGACCGGCTGCTCTTCCCGCAGGTACCAGCTGCGCGTGCGTAAGGTAACCACTGCGGCAGGTGTGTGTGCGTGTGTACGTGTGTGTGTGTGCGTGTGAGTGGGGTAAGTTGGTTTGTGCGGAGAGTTGGTGCGGCGGTTAGCGCGCTGCGCGGCGAATCCCGACCGGCCGAGTTCATGGCCATCGCCCAGTGATGGTTGTCTAAACCGGTCCCGGGACGCCCCTAGGTGGGCCCGGCGCACGGCGCTGGGTCACCGCAGGCGGCCGTGCGCGGCAGCGACGGACGCCACCGCGCGAGGTTCCATCGCCGAGCCCTCGCCTGGGCGATAAGAGTGGCTCGTTTTGTAAATGCGCCACGTGATGCGGTGGCACCTCCCCCCTTGCCCCTCCCCCCTTGCCCCTCCCCCCTTGCCCCTCCCCCCTTGCCCCTCCCCCCTTGCCCCTCCCCCCCTTGCCCCTCCCCACCCACCAACGCAGATCCTGGCGTCGATAGAGAAGCTGGCGCATTCACTGCCCAAGATCCACCGCAGCACGTCGGAGCCGTCGGTGGCGCGCGCCGGCCTGCACGCCGACGAGCTGGCGCTCTGCCTGCCCTCGCCCAAGACGCCGCTCCACCCGGCCGCGTACAGCGGCTTCACCTGGCTCTCGCCCAACACCACCGTGTGGTAGGGCCGGCCCGGTGCCTAACGCCGGCAGCGTGGTGCGGCCGATGCCCCCGCCGTCCAACGCCGCTAACCGCCGCCGCCGCCGCCGTGTTGGCGAGGCCCGGCCAAGCGTCCCCACCGGGTACGGCGCAGTGGGGCCGGCGTGCCGCGCGACACTCCCAACGTCGCCCGCCGACGCCGCCGCCGTGTGGTAGGGCCGACCTCCCGTTTGACACCGGCCCCACCGTGTCGGTGGGGCCGGCACAGGGGGCACGGCAGCGCCCAATGCCAGGGCGGAGAGACTTGGTGGGGGTGGGGTGGGGGCGGGGGGGCACGGGCCCCGACACAGCCTCGTGGCAGGGACGGGAAAGAACGCGGCGCTCGGTAGCATCGTGTGGCAAGAAGGGGCGGCAGCAGCAGCCAGCGCGACCGTCTCGTTGCTGGTGGGGCTGGGTCGGGGGCAGCGCTGCACGCATCGTGGAACGTCCAGCACAGCCGTGGCGGCGGCGGTGGAGGTGGCGGTGAGGGTGGCGGTGGGGGTGGCGGTAGCGGTGGCATTTGAAGTGACTTGACAGCCAGCCACCACCGCACGCGCGCGCACTGCACCGCCCGCCTCGTCCGCGTTACTCCGTGGCATCGTGAAGGCGTGTGTGACAGCCCGGCGCGAGTCCCGTGGGGGCAAACCGGGGTGTGGACCGGAGCGAGGACGGGAGTGTACTACAAGTGTCTGCCGGAGCGTGTGAACTCCCTAAGGGTGGGACGGCAGGAGCCGACCCGGAGCGTGGTCCGGAGTGGCGGAAGTTTGGACCGGAGTGTGGCGTGGGACTGCAGCACTGACCAGAAATACGGACCCGGAGCGTGGACCGGAGCACCGACGGTCGTGGGTTGTCAACCGTGTGGATCAGAGAGTGCTTCCACCAAACGGCTTTGGCCCACCTGGCCAAACCGCACGCGACGGTGCCGCCCACGCCGATGCCGCCGTCCGCACGTCCGTTTTCACCGCTACCGATGGTCCGGACTTTGCGGGGCGTGGGGGAGGGGATAAGGGCTTAAAGTTGGTGGGAGAGTTCGACCGAAGTCTCGAGGTTTTAGTGGTCGGAGGGACAGCGTTGACGTTCGTTTGAGGATGGTGCTGATTATTTGATTGTCGCGGTGTGATTTACACTGCCTCCTTACTGTTGTGCGTCGACGGTGAAGGTTGTTTTGTGTCCGCGTGTTTGCACGTGTGTGTTCATAGTATTATTATTGTTGTTGTTGTCGTTACCCTACCTGCTCCATCGGCCAAGTGCTGCCTCAACCAACCCTCAAGGAGGAGAACCTTCCCCGCCCCCCACACCCCCCCCCACACCCCCCCCCCCCCCACACCTCTATCCCCAAGGGAGGAGAGAGAGGGAGACACGGGGCCAGGTGTGGGTGGAGGCGCGTGAAGACAGGGAGCCACCGGGGGGAAGGGTGTAAGCCAGTAACTTGCAGCTCTCGTACCGTCGGCGTGGCGAGGGCGGTGGCGAGGGCGGTGGCGAGGGCGGCGACGCTTTGTCGCGACTCTCTCCGGTGTGACGCTCGCGGGCGGAGCGGCTGGGGGGCGGGGGGGGGCGGGGTGCCCGCCGAGCGTCGATCGACGCGACGTCCGACGTTCCGCGCTCCACCTGCTGGGAGCTTCTTCGGGGCGAATCGAATTTGATTTAATTCGGTTCCTAACCGCTCGTGGCACAACCGCGAGAAACGTCGGCAAGACGGATTCGGGAATCCATTCGCTTTCATGACCCCCCTCCCCCCCCCCCCCCGTGTCTTTTTAAATTTGTTTTTACCGCCTCGTTCCTATTGTTGTTTGCCTTTTTTTTATTACCATCATCCTATCCCATTTGCACAGTTACCCTCGCCGTCAGCCGAAATCTAACATTAGCGTGCAATTTCCGTGTAACCTGTATAAATTGTAAATAACCTTCTCGCCGATTTGTATCGGCACGAGTCGTTGTGTGCCTACTGCCCAAGCCCCATGGCGTCCCAGACTCTCCCGACGACACGTCACGTGGGGGGACTCCGAATGGCGCGCCCGGCCGAACGCGCCGCCGCCGTCTCGCGTCGCGTTCCCCCGGCGATGTCACCGTGCCCGGCACGGCACGCTTTGCCCGTTGCCTGATCGCGCGCACCAGAGCCGCTCCGTTGTTCCTGTTGGGTTGCACCCTGCGCTAAACACGCCGTCGGGCTGCGAGCGGCGGCGGCGGCGGCGGCGGCGGCGTCACCTGCCCGCCCGCCTGCCGCCGCCTGCCGCCGCTCCGCCTGCCGCCGTCACCCACGCCGCTCCGCTCGACTGCGCACGCCGGGGGTGGAGCGGGCGAGGAGGAGCGCCCCCCGTGTGCTCCCACCGACAGTTGCGGGCGGAGCGGTCGCTCGTGAGCGTGGAATAAAAGCGGTTGCATGGATCCGTTGTCTGAGTGGAACTTGATCGAACCGGCTTGGTTAGGGTGCAGGTTTAGGGCTGCGGTTAAGCCCAGCGTTGGGCTGTGTTAGGGTTGGAGTCTAGGTCAGGGGCGATGGTTTAGTGCAGGGGTCGGCAACCGAACTAATGAGAACCATTTTTTTAAACTCGGTAAATAACTCAATATTTCACTGCAGGTGAGGATGACACGATGGTGCTAAAATAAATAACGTCAGGAAGCAGTCCTTAAAGAGGCGCATGCGGCTCCGGAGCTCCAGGTTTGCTGACCCCTGGTCGAGGCTCATTCTTTACTAGGTTACGGTTAGAGTACGGGGCGGGGTTAGGGTCATAGTTCGGATCGGGGCCAAGGTTTAGCCTCATTTGCTGGGTTAGGGTTAGAGCATTGTTCTTCACAGATTTCCTTTTGCTGATGAGACATCATCAGTGTGAGGGCTGCCAGACATTCGATAAACCATTGGGGTTTGACAGCAGTGCGATGACGATGGGGTGGTGTTTTCACTCTTTGTGTATTGTAGGGGGCAGCCAGTGGCCATGGGGCTTTGCAATGAAGAACGCTGCGGTAGAGAGAGTGGGGCAGGGTTATGCTGGGCTTGGCTACCGTTGGAGCAGGGCTGGGGAACGTCCGGCCCGCGTGCCGTATGAGGCCCACGAAATCATTTGGTCTCTGGCCCTGCCAAGGCAACCGCAGGCGGGACTCGAAATTCAACAAATCTAGGAGCAAACCTGGAAAAGCAGTTGCGAGTAACAACATCGTCACTAGCAGCTAACATCATCAGTACCAGCTAACATCGTCAATAGCAGCCAACATCAATACCAGCTAACATCATCAATACCAGCTAACATCGTCAATACCAGCTAACATCATCAATACCAGCTAACATCATCAATACCAGCTAACATCGTCAATACCAGCTAACATCATCAATACCAGCTAACATCATCAATACCAGCTAACATCATCAATACCAGCTAACATCAATACCAGCTAACATCATCAATACCGCTAACATCGTCAACACCAGCTAACATCGTCAACACCAGCTAACATCAATACCAGCTAACATCGTCAATACCAGCTAACATCAATACCAGCTAACATAGTCAATACCAGCTAACATCAGTACCACCTAACATAGTCAATACCAGCTAACATCATCAATACCAGCTAACATAGTCAATACCAGCTAACATCATCAACACCAGCTAACATAGTCAATACCAGCTAACATCATCAATACCAGCTAACATCATCACTACAAGCTAACATCAACACCAGCTAACATCATCAATACCAGCTAACATCATCAATACCAGCTAACATCACTACAAGCTAACATCATCAACACCAGCTAACATCATCAACACCAGCTAACATCATCAATACCAGCTAACAACATCAATACCAGCTAACAACATCAATACCAGCTAACAACATCAATACCAGCTAACATCATCAACACCAGCTAACATCATCAACACCAGCTAACATCATCAATACCAGCTAACATCATCAACACCAGCTAACATCATCAACACCAGCTAACATCATCAATACCAGCTAACATCGTCACTACGTCTCGCCAAAGAGAAGCAGTTCCAGCCATCATCGCATTAGGGGCGAGTTGATTAAATGTTTGACCAAATATAACGGGCTAATTTTTAGGTTGGTAATTTTGTATGGCCCGCGAATGAAGTTATAAATAAAAAGGTTCCCCACCCCTGGGTTATAGTCAGGACCACACACTTACAAAAAAATATATGAAACTGATCCTTTTTAATGTGCATGTTTACTGCTCTGAGAACACAACATTTCTGTGCACTGTTTTAAGAAGAAAAAAATCCTAAACCACAACGCCCACGGAGCACAGCCTCTCACCGGGAGCCACAGAGAGGGTGAGACTTCACGGGGTACGTACGTACGTATGTGTGTACGTTGAACTTCTTTTGTACCGTACGTAGCCCACCGTGCTGATCGGAGGTACGGGGGAAGGACAACAAACTAAACACAAAACAAACTAAACACAAAAACAGCGGAAGACCTCTGCCAACTCGGGACCCTCTCTCTCACCCTTAGAGACAGAGAGTGGCTCTCTCTCACCCTTAGAGAGTGGCTCTCTCACCCTTAGAGAGAGAGTGGCTCTCTCTCACCCTTAGAGAGAGAGAGGCTCACTCTCACTCTTAGAGAGAGAGAGAGAGGCTCTCTCTCACAACCGAGAGAGAGAGAGGCTCTCTCTCACAAACGAGAGAGAGAGAGCCTCTCTCGAGGGTGTGAGAGAGAGAGCCCTCGCGACAACCAAACGGGCGGCACTTTAATTTCCCTTCGCTTGCCACTCGCTCCCCAACAAATGTGTCCCTCAAACCCAATCCCTCGCTGGGTATCGGGAGGCGTCTCCGCGGTGCTCGAGGACTAGGGGGGGCTGTGGGTCTAAGGGACTCCAAGGGATCACAATCACACGTCGCACGGAATATCCTTGTCTACCGGGGGCAGTGGCGGCGGCAGGGCAGGGCTGGGGCAGCAGGGCAGCACGCGGCAAAGCCGAGCCAGGCGGGGCAGCCTGGACAGGTCCAGGGGGAGGTCGTAGCAGTTCCGGAGTTCGGGGGAGTAGGCGGAGGCGTCCGAGCCGTCGGTCTCTCCGTGCGCGCGTCTCCACGCCTCCAGACCGCGCTCCTCCGACGAGCCTGCGAGACACCGGCGGGCACGGGGGAAGAGACATCGATCGTGGGGCGTGGGTGACGCCAACACACGGGCCACGGGGGAGGTACCCGGGGGTTGAATCGCACCCAGTGGCTTGAGGGCGCACAGTGGCATGGGTTGTCTATGCCCATGTCTCGGTGCCATGGGCGAGGGTTACGTCGATAGGAATCGTAACTCAACACAGCGGCTGAGCGGTACACGGCTGAGGCTGTGTACAAATGGCGACACAGGCATGAGCCAAAGACAAAGATCCCCCGCGTAGCCTTGAACAGACTGTTGGGGCAAGCGCTGTTAGCGAGCACCTACGCAGGCCGGCACGGCACACGAGGGGCTGGGTGGCCAGTACCACGCCCGGCCACCTTTGTCTCCCCAGTACTGACGTTTACACACTGCACCAGGTCATCATTTGAGGCTGAGTCCGATATTCGGCACCGCTTTTGGTCCTGAGCGAGAATCGAACTCGGGTGGCCGGCTTCGTAGCGTGGCGTGCTAACCTGTGATGTCACTCCCCACTCACCAACAGAGACACGGAGAGAGAGAGACATCAGCTGTGACGTCACTCCCCACTGACCAACAGAGACACGGAGAGAGAGAGAGAGACATCAGCTGTGACGTCACTCCCCACTGACCAACAGAGACACGGAGAGAGAGAGAGACATCAGCTGTGACGTCACTCCCCACTGAACAACAGAGACACGGAGAGAGAGAGAGAGAGACATCAGCTGTGACGTCGCTTCCCAACTGACCAATAGAGACACGGAGAGAGAGAGAGATATCAGCTGTGACGTCGCTCCCCACTGACCAACAGAGACACGGAGAGAGAGAGAGACACATCAGCTGTGACGTCACTCCACACTGACCAACAGAGACACGGAGAGAGAGAGACATCAGCTGTGACGTCACTCCCCACTCACCAACAGAGACACGGAGCGAGAGAGAGAGAAACATCAGCTGTGACGTCGCTCCCTTCTCACCACCAGAGACACGGAGAGAGAGAGACATCAGCTTTGACGTCACTCCCCACTGACCAACAGAGACACGGAGAGAGAGAGAGACATCAGCTTTGACGTCACTCCCCACTGACCAACAGAGACACGGAGAGAGAGAGAGACATCAGCTGTGACGTCGCTCCCCGACTGACCAACAGAGACACGGAGAGAGAGACATCAGCTGTGACGTCACTCCCCACTCACCAACAGAGACACGGAGAGAGAGAGAGAGACATCAGCTTTGACGTCACTCCCCACTGACCAACAGAGACACGGAGAGAGAGACATCAGCTGTGACGTCACTCCACACTGACCAACAGAGACACGGAGAGAGAGACATCAGCTGTGACGTCACTCCCCACTCACCAACAGAGACACGAAGAGAGAGAGAGACATCAGCTGTGACGTCACTCCCCACTCACCAACAGAGACACGGAGAGAGAGAGAGAAACATCAGCTGTGACGTCACTCCCCACTCACCAACAGAGACACGGAGAGAGAGAGAAACATCAGCTGTGACGTCACTCCCCACTGACCAACAGAGACACGGAGACAGAGAGACATCAGCTGTGACGTCACTCCCCACTCACCAACAGAGACACGAAGAGAGAGAGAGACATCAGCTGTGACGTCACTCCCCACTCACCAACAGAGACACGGAGAGAGAGAGAAACATCAGCTGTGACGTCACTCCCCACTCACCAACAGAGACACGGAGAGAGAGAGAAACATCAGCTGTGACGTCACTCCCCACTGACCAACAGAGACACGGAGAGAGAGAGACATCGGCGCTGTGGAGACGTGCGTGCCCGAGTTGGGCTTCGTCGCGGTCCACACCGACCCCTCCACACTCACGCACCGGGCACCGTGTTGTCCAGGATGAAACCCAGGGCTCCACCGACGAAGGTGCTGGTGGTGAGCAACACCTGTATCACCTGGTCCAGCCCTGGCACACCTGTGTGGGAGGGATGGGCGGGGCGGGGGGCGGCGGGGAGGGTGGGTGGGGGGAGTGCCAGTAAGGACGGACGTGTGTGTGTGTCATCGTGTGTGTGTGTCATCGTGTGTGTGTGTGTGTCATCGTGTGTGTGTGTGTCAGCGTGTGTGTGCGCGTGTTTGTCATCGTGTGTGTGTGTCATCGTGTGTGTGTGTGTCATCGTGTGTGTGTGTTTGTCATCGTGTGTGTGTGTCATCGTGTGTGTGTGTGTCATCGTGTGTGTGTGTCATCGTGTGTTTGTGTGTGTGTGTCATCGTGTGTGTGTGTTTGTCATCGTGTGTGTGTGTCATCGTGTGTGTGTGTCATCGTGTGTGTTTGTTATCGTGTGTGTGTGTGTGTCATCGTGTGTGTGTGTGGTGTCTCCTGGCCAAACCCCAATTGGCGGAGCCAGGAGATTGACTCTCTACCCTCGGGGCTCCTCCAGAAACAACGAAAAGCCACTTCGCGTGGCCACGTGGAATGATCGAACGCTCACTGCGGAGGAGAGGCTGCCACTCCTCTGTCGGGAGCTGGACCGGTACCGCCTGGATCTCTGTGGCATTCAGGAGGTCCGGTGGACCGGCTCTGGCTCCTGCCACCATGAGGGGTGGACAGTCCTCTATTCGGGGCAGCAGACTGCCAAACAGCAGGGTGTGGCTCTTCTTTTGAACAAAAGAATGAAGGGGGTGTGGGAGTGTGGCGGTGAGGTGTGGGAAGCTGTAAGCCCCAGGCTACTTTGGGCTCGCCTTCCCATCAACCGGAGGTGAGGAGTGGTGGTCATGGTTACTTATGCCCCCACCGAAGACGAACATCCGTGGAGGGATGCAGGCAAAGCCGATGAGTCAGATGCCTTCTATGACCTCCTGTCACAGGTGCTGGTGAAAGTGGCCCCTCGGGATAGAGTTATCTTGTTGGGTGACTTCAATGCCCGAGTTGGTCATGATACTGGCACCTGGTCTGGAGTGATTGGAGGGCATGGGCCAGATCAGCTCAATAACAACGGTAGGAGGCTGCTAGATTTTTGTGCAGCCCATGGGCTTGTAATTACCAACACGCTGTTCCGGCATCGGCGCATCCACACAACATCATGGATGCATGCCGGGTCCAAGCAAGAACATCTGCTGGACTACATAGTGACGGACCAGCGGATGCGAGCCCATGTCCTTGACACCAGGACCTACCGTGGAGCTGATCTGCCCTCTGACCATCGACTAGTCATCTGTAAGATGCGCCTGCCATTCTTCCACTCCGGTGGTGGGTGTACACCCAGGACCCGATTCCAACCTAAAGTGGCCTGGTCTCAGTTATCTGATGAAAGTTGCAAGCGAAAATTTCATCATCGCTTGCGGCTGGGGTTGGCATCGTCCCCCACTCCTCCGGATGTCGAGGGTAAATGGGCGAGGTTTAGGACTGTCACTCATGCAGCTGCAATGGCTGCTTTGGGTACGTGGTCCAGACCTCCCCAGAGACCCTGGCTGACAGAGGAGGTGTTCAGGATGGTTGAGAAAAAGCGACAGGCCCACTGTCATCGGCTACAGAATCCCACGTCAGAGAATGAGGAGGCTTACCGCAGCCTTCGCTCGGAGGTTCGGAGAGCCATGAGGCGCTGCAAGGATGGGTGGTGGTCGCGGGTTGCTGAGGAGATGGAGTCTGCCTCAGTGGCCCGCGATCACAAATCTCTATTTAACGCCATCAAAAAAGTAACCTGCAGCGCCACACCTATTACCATCATTAGGGGAAAAAACGGTGATCCAATCTCCGACCCCCAGGAACAGGTTTGCAGATTTGCTGAGCATTTCTGTGAGGTCCTGGGGGAGGGAAAATCCCTCAGCCAGGAAAACATCGTGGCACAAAGTGAGGATGACCCTGCTGAGGCTGCGATGCCTCAAATATTGTAAGAAGTCACCCCCTGTGAGTGGCTGGCTGAAGTGCCATCTGTTGAGGAAGTACTGAAGGCGATCCGGAGTCTGAGACCAGGAAAGGCAGCGGGCAGAGATGATCTCCCAAGTGAAATGCTGAGGGAGGGTGGCGTTTGTGCACAGACTGCCCTACATGACATCATAACAACAGTCTGGACCACTGAACAGGTTCCGCAGAAGGGGAACCGCACAGACTGTAACAACTACAGGGGCATCTCACTCCTCAGTATGCCGTGAAAGGTCCTGGCAAGGATTATTCAACATCGCCTTGCCAGGCACGCTGAGGAGGGGCTTGCGGAGCCCCAATGCGGTTTCAGGAAAGGGCGGTCCTGCACAGATGCCATATTTTCTGTCCGTCTGCTACAGCAGAGGTGTAGGGAATTCCAGCAAGACCTACATCTCTGCTTTATTGACCTGGTCAAGGCCTATGATACCATCAGTAGGCCTGGGCTCTGGGTTGTTCTTCGTGCTTTTGGAGTACCTGACCCTCTGCTCACGATCATTAAGGACCTTCATGATGGTGAGCGGGCCCAGGTAAAACTACGTGGCCGGGAGTCAGAGCCATTCCCTGTATACCTTGGGGTGCGACAGGGATGTCCTCTGGCTCCCACATTATTTAACATCTATTTTGACCACGTAGTTCGTGAAGCCTTCAATAGCTGTACCGGGGGAATCTCCATATGGTACAGATATAATGGGAGGCTGATCGATGCCCAGGTGCGGTCAAGGGATGGCTCCCTATTGGTCAACCACGTTATGTATGCCGATGATTTGGTAATAGCTGCTCATTCAGAGGAGGAGTTGGAGACGCTGCTGCTGAGACTGGAGCGTGCCACTAAGAGATGGGGCCTTACCATCAGCCCCACCAAAACTAAGCACCTGCCTGGGTATTTTGTACCATCGGACACTCCACCCCCACAACTTCCAATCGGTGATGGGGCAGTTGTGGAGAGAGTGAAGAGTTTCCCATACCTGGGCAGTGTGCTTATGACCGGCTCCAGTTTAACAGCAGAGGTCTCACTCCGAAACAGTCGAGCGGCAATATCTTTTCATCGGTTGCGTAACGCTGTGTGGAAGCTACCTGGTCTGTCGCTCCGCACTAAGCTTCGGGTCTTCTCGGCCACGGTCATTCCCTCCCTTCTCTACGCTTGCGAAACGTGGACCCCCCTAATGGAACATCTTCACCAGTTAGAAACATTTAGGCTGGCCTGCCTACGATCCATCCTGGGTTTAACCAGGCTGGATTGTGTGATGAGCTCACAAATCCTCGAGAGATCTGGGCAGGGTCCCATCGGTGAGCTCCTTTGGCAGGCAAGGCTGCGTTGGCTGGGTCATGTAGCCCGCATGCCCAGCCACCGCATGCCGAAACAGCTTTTGTTCGGCCGGATCGAGGGGGCTAAACGGGCGCGGCACGGGCTAGAGAAGAGATGGAGTGATGTGGTACAGGAGGACGTGGAGCTGAGTGGACTTGCCGATGACTGGTACCAGCAGTGTCAAGATCGGCCTCTGTGAAAGAGGCTCGTGAAGGACGCTACTGGGCAGTTGGAGGCAGTCACCCTCCAACAACAACGGAGGGCGTAGGAGCGACACTCACAACAACGAGCGAAGCGCTGGGTGGCTAAAGCACAGCAGGTTGGCACAGTAGGGCGCACAGGTGGTGCATCAGCCAGTCATCTCAATCAGTCGACCCGTGTGTGTGTGTCATCGTGTGTGTGTGTGTGTCATCGTGTGTGTGTCATCGTGTGTGTGTGTGTCATCATGTGTGTGTCATCGTGTATGTGTGTGTGTGTGTCATCGTGTGTGTCATCGTGTGTGTGTCATCGTGTGTGTGTGTGTGAGGCTGGGACAGGTGGCTACCTGAGCTGACCCGACCCCCGACCCCTGACCCCAACCTGTGTGTGTGTCATCGTGTGTGTGTGTGGGAGCGGTGGTGCAGCGGTTAGCGCGCTGCGCTACGATCCCGCCGACCCGGGTTCGATTACCGCTCGTGGCCAACGTCAGTGTACGATTATCTCAACCGGTCCTGGGCCTTCCCTAGGTCGACTCAGCCTCAAATGAGTACCCGGTGGGGTGTGTAAACATCGCCAGTCGGGAGACAAAGGCGGCCGGGCGTGGTGCTGGCCACCCACCCATGCCGGCCCTTCACAGGTGCTACTCACGAACAGCATTCGTGCCAGCGGTCTGTGAAGGCCGCACGGGGCATGTCTCTGTGTTTGTGAGCGATTGGGTCTCACCGGTGGTGATGGACTCGGGGTTCTGCTCGAGCCAGGCCGGCACGGCGAGCCCAACGAAGAGAGAGAATCCGGCGATGAAGATGTTGCGGGGGGAGTTCATGTCGGCAAACTGTGCGGGGGTGGAGAGGGGGGCGAGGAGGGGAGGTGGGTGGCGTGGCCAAGAACTCACTCAACCCAGGGATCCCGACAGCACCACTGGTAGTAATGTACAGGCCTCCATCAATCCACTGCTAGACGAAGGGCTTCCCACGGCAGGTTGTTTGAGCTCGCTTACCCGTGCGGGACGGTGAAGGCGCGGAGCGGAGACCGCTGCTATCGCCGTGGAAATTCCACCGTCACCGTGCCGACCCCATCCCCTCCGTCGCTGTGGCGGTTCCACCCTTTGCCCGTCACCGTGGCGACCCCGTCCCCCCCCCCGCTCACCTGGAGGTTGGAGATCCCAACGGCGGTGATGACGCCGAACATGACGATGAGCATGCCGCCGATGACGGGCTCGGGGATGCAGGCGAGCAGCGCACCGGCCTTGCCAAACACGCCGAGCAGCAGCAGCCAGAGCCCCGCAGAGAGGACGACCGAGCGGCTTCCAACCTGGGCCGCGGGGGGGGGGGGATAGACACGGAGGCATGGGGGCGAGGGAGGAGATACGGGGAGTTAGAGACACAGGAAGAGCACAGGAGAATGTTAGGCTTGGAGCTACGTCCCCATGCTTGAGCAACCTCTACTCCTAGCAATCTCTACTCCTAGCAATCTCTACTCCTAGCAACCTCTACTCCTAGCAACCTCTACTCCTAGCAACCCCTACACCTAGCAACCCCTACTCCTAGCAACCCCTACTCCTAGCAACCTCTACTCCTAGCAACCCCTACACCTAGCAACCCCTACTCCTATCAACCCCTACTCCTATCAACCCCTACTCCTAGCAACCTCTACTCCTAGCAACCTCTACTCCTAGCAACCTCTACTCCTAGCAACCCCTACTCCTAGCAACCCCTCCTCCTAGCAACCCCTACTCCTAGCAACCTCTACTCCTAGCAACCTCTACTCCTAGCAACCCCTACTCCTAGCAACCCCTACTCCTAGCAACCCCTACACCTAGCAACCTCTACTCCTATCAACCTCTACTCCTAGCAACCCATACTCCTAGCAACCCCTACTACTAGCAACCTCTACTCCTAGCAACCCCTACTCCTAGCAACCCCTACACCTATCAACCTCTACTCCAAGCAACCCCTACACCTAGCAGCCTCTACTCCTGACAACCTCTTCACCTAGCAACCCCTACTCCTATCAACCCCTACTCCTAGCAACCCCTACTCCTAGCAACCCCTACTCCTATCAACCCCTACTCCTAGCAACCTCTTCACCTATCAACCTCTACTCCTAGCAACCCCTACTACTAGCAACCTCTACTCCTATCAAACCCTACTCCTAGCAACCTCTACTCCTAGCAACCTCTACACCTAGCAACCTCTACTCCTATCAACCTCTACACCTAGCAACATCCACTCCTATCAACCCCTACTCCTAGCAACCTCTACACCTAGCAACCTCTACTCCTAGCAACCCCTACTCCTAGCAACCCCTACTCCTAGCAACCCCTACTCCCAGCAACCCCTACTCCTAGCAACCTCTACTCCTAGCAACCCCTACACCTAGCAACCCCTGCTCCTATCAACCCCTGCTCCTAGCAACCCCTGCTCCTAGCAACCTCTACTCCTAGCAACCCCTACACCTAGCAACCCCTACTCCTAGCAACCCCTACTCCTAGCAACCCCTACTCCTAGCAACCTCTACACTTAGCAACCCCTACACCTAGCAACCCCTACTCCTATCAACCCCTACTCCTAGCAACCCCTACTCCTAGCAACCTCTACTCCTAGCAACCTCTACTCCAGGGGTCGGGAACCTTTTTGACTAAGAGAGCCATGAAAGCAAAAAATTTGGAAATTTATTTCAGTGAGAGCCATATAATATATTTTAAAAGTGAATTCAACTAAATGTCAGTATAATAAGCCTCTGAATTTATTCTTTTAAATAATGTTGTTATAACACTCACCATTAATGCGACTTCTGGTGCTGCATGGATTTGCTGATGTCTTTGTAGTCGGGTTGGTACTTGGTGAGGTTAAGCTTCATGCAAGCGTTGAGGCTTTCATCCGTTAAACGTGATCGTAGGTTGGACTTGATGTTTTTAAGATGTGAGAATGACTGCTCATATGCATACGTAGATCCAAACATGGTCAATACAGCAATACTCACACGCTGCAGTGTGTGGTATGTGACAGGAAGCGCGTTCCAAGTTTTGAGAATCAGCTGGTCTTCGGGTTGGAGTTTTTTCATTTCTGTCCACATGTGCTTGCTCGCCAACTCCACTTTCTGTCGTGTGATTCTTTCCAAATCTTCATTCAGTGACTTGAACTTATTCACCCACATGTCTGAGGCCTTCAGGTCAGCCACTTCTGCTTCAAAATCTCTGACGGAGACACCAGGGATGTAATTCAGGTCGGCTGTGTTCAGTGAACACTCGTTTGGATGGGTGATGAACTTAAAAAGACGAGTGTGCTCACGAAATTCTCCAAAGCGTGCTTTGAAGGACTGTAGGAGACTGGATGTGCAGCCAGCTAGCTGGTGGAGATCAAGGTTTTGAATGGGCTCACTTGCTGTGCATGCATCTTTAAATTGGCTCAGTTTTTCAAAATGTAGTAAACGACCTGTTTCAAGATCCGTGATGAAAAGCTCCAGCTTGTTTTCAAAAGCAAATACAGCTTGTTGAAGGGATAACACTGTATTTCCAAAGCCTTGCATTTTCACGTTGAGCTGGTTCAGATGTTCAGTCAGATCTACGAGATAGTAAAACTTGAGGAGCCACTCGGTGTCGGTTAGCTCAGGATGCCCGACGCCTTTCATTTCAAGGAAAGTCCGGATTTCGTTCAGGCAAGCCGCAAAACGGCTAAGCACCTTCCCTCTTGACAACCAACGCACATTGCTGTGCAAAAGCAGACCAGGATAGTTATTTACAACTTCATCCAGCAGTGTTTTAAACTGGCGATCATTTAAGGCTCGGGCAACAATAAAGTTGATCACACGAATGACCAGCGACATCACTTCGCCAAACTGCCTGTCACACATCTGAGCACAAAGTGCCTCCTGGTGTATAATGCAATGGAAACTTAGGATGGGTCTATTTTCATGTTCACGGAGAAGCGCCACAAATGCTTTGTTTTTCCCCACCATACACGGAGCACCATCAGTACACACTGAGAGAAGTTTATCCATAGGTAGACTTTTTTCTTGAGCAAACTCCATGAAAGACTTGAATAAATCCTCACCTCTTGTGGACCGTTTTAATGGCAGAACAGCAAGACTTTCTTCGCGCAGTGTGTCACCAACAGCATATCTTGCAATCACGCTGAACTGCGACAAATGGCTCACGTCTGTTGACTCATCCAAAGCCAGAGAAAAGAACGGCGCTGCATTTATGTCCTTCACTTGCGTTTCCTCCACTTTGTTTGCCATCACGATGGTACGATCATGAACAGTTCTTGCCGACAGAGGCATGTCTTGTATCCGTTTGATTATCTTGTCTTTGTTCGGAAGATCATCAAAAAGTTCATTGGCTACATCCAGCATGAACGTTTTAGCATACTCGCCATTTGTGAATGGTTTTCCGTTCCTCACTATTGCTAAAGAACCAGCAAAGCTAGCCGAATTATAGTCACCTTGCCGGGTCCATACGCGGAGTTGCTGCTGGCTAGCTTGCACCCTGCTCAGAAGCTCTTGGCACGCTTTCTTTCTGCTGTCTCCCGCAGGGTATTTTGATGCAAAGGTAGCGTGGCGCGTGTCGAAGTGCCGCTTTACATTCGACCGTTTCAACGATGTAATTTTGTCATTGCAAATTAGACACACCGCAGAACCCGCTCTCTCCACAAAGGCGAATTCTTCGGTCCATTCGTCCTGAAATGTACGATACTCGTCGTCTTTTTTTCTTTTCGCCATCTTCTTCGTCGAAGGGTTAGCTTTGAGCTAATGACCGAGCAGACGCAGTCTCAGACTGATTCAAAAGGGGGCGTTTACCTGTTTTACCCAGCAACGGCAAACGTAGGCCAGTATCATCCAATTAAAATAATGGACAATTGCTCCTGCAGCCCTGAACAGGACATGCGCAGTGAAAAATCGATGGATGGATTAAAACAAGTGAGAATATTTTGTTTTATCTGCGAGCCATATGCAATCATCAAAAGAGCCACATCTGGCTCGCGAGCCATAGGTTCCCGACCCCTGCTCTACTCCTAGCAACCTCTACACCTAGCAACCTCTACTCCTAGCAACCCCTCCTCCTAGCAACCTCTACTCCTCGCAACCCCTACACCTAGCAACCCCTACTCCTAGCAACCCCTACTCCTAGCAACCCCTACTCCTAGCAACCTCTACTCTTAGCAACCCCTACACCTAGCAACCCCTACTCCTATCAACCCCTACTCCTAGCAACCCCTACTTCTAGCAACCCCTACTCCTATCAACCCCTACTCCTAGCAACCCCTACTCCTAGCAATCCCTACTCCTAGCAACCTCTACTCTTAGCAACCCCTTCTCCTAGCAACCCCTACTCCTAGCAACCTCTACTCCTAGCAACCTCTACTCCTTGCAACCCCTAATCCTAGCAACCCCTACTCCTAGCAACCCCTACACCTAGCAACCTCTACTCCTAGCAACCCCTACTCCTATTAACCTCTACTCCTAGCAACCCATACTCCTAGCAACCCCTACTACTAGCAACCTCTACTCCTAGCAACCCCTACTCCTAGCAACCCCTACACCTATCAACCCCTACTCCTAGCAACCTTTAATCCTAGCAACCACTACTCCTAGCAACCCCTACTAGCAACCCCTACTCCTAGCAACCCCTACTAGCAACCCCGACTCCTAGCAACCTCTACTCTTAGCAACCTCTACTCCTAGCAACCCCTACTCCTAGCAACCCCTACTCCTAGCAACCTCTACTCCTAGCATCCCCTACTCCTAGCAACCCCTACTCCTATCAACCTCTACTCCTAGCAACCCCTACTCCTAGCAACCCCTACTCCTATCAACCTCTACTCCTAGCAACCCCTACTCCTTTCAACCCCTACTCCGACAACCTCTACTCCTAGCAACCTCTACTCCGAGCAACCTCTACACCTAGCAACCCCTACTCCTAGCAACCCCTACTCCTAGCAACCCCTACTCCTAGCACCCTCTACTCCTAGCAACCCATACTCCTAGCACCCTCTACTCCTAGCAACCCCTACTCCTAGCAACCCCTACTCCTTGCAACCTCTATACCTAGCAACCCCTACTCCTAACAACCCCTACTCCCAGCAACCCCTACTCCTAGCAACCCCTACTACTTGCAACCCCTACTCCTAGCAACCTCTACTCCTAGCAACCCCTACTCCTAGCACCCTCTACTCCTAGCAACCTCTACTCCTAGCACCCTCTACTCCTAGCAACCTCTACACCTAGCAACCTCTACTCCTAGCAACCCCTACTCCTAGCAACCCCTACTCCTAGCAACCCCTACTCCTAGCAACTCCTACTCCTAGCAACCCCTACTCCTATCAACCTCTACTCCTAGCAACCTCTACTCCTAGCAACCCCTACTACTAGCAACCCCTACTCCTAGCAACCTCTACTCCTAGCAACCCCTACTCCTAGCAACCCCTACTCCTAGCAACCCCTACTCCTAGCAACCCCTACTACTAGCAACCCCTACTCCTAGCAACCCCTACTCCTAGCAACCCCTACTCCTAGCAACCCCTACTCCTAGCAACCCCTTCTCCTAGCACCCTCTACTCCTAGCAACCCCTATTCCTAGCACCCTCTACTCCTAGCAACCCTTACTCCTAGCAACCCCTACTCCTAGCAACCCCTACTCCTAGCAACCTCTACTCCTAGCACCCTCTACTCCTAGCAACCCCTACTCCTGGCAACCTCTACTCCTAGCAACCCCTACTCCTAGCAACCTCTACACCTAGCAACCTCGACTCCTAGCAACCCCTACTCCTAGCCACCCCTACTCCTAGCAACCCCTACTCCTAGCAACCCCTACTCCTAGCAACCTCTACTCCTAGCACCCTCTACTCCTAGCAACCCCTACTCCTGGCAACCTCTACTCCTAGCAACCCCTACTCCTAGCACCCTCTACTCCTAGCAATCCCTACTCCTAGCAACCCCTACTCCTTTCAACCCCTACTCCGACAACCTCTACTCCTAGCAACCTCTACTCCGAGCAACCTTTACACCTAGCAACCCCTACTCCTAGCAACCCCTACTCCTAGCAACCCCTACTCCTAGCACCCTCTACTCCTAGCAACCCATACTCCTAGCACCCTCTACTCCTAGCAACCCCTACTCCTAGCAACCCCTACTCCTTGCAACCTCTATACCTAGCAACCCCTACTCCTAACAACCCCTACTCCCAGCAACCCCTACTCCTAGCAACCCCTACTCCTAGCAACCCCTACTCCTAGCAACCTCTACTCCTAGCAACCCCTACTCCTAGCACCCTCTACTCCTAGCAACCTCTACTCCTAGCACCCTCTACTCCTAGCAACCTCTACACCTAGCAACCTCTACTCCTAGCAACCCCTACTCCTAGCAACCCCTACTACTAGCAACCCCTACTCCTAGCAACCCCTACTCCTAGCAACCCCTACTCCTATCAACCTCTACTCCTAGCAACCTCTACTCCTAGCAACCCCTACTACTAGCAACCCCTTCTCCTAGCAACCTCTACTCCTAGCAACTCCTACTCCTAGCAACCCCTACTCCTAGCAACCCCTACTCCTAGCAACCCCTACTACTAGCAACCCCTACTCCTAGCAACCCCTACTCCTAGCAACCCCTACTCCTAGCAACCCCTACTCCTAGCAACCCCTTCTCCTAGCACCCTCTACTCCTAGCAACCCCTATTCCTAGCACCCTCTACTCCTAGCAACCCTTACTCCTAGCAACCCCTACTCCTAGCAACCCCTACTCCTAGCAACCTCTACTCCTAGCACCCTCTACTCCTAGCAACCCCTACTCCTGGCAACCTCTACTCCTATCAACCCCTACTCCTAGCAACCCCTACTCCTAGCAACCCCTACTTCTCCTAGCAACCCCTACACCTAGCAACCCCTACACCTATCAACCCCTACTCCTAGCAACCTCTACTCCTAGCACCCTCTACTCCTAGCAACCCCTATTCCTAGCACCCTCTACTCCTAGCAACCCTTACTCCTAGCAACCCCTACTCCTAGCAACCCCTACTCCTAGCAACCTCTACTCCTAGCACCCTCTACTCCTAGCAACCCCTACTCCTGGCAACCTCTACTCCTATCAACCCCTACTCCTAGCAACCCCTACTCCTAGCAACCCCTACTTCTCCTAGCAACCCCTACACCTAGCAACCCCTACACCTATCAACCCCTACTCCTAGCAACCTCTACTCCTAGCAACCCCTACACCTAGCAACCCCTACACCTATCAACCCCTACTCCTAGCAACCTCTACTCCTAGCAACCTCTACACCTAGCAACCCCTACACCTATCAACCCCTACTCCTAGCAACCTCTACTCCTAGCAACCTCTACACCTAGCAACCTCTACACCTATCAACCCCTACTCCTAGCAACCCCTACACCTATCAACCCCTACTCCTAGCAACCTCTACTCCTAGCAACCTCTACACCTAGCAACCCCTACTCCTAGCAACCCCTACTCCTAGCAACCTCTACTCCTAGCAACCCCTACTCCTCCTATCAACCCCTACTCCTAGCAACCTCTACTCCTAGCAACCTCTACTCCTAGCAACCCCTACACCTATCAACCTCTACTCCTATCAACCCATACTCCTAGCAACCTCTACTCCTAGCAACCCCTACTCCTAGCAGCCCCTACTCCTAGCAACCTCTACACCTAGCAACACCTACTCCTAGCAACCCCTACTACTAGCAACCCCTACTCCTAGCAACCCCTACTCCTAGCAACCCCTACTCCTAGCAACCTCTACTCCTATCAACCCCTACTCCTCCTATCAACCCCTACTCCTAGCAACCTCTACTCCTAGCAACCCCTACACCTATCAACCCCTACTCCTATCAATCCCTACTCCTAGCAACCCCTACTCCTCCTAGCAACCCCTACTCCTATCAACCCCTACTCCTAGCAACCCCTACTTCTCCTAGCAACCCCTACACCTAGCAACCCCTACACCTATCAACCCCTACTCATAGCAACCTCTACTCCTAGCAACCCCTACACCTAGCAACCCCTACACCTATCAACCCCTACTCCTAGCAACCTCTACTCCTAGCAACCTCTACACCTAGCAACCCCTACACCTATCAACCCCTACTCCTAGCAACCTCTACTCCTAGCAACCTCTACACCTAGCAACCTCTACACCTATCAACCCCTACTCCTAGCAACCCCTACACCTATCAACCCCTACTCCTAGCAACCTCTACTCCTAGCAACCTCTACACCTAGCAACCCCTACTCCTAGCAACCCCTACTCCTAGCAACCTCTACTCCTAGCAACCCCTACTCCTCCTATCAACCCCTACTCCTAGCAACCTCTACTCCTAGCAACCTCTACTCCTAGCAACCCCTACACCTATCAACCTCTACTCCTATCAACCCATACTCCTAGCAACCTCTACTCCTAGCAACCCCTACTCCTAGCAGCCCCTACTCCTAGCAACCTCTACACCTAGCAACACCTACTCCTAGCAACCCCTACTACTAGCAACCCCTACTCCTAGCAACCCCTACTCCTAGCAACCCCTACTCCTAGCAACCTCTACTCCTATCAACCCCTACTCCTCCTATCAACCCCTACTCCTAGCAACCTCTACTCCTAGCAACCCCTACACCTATCAACCCCTACTCCTATCAACCCCTACTCCTAGCAACCCCTACTCCTCCTAGCAACCCCTACTCCTAGCAACCCCTACTCCTCCTAGCAACCCCTCCTCATCCTCCTCGTCGTCCCTCCGCCACCTTGGTGATGCCGATGGCGGCGACGTTCTCGCTGTAGGAGGTGGTGCCGTTGCCGGTGCCCCAGGCGCCGGCGAGGAGGCAGCCGAGGCCCTCGAGGGCGACGCCGCGGTTGACGGCGTGGCGCGGGGGCGGCGGTGCTCCCGCCAGGCGGGCGCACGCGTGGTAGTCCCCCACCGACTCCACCACGGAGGACACCACGCCGGCCAGCATCCCCACCGCACCCGCAGCGCTCACGCTCGGGACGCCCCACTGGCCTGCCGCGGTGGGGGGCGGGGGGGGGGGAGTGGGGGTGGGTGGGGGGGAACGCGGGGTGGGGGGGGTAGTGGGAGGGGGTGTGGGGGGTAGTGGGGGAGGGGGCGGGAGGGGAGTGGGGGTGGGTGGGGGGGAACGCGGGGTGGGGGGGGCGGTGGGTGGGGGGGGCGGTGGGTGGGGGGGGTAGTGGGGGAGCGGGTGGGGGGTAGTGGGGGGGGCGGGTAGGGGTGGGTGGGGGGAAACGCGGGGTGGGTGTGGGTGGGGCGCGGGGGAGCGGTGGAGGGGGGCGGGTGGGGGGTAGTGGGGGGGGGCGGGTAGTGGGGGGTAATGGGGGGGGGCGGGTGGGGGGTAGTGGGGGGGGGGTAGTAGGGGGGTAGTGGGTAGCGGAGGGCGCACGAGGCGAGCGGAGTGAGTGGTGAGAATTAGAATATCGATCGTGGAGAAATCCGATGAGCCGTGAAGCTCTTTAATCACACACGTGCAGTGAGCGGCGGCAGGGAAGCGCCCTGCACCACGAAGCCTTCGGCCGTAACAACTTAGGATCTGGTGCAAACTTCGGCGATGGGGAGACAAAGGTGGCCGGGCGTGGTGCTAGCCACACCCCACCCCCTTCACCCTCCCTCGTGGGCCGTGCCGGTATTCATTCACTGACGGCACTTGCCCCAACAGTCTGGATGAGGCTATATGGGGAACCTTTGTCGATATGATCGCCGTCCAACTCGACGTGCAATGCCAGAATAACGCAGAGCTGAGCGATGGTTGTAATGTACATTTCTGTTGCACCGAGAATGGCGTTATGTACCTCCGAATAGCAGGTTGGCTTCGTAGAGTGCGAAAGAAGTTCAACATACATACATGAGTCATGTAGTGTATGCTGCACTGCGCGATAGATGCAATAGAATACAGTGACTTTGTATGTCGTCATTATCAACCATGATCTATTCACAGTTGGATGAAGTCTGCCCCCCTGTTGACCCAGAGGGTAAAATCCACGTGACCACGGGGAGAACACGCACACTTCAAATATACAGCAGGTAGGCGTCAAGGTCTGGATCGAACCCACGACCTCCTGTATACCAGGCGAGGTAGTTAACATCTCCTAGCCACCGTGATGATGGTGATGATGAGAGAGACACACAAACTCGAAATATACAGCAGCAGACGTCAGGGTCTGGATCAAACCCACGACCTCCTGCATACCAGGCGAGGTAGTTAATATCTCCTAGCCACCGTGATGATGATGAGAGAGAGAGAGAGACACGCAAACTCCAACTATACAGCAGGCGTCAGGGTCGGATGGAACCCACGACCTCCTGTATACCAAGCGAGGTAGTTAACATCTCCTAGCCACCGTGATGATGGTGATGATGAGACACGCAAACTTCAAATATACAGCAGCAGGCGTCAAGGTCTGGATCAAACCCACGACCTCCTGCATACCAGGCGAGGTAGTGAACATCTCCTAGCCACCGTGATGATGATGAGACACACAAACTCCAAATATACAGTCGGCATCAGGGTCTGGAACGAACCTACGACCTCCTGCATACCAGGTGAGGTCATTAACATCTCGCAAATAGCATACAACCCAGGAGCCCACTCACTTTCTTAACAATCAATTTGACGTCTCAACTTTGAGTGTCTTCCCTAATCCACGTGCTCCTCTTTCTGTCTCTCAGTGTAATTCCGAGCATGCGTATCTCCACACTTACATCATCGTCACCGGATTATTTTCACTGCCGGATGAGGACCAAATGCGACGTTGTCCCGGACCTGTGCCTATCTCTTTCTGATCGTCTTCCCGACCTTGATTCTCTCCGTGCCTCCTTGCGCACTCTACCTGGGTAGGGCAGGTAAATCCAGGGAGCGCTGCCCATCGCCTCGGCCTTGAGGTCGGTGCGGGCCAGGTAGCCGTAGGCGTCGGGTTGGTCTGGCAGGCCCCCACACACAGTGAGCAGGTGGCACACGAGCCAGGCCAGCCCCATCCCCAACAGCACCTGGGGGTGTACACACACACAGGGTGTACACACACACACACAGGGTGTACACACACACAGGGTGGACACACACACACAGGGTGTACACACACACACAGGGTATACACACACACACAGGGTGTACACACACACACACAGGGTGTACACACACACACAGGGTGTACACACACACACAGGGTGTACACACACACACACAGGGAATACACACACACACAGGGTGTACACACACACACACACACAGGGTGGACACACACACACACAGGGTGTACACACACACACAGGGTGTACACACACACACAGGGTGTACACACACACACAGAGTGTACACACACACACAGGTGTACACACACACACGGTGAACACACACACAGGGTGTACACACACACACACAGGGTGTACACACATACACACAGGGTGTACACACACACACAGGTGTACACACACACGGTGAACACACACACAGGGCGTATACACACACAGGGTGTACACACTACACACACACACAGGGTGTACACACACACATGGTGTATATACACACACACAGGGTGTACACACACACACAGGGTATACACACACACACACAGGGTGTACACACACACATAGGGTGTACACACACACACAGGGTGTACACACACACACAGGGTGTACACACACACACGGTGTATATACACACACACACAGGGTGTACACACACACACAGGGTGTACACACACACAGGGTGTATACACACACACAGGGTGTACACACCACACACACACAGGGTGTACACACACACAGGGTGTACACACACACACAGGGTGTACACACACACACAGGGTGTACACACACACACAGGGTGTACACACACACAGGGTGTACACACACACACAGGGTGTACACACTACACACACACACACAGGGTGTACACACACACAGGGTGTACACACACACACAGGGTGTACACACACACACAGGGTGTACACACACACACACGGTGTATATACACACACACACAGGGTGTACACACACACACAGGGTGTACACACACACACAGGGTGTATACACACACAGGGTGTACACACCACACACACACAGGGTGTACACACACACACACAGGGTGTACACACACACACAGGGTGTACACACACACAGGGTGTACACGCCACACACACACAGGGTGTACACACACACACAGGGTGTACACACACACAGGGTGTATACACACACACACAGGGTGTACACACACACAGGGTGTACACGCCACACACACACAGGGTGTACACACACACACAGGGTGTACACACACATACACACAGGGTGTACACACACACACACAGGGTGTACACACACACACAGGGTGTACACACACAGGGTGTACACACACACACAGGGTGTACACACTACACACACACAGGGTGTACACACACACACACAGGGTGTACATACACACACACAGGGTGTACATACACACACACACGGTGTATATACACACACACACAGGGTGTACACACACACACAGGGTGTACACACACACACAGGGTGTATACACACACAGGGTGTACACACCACACACACACAGGGTGTACACACACACACAGGGTGTACACACACACACAGGGTGTACACGCCACACACACACAGGGTGTACACACACACACACAGGGTGTACACACACACACACAGGGTGTATACACACACACACAGGGTGTATACACACACACAGGGTGTACACACACACACAGGGTGTACACACACACACAGGGTGTACACACACACACACAGGGTGTACACACCACACACACACACAGGGTGTACACACACAGGATGTACACACACACACAGGGTGTACACACCACACACACACACAGGGTGTACACACACACACAGGGTGTACACACACACACACAGGGTGTACACACCACACACACACACAGGGTGTACACACACAGGATGTACACACACACACACAGGGTGTACACACCACACACACACACAGGGTGTACACACACACACACAGGGTGTACACACACACACACAGGGTGTATACACACACACAGGGTGTACACACACACACAGGGTGTACACACACACACAGGGTGTACACACACAGGATGTACACACACACACACACTTATGGAAGGCCGGCACGGCGCACGCGGGGGGCACACGGCCACCACCACGCCCGGCCGCCTTTGTCTCTCGAGTGGCGATGTTTACTACACGCCGCGCCAGGTACCCGTTTGTATGTATGTTGAACTTCTTTCGCACCGTACTTAGCCAAACGTGCCAATTTGAGGTTGAGTCGACTTCGGAGAGGCCCGGGACCGGTTCAAATATTCGCCGCTATAATTGGGAATCCAAATTGTTTTTTGCCAGATTCATCGTGCGGCGCCCTTAACCACTGCGCCACCGCTCCCCACTGCCGCGCATACGCGCGCACAGACACGCATTGGCAGCACGTCCTTGTATTCTGACACCAGTGTAGAGTCGTCCTTCAGGATGCCCTGTGGGATTGCAGACCTCAGACGGAGACTGGGGTTGAATATTCAGGGCTGCTTGCCGTTTATTCACGCCAACACCCGCACTCCTCATCCCGTCGCGGGTCACTCCCTACTCCCTGTCTCTAGCCCTCTCTCCCGACTCCCTCGACCTTCGTCCAGGGTACCCCTTCCCGTACTCCTCCACCCGTAGCCTCCTTTGTCTCTCCGGCTAGGAGGAGGCTTTCTCCCTGCGCCCTGGCTCCTCCCCCTTCTACCTGGCTCCTCCCCCTTCTACCTGGCTCCTCCCCCTTCTACCTGGCTCCTCCCCACTAGCAGAAGTCTCACATTGTCTACTCCTCACCCTTCCCCCTTGCTCTCTAACGCCCCTTTCTCTCTCTCCCCTTCCGTCCAGGTTCCCCTTTTATCCCCTTAGCCCGGGCTCCTCCCCCTTCTACCTGGCTCCTCCCCCTTCTACCTGGCTCCTCCCCATTCTACCTGGCTCCTCCCCCTTCTACCTGGCTCCTCCCCCTTCTACCTGGCTCCTCCTCACTAGCAGAAGTCTCACATTGTCTACTCCTCACCCATCCCCCTCTCTCGCCCTCCTGACACTCCCCTTTTTGCTTGGACCCCTTCCCGCAGTTGCCCCTCGTTGGCTCCCAGTAGTACCCCCCTACACATGTATGTTGAACGTCTTTCGCACCGTGCGTAGCCAACCGTGCGTGCTAAGCAGAGGTGTGGAAAGCGGAGGGAGGTCAGCACTGCAGACAGCGCCCTCTGGTGGACGCATGCACGGAAGGAGTCGTTGGTGGACACTGATTCTTGCATTAACGTTAAAGCCATGCGATCCTTGAGGTATAATGTTAAGCACAATAGCTCTCCGTTAAGATGAACGGGACCGGACCAAACGAAACAACGCAAACGAGAGGTAACAGCGGAACAACAATGCATACAACAACGCAAACGAGACGTAACAGCGGAACAACAATGCATACAACAACATACGGGACGGAACAACGGAACAACAATGCATACAACAACGCATACGGGACTGAACAACGGAACAACAATGCATACAACAACGCAAACGAGACGTAACAACGGAACAACAATGCATACAACAACGCATACGAGACGGAACAACGGAACAACAATGCATACAACAACGCATACGAGACGGAACAACGGAACAACAATGCATACAACAACGCATACGAGACGGAACAACGGAACAACAATGCATACAACAACATACGAGACGGAACAACGGAACAACAATGCATACAACAACGCATACGAGACGGAACAACGGAACAACAATGCATACAACAACGCATACGAGACGGAACAACGGAACAACAATGCATACAACAACGCATACGAGACGGAACAACGGAACAACAATGCATACAACGACGCATACGAGACGGAACAACGGAACAACAATGCATACAACAACATACGGGACGGAACAATGGAACAACAATGCATACAACAACGCATACGAGACATAACAACGGAACAACAATGCATACAACAACGCATACGAGACTGAACAACGGAACAACAATGCATACAACAACGCAAACGAGACATAACAACGGAACAACAATGAATACAACAACGCTTACGAGACTGAACAACGGAACAACAATGCATACAACAACGCAAACGAGACGTAACAGCGGAACAACAATGCATACAACAACATACGGGACGGAACAATGGAACAACAATGCATACAACAACACTACCGAGACGGAACAACGGAACAACAATGCATACAACAACGCATACGGGACTGAACAACGGAACAACAATGCATACAACAACGCATACGAGACGGAACAACGGAACAACAATGCATACAACAACATACGGGACGGAACAACGGAACAACAATGCATACAACAACGCATACGAGACGGAACAATGGAACAACAATGCATACAACAACGCATACGAGACGGAACAACGGAACAACAATGCATACAACAACATACGAGACGGAACAACGGAACAACAATGCATACAACAACGCATACGAGACGGAACAACGGAACAACAATGCATACAACAACGCATACGAGACGGAACAACGGAACAACAATGCATACAACAACATACGGGACGAAACAATGGAACAACAATGAATACAACAACGCATACGAGACATAACAACGGAACAACAATGAATACAACAACGCAAACGAGACAGAACAACGGAACAACAATGCATACAACAACGCTTACGAGACTGAACAACGGAACAACAATGCATACAACAACGCAAACGAGACGTAACAGCGGAACAACAATGCATACAACAACATACGGGACGGAACAATGGAACAACAATGCATACAACAACACTAACGAGACGGAACAACGGAACAACAATGCATACAACAACGCATACGGGACTGAACAACGGAACAACAATGCATACAACAACGTATACGAGACGGAACAACGGAACAACAATGCATACAACAACATACGGGACGGAACAATGGAACAACAATGCATACAACAACGCATACGAGACGGAACAACGGAACAACAATGCATACAACAACGCATACGAGACGGAACAACGGAACAACAATGCATACAACAACACTAACGAGACGGAACAACGGAACAACAATGCCTACAACAACGCATACGAGACGGAACAACGGAACAACAATGCATACAACAACGCTTACGAGACTGAACAACGGAACAACAATGCATACAACAACGCATACGAGACTGAACAACGGAACAACAATGCGTACAACACCGCATACGAGACGGAACAACGCAAACGAGACGTAACAAATGAGCAAAGGCGGTGTTCCGGTGACGCGTGAGACCGACGGTACAGACGGCGCGGTGCGAACGATACAGACAAAACAGAAACATTGCAAATGAGACAAACCAGAGGGAACAAGACAGACCAACAACACCATCAGAAGATTTTTGTAAATATGTAATTTTCGGCACCAAATCGTGGTGATCCAGTCGTGGGTGCCTGCCGATGACAGTTCAGAACCACGGAGAGCGCTCGTGGATAGAGAGTGTAGTAAAACACTAGACCTACCTGTCTAGCCAACCAGACACACACACTAACACTAGCCCTACCTCTCTAGCCAACCAGACACACTCACACTAACACGAGCCCTACCTGTCTAGCCAACCAGACACACACACTAACACTAGCCCTACCTGTCTAGACAACCATACACACACACTAACACTAGCCCTACCTGTCTAGCCAACCAGACACACACACTAACACGAGCCCTACCCGTCTAGCCAACCAGACACACTAACACTAGCCCTACCCGTCTAGCCAACCAGATACACTCACTCACACTAACACTAGCCCTACCCGTCTAGCCAACCAGATACACTAACACTAGCCCTACCTCTCTAGCCAACCAGACACACTCACACTAACACTAGCCCTACCTGTCTAGACAACCATACACACACACTAACACTAGCCCTACCTGTCTAGCCAACCAGACACACACACTAACACTAGCCCTACCTGTCTAGACAACCATGCACACACACTAACACTAGACCTACCTGTCTAGCCAACCAGACACACACTAACACTAGCCCTACCTGTCTAGCCAACCAGACACACTAACACTAGCCCTACCCGTCTAGCCAACCAGACACACTCACACTAACACTAGCCCTACCTGTCTAGCCAACCAGACACACACACACTAACACTAGCCCTACCTGTCTAGCCAACCAGACACACACACTAACACTAGCCCTACCTGTCTAGCCAATCAGACACACACACTAACACTAGCCCTACCTGTCTAGCCAACCAGACACACTCACACTAACACTAGCCCTACCTGTCTAGCCAACCAGACACACTAACACTAGCCCTACCTGTCTAGCCAACCAGACACACACACTAACACTAGCCCTACCCGTCTAGTCAACCAGACACACACACTAACACTAGTCCTACCTGTCTAGACAACCAGACACAATAACACTAACCCTACCCGTCTAGCCAACCAGACCCACTCACACTAACACTAGCCTTACCCGTCTAGACAGCCAGACACACACACTAACACTAGCCCTACCTGTCTAGCCAACCAGACACACACACTAACACTAGCCCTACCTGTCTAGCCAACCAGACACACACACTAACACTAGCCCTACCTGTCTAGCCAATCAGACACACACACTAACACTAGCCCTACCTGTCTAGCCAACCAGACACACTCACACTAACACTAGCCCTACCTGTCTAGCCAACCAGACACACTAACACTAGCCCTACCTGTCTAGCCAACCAGACACACACACTAACACTAGCCCTACCCGTCTAGTCAACCAGACACACACACTAACACTAGTCCTACCTGTCTAGACAACCAGACACAATAACACTAACCCTACCCGTCTAGCCAACCAGACCCACTCACACTAACACTAGCCTTACCCGTCTAGACAGCCAGACACACACACTAACACTAGCCCTACCTGTCTAGTCAACCAGACACACACACTAACACTAGCCCTACCTGTCTAGCCAACCAGACACACTAACACTAGCCCTACACATCTAGCCAACCAGACACACACACACTCACACTAGCCCTACCCGTCTAGCCAACCAGACACACACACTAACACTAGCCCTACCTGTCTAGCCAACCAGACACACTAACACTAGCCCTACCCGTCTAGCGAACCAGACACACTAACACGAGCCCTACCTGTCTAGCCAACCAGAATCTAGCATTACCACTCGCCCAGAACTGTCCCTCAGTCCACCTCTGCCGCCTCCCCGGCTATCTCCTGTTCACTCGTTGTGCAACGGCGTTGGCGGCGATCGCTCCGAGTGGGCGCGAGGTACCGGGAAGAGCTTGAAGATCGGCAACGGCTTGAGGCGCGGTCCGCCCCGCCACGCGGGCAGCAGTGGCACGTGGAGGTCGCGTAGGTACTGGGAGAAGAGCACGATGAGAGCAATCGTCCTGGTGGGGGGGACAACGACCCAGTGGTGGCGTGTGAATAAAAGAGTGGGTAGGTAAGTGAGCGATCGAGGGAGTGCGGGGGCTGGGTTGGTGAGTGGATGAGTGACACGATACCAATCTGTGAAACACAGCAGCGCCTTCGTTCCGTTGTGACGATGATCGCTCTGCGTCGTAAACACGATGGCGCCAATGCCACGCGTGCTACAATACCACGTGTCGTGACGAGGTACTGCAAGATCCGACCGTGTCCATCCAGTGCTAGCCGAGCTGGATTGGCTTTCGGTTTCTGAACGAATGCGTTCTAAGGTCGCACTCATTACACGTAAAGTGCCTGCCACAAATTAACCACAATACCTCGCTGATCTCGTCAAGGAGCTATAAGCCATCATCACGCGAACTCCGCTGGTCATCCTCGCAGCAGCAGCTTTTGGCTAGCCGTCGAACAAAGACGGTCACTTTCAGATCCACTTCTGCGGCCGTCTGGAACGCTCTTCTGATATTAGGAAGCCACTGGAGCTATGCAACTTTTTTCTTTAGAATAATTTGTGTTTTTGTTTGTTGTCTTTCCCCTGCACCTCTGGTTAGCACGGTTGGCTACATACGGTGCGAAAGAAGTTGAATAAAGATATATAATCATCATTATTTATCAAGGTGGTCCACGTCGGTCGATTCACGGGCGTGTGAGACGCGTGGGGACCTTGGGGCTGAGTGCGCAGCTGGAGGGCGCCATGGTGGCGAGATGTTAACTACCTCGCCTAGTATACTGGAGGTTGTGGATTTTTCTCCGGGTCCTCCAGTTTTTCCCTCCACATTTAGAATCAACATCACGCGTTTAGAGTATTTGGCTGCTATTTCGATTCAAAGCTTTTGTGACTGCAGGGATTCCTATTCTTGGTCCTTTCGGTAAAGTCACGTAGAAGGGAAATAATAAAATAATAAAATGATTCTTTCCCTTCTACGTGACTTTACCGAAAGAACCAAGAATATTTGGCTGATATTACTTTCCACATGATAAACTATTTCGTTGAGCTATCATTCGTGGTCAAGTCGCTTCTGAAAATGAGCTACATAGCTCAGTGGTCCTCCTACTGCACCCAACGCACGATCGCCAATTCGGTTCGATCTTCCCGGTGCGGCAATCGGGCAACTCGGTTTTCGCTTGCAACCGGCGAGTTGCTTACAAGGCGCGAGAGTTTGAGCAATGGGTTGCGAGCAGGCGCCGCGACGGGCCCGACTCCCTCGCCGTGCCCGGGCGACGATGGTCCCGGCCGTTTGCGGTCGGCGCCCTTCACCGGGCTCGTCGCCCGTCGTGGCTGCGAGTGTGCGACCGGTCGCTACGATCTGCGATCCACCCGAACGCGACCGGCCGCTCGGACGCGGAACAGAGGTCTGGTGTCATCACCGGACAGCTCACAAAAGTTAATTCTTTTTTTTTTTACCCAATGAAGCCCCCAAGGGGTGGAGCCGCGGCGGTGCGATGGACCGCGGGCACTGCAGTTTGGCTCCGCGGCTACATCGGCGAACCTACCGCGACCTCCTCGTGGACCTCCTCGCGGCCCGATGACCCGCAAACTCACATGCAGGCCACGCCCCAGTGGTGGCCGGCGCTGGTGGCGGCCGAGCGCACGAGCGACAGGCCGATGAGCGCCACGGTGGGCGCGATGGAGAGCGGCCCCACCAGGCGCAGCAGCCAGCCCATCGCGCCCGAGCAGCCGAGCAGCATCTGGAAGCATGAGGCCACCATGATGGCGCCCTGCAGCTGTAGCGGTAGAGGGAGGGAGGGAGGTGAGTGGATAGGGAGATTGAGGAGAGGGTGAGACAGGGCAGAGAGAGTGGGGCGGAGGGGGGGGGGAGGAGAGGGGCAGAGTGAGCAATGGAGAGGGAGACAGGAGAGGGAATGATAGATTCGTGATAGAGGGAGAGATGGAGCGGTGAGTTGATGGCAGATGGTGAGGAAAGAGGCCGAGCGGTAAACTTCCTATGATGATCAAGATGATCATGGTTAACGATCACGAGATGATTATGACGACGACGACGATGATGATGACGGTAACGATTATGAGAGGATTACAACGACGACGACGATCATGGCAACGGCAGTGAGGTCACCACGACAACGATCACGGCAGCGATTACGAGCTGATCACGACGATGGCGTTCACCAACCTCGCAGATCCGAGCCTGCCAGGAGATGGCGGTGGGTGACGCCGCCGTGTGGTTGAGTCCCGGGGGCGGCCACCCCCCCCCCCTGACCCGGCGGGGCCGCCCCCCCCTCGGCCCCCGCCTCCTCGCAGCGCCACTCGGGCAGGGAGAGCAGTGCGACGCTGGGCACCACGAATGTGAAGGTGCCACCCTGCACGATGGGCAGCCTGCACAAGGTGGTGGGGGGTGGTGGGGCGGGGGGGGGGGCAGCGGCAGAGGGCACCACGTGACGTTAGCTGCCGCCCGGCAACGTTTATCGACCTTTGCGAACGTTTAGCAACGTTCCCCGACGTTTAGCCAACGTTTCGCCAACGATTGTGAACGTTCAGCCAACGTTCAGCCAACGTTCGGCGACGATTGCCAACGTTCACCAACGTTGAGCTAACGTTCGCCAACGTTCACTAAACATTCGCCGACCGCGGCCAGACGATTTCCACAGAGGGACAAGCAGCTGGTCGGAGGCCCCCTGGGCCAGGGCCGCTGCTCCGGGTGCACACGCCACGCGGCTGCTCTTCGAGGGCCTCGCTTCACGACGTCCTTTGTCACGGACCGCCGTCTCGCGATGACGACGAAGCAGGCCTTCGTCACAGACCGCCGCCTCGCCGTCACCGTGATGAAGGACGTCGTGAAGTGAGGCCTTCGTGACGGACCGGCGTCTCGCGATGACGACGAAGCGGGCCTTCGTCACAGACCGCCGTCTCGCCGTCACCGTGATGAAGGACGTCGTGAAGTGAGGCCTTCTTCACGGACTGCCGCCTCGCGATGACGACGAAGCGGGCCTTAATCACGGACCGCTGTCACGTCGTCACCGTGATGAAGGACGTCGTGAAGTGAGGCCTGCGTGACGGACCGCCGTCTCAACCGTCACCGTGATGAAGGACATCGTGAAGTGAGGCCTTCTTCTCGGACCGCCGTGTCGCCGTCACCACGACGCGTTGTGGATCCTGAAATCGTGAGGGTCGTTTTCTCTTTTTTTGTGTGCCGAAATTCGATTAAAAAAATGGCTCCGCTTGTTATTTTGCTTTGCCTCCCCGGGGCTAACAAACTGTGCTCAGAGACGTTTTGTTACGTAATATAAAGTACGTAAGCATTTTAATTACAATGAAGACTTCATTATTTTATTAAAAGTATTTTTTAATACTCCAAAAATTAATCGCGGTTGTGCGATCTTTAGCCCTTCTGCCCCCTCCCCACAAAAACCACAGATGTTACAGAATTGGTGCGCTGAAGAGGATATCACAGAACGACTTCTGAGATCCCTTAGAATATTTTACACACCGCACCAGGTACTCAATTGAGCCTGAGTCGACCTAGGGGGAGGACCAGGACCGGTTCAAATGATCATCACCGGTGTTGGACCGTGAGCGGGAATCGAACTCGGATCATCAGCTTCGTAGCGCAGCGCGCTAACCGCTACACTACCGCTCCCCACACACATACACACACACACTGTTGACAATAATCCTACAGCTACAGATGATTCAAGCCCCATGGCCATGCACCCCAGATCCCCCCCTCCCATCACGTGGGGTCTTAATCCCCCCCCCCCGGCAATGGCTGAGACCCCTGCTGCACAGAGGAGCCATTCATGGGCCCCCAGGCATGGGATCAGCAGGGGGGGGGGTTAGCATAGCCAAAGGGGTTCATAATGGCCGTGTCTTTCAGAGTCTGTAAAGAGGATATAATTATGGCCTGAGTACAAAGGTGGAGGAGACCCGGACGCCGATCCTGCACCGCTAAGACCCTGGGCTCCAGTCCGAGTTTTAGCAGCCGCCCACGGTTATACACCGGGGCCTTCGTTCACTGAATTGGTGGCTCAGCCTCGTCATGAGTACCTTGCATCGAGAGCCATAGGCATAGAGAGCCAAAGGCATAGAGACCTATAGGCATAAAGACCTATAGGCATGGAGAGCCATAGGCATAGAGACCCATAGGCATGGAGAGCCATAGGCATGGAGAGCCATAGGCATAGAGACCCATAGGCATAGAAACCTATAGGCATAGAGACCCATAGGCATAGAAACCTATAGGCATAGAGACCCATAGGCATGGAGAGCCATAGGCATAGAGACATATAGGCATAGAGACCCATAGGCATGGAGAGCCATAGGCATAGAAACCTATAGGCATAGAGACCCATAGGCATAGAAACCTATAGGCATAGAGACCCATAGGTATAGAGACCCAGAGGCATAGAGACCCATAGGCATAGAGACCCATAGGCATAGAAACATGTAGGCATAGAGACCCATAGGCATAGAAACCTGTAGGCATAGAGACCCATAGGCATAGAGACCCATAGGCATGGAGAGCCATAGGCATAGAAACCTATAGGCATAGAGACCCATAGGCATAGAGACCCATAGGCATAGAGACCTATAGGCATAGAGACCCATAGGCATGGAGATCCATAAGCTCGCATCGGGAGACTGGTAGACTTACATTGCGACTCACATATTTATATAAAGAGCCATAGAATTAAAGAGAGACCCGTAGATTTGCATCAAGACCCGTAGACTTATATAGAGACCCATAGAATTACAGAGACACCCGTAGACTTACATTGACACCAATATAGACTTACACTACCGGGAAAGCATCCCTAACTGGAATATAATTTGTGTGAATAAAAGTTAAAAATAAAACTTAAAAATATAAACTGATCACGAGAATGACTGACTGTGCGTGTCCTTCTGAATGTCGTGAAGCCAGGGACGTGACCTGACCTATCCCGACCAGCCAAATAATGTCTGGGTGATGCTGGCGTTATTATTGATGATAGTGGTGGTAGTGGTGGTGTTGATTATGTCTCTGTGTACGGGCACTGCGGCAGCAACGCGTTAACCGCAGAGGCCCTGCGGTGGATTCACGAATAACTCGGTCGCAGTCTCTCGTGACAACAGCCACGTTTGTCTTCGGCCTTCCGCTACGCTTCCTCAATGTCATGGTTCACGATCGCGGGCTCTGACCTCTCCGCTGCGTCGTGATTGGAGACGAAGCCAGCTGTCGAGCCAAGTCCACCCATTTATTTTTGGGGCGGGAGCCTCTGCCGCACAATGGCCACCCAAAGCGCCATCAACATCTGTCTGTGCACACGTACTGACGGACGTAAAGCAACGCCACCATCCCTGCCCAGCGCGTGCAATGATTGTGATGCACCATCTACAGCCCAGTTTCTGAATCCACATTGGGAGCGTCGCGTTCCATTACGCCACCATGCTCTCAGCAGGTGAGAACCCTCTCGCGGCCTCCGTGGCGTCCATCGGCAGCGCGTCATCTGTTGACCGAGTGCATCGGTGGTTCAAGCCCTAACCCCGGGATGAGTTTTTTTTGTTTTTATTCGGAGCCATACCCCCTGGCTCGCCAGGAAAGGGCAGTGCAGCACAGTGTGGACTCCCATCTGTTTCATCTGCATGGGAAACAGTGTTTGCCCCCACCGGCTTTCCTCTGGGTCGCTCTGGTTACCTCCTTCACGTAAAAAAAAAAACACTCGTTATTATTTCGATGAAAACAACCGTCATGTACACAGGACAGCAGAGCTTGGGATGGGGTGGGGGGGGGGGGGGGGGGGCGGGGTGAGGATTTGGTGCCGGCTCATGGATAGAATTCGAGACTGAAGGAACCAACGTAGCCATGCACCTCCTGCCCACACAGAGCGATGTCCTTGAGGCCCGTTGAGGCTTCCCGCGTAAGCAGAGGGCAGGGCATGCGTGTAATTGTCCACGGGTGGTGGGGGGGGATGGAAGAGGACGCGAGACCGCAGCACCGGATTTGGAACCGCCCTGGGGCACCGCTGCACGAGGAACCGCGTTTAGAGATGCGGTTGGAGCGCCGCCAAAGGGAGCGTGTGGGGTGCGGGGGAGAGCCCAGGCCACGAGACGTTCCCACCCCCTCGCTAGCTGACGACCGGCACTGCATGGGGTGGATCGGCCCGTACCACCCGCTCAGCCCTCGCATCCATTACTACCATTCACTCATCCCTCGCATCCATCACGAACACCTGCTCATCCCTCGCATCCATCACTACCATCCACTCATCCCTCGCATCCATCACTACCATCCACTCATCCCTCTCATCCATCTATCCCTCTCATCCATCACAACTGTCCAATCAAACATCTCAAACGAGTGGTGACACGGTGCTCATTTTCCGTTTACAGCCCTGTTGCCACAAAGTGGTGTCTACTTTTTCGACCCTGGAGGCAGGTATGATGGGTTGAGTCAACCCCTCCCCCACCAACCAGGACTTGAAACTCACGACCATCTGATTGCCAGCCACCATCACTCTGGTCCACGAGTCCATCGCATCCATCGCCACAAACAAAAGCCTCTCTCGAATCCATCACCGACCTTCGTCCCTCAAAACTACCTCTCACATGCACGTGTGCTTAGTTTGTCATTCTTCCCCCGCACCTCCGATTAGCACGGTTGGCCACGTACGCGCTGAAGAAGTTCAACGTACGCAGGTACATAACAAGCGAATGTATATTTAAACGTCTAATTTTAAATCATTGCAGTTTTACGTCATCAGTTTTTCTTCCGATTGTGAACATCATCGAAACGAAGCTGCAAAAATTAAATAAAATATACAAGTGCCAAGGCTCCCACAAGGCCATGGGGGAGGGCGTGGGGAACAGTTTGGCGCCAGCTATCATAGAGCGCGGTTGCGTCACTACAGTTCTCTGCGGTGAGTAATATGTCTTTAAAAAGACATAAGCCACGATCTATCCACTGCTCGATGAAGGCCTCCCCAAATCATCGCCATCTCTAACGGTCATACCACGTGAAACCGCATCTACCTTACCCTCGCCCCTACCCCCTCACCTGACACGCACCTCACCTGACGCTCACCCCGCACCTGACCCTCGCCTGACCCCTACCCGCTCACCTGACCCTCACCCCCTAAACTGAATCTCACCCGACACCCATCTGCACCCCCTCACCTGACACCCACCTCCTAACTTGACCCTCAACCCCTCACCTGACCTTTACCCTTCCCCCCCCCCCCCCGCACTGCCCTCGCCATCCCCCCCCCTCTCCTCACCTGATCCCGATGGTGGCCTGCAGCAGAGTGCACATCCCGGACACGAAGAGGATGGTGCTGATGAGGTGGCTGCGCACGTCATCGCCCGGCTGCCCGGGAGGAACGCAGAGGAACCGCGACAGCAGCAGCGGGATGGCCACGAGGCCCCCCATGGCCGTCACGCAATGCTGCCCCCCACCAGGTGGTGACGCGGGAAGGGGGGGCGGGGGAGCGGGGAGAAGGGGGCCGGGGGCAGAGTCACGGTTAGGGGTTTGGTAGGATTTTGCCGGGCGGTGGTGATGGCGGTGGTGGTAGTGGTGGCGGCGGCGGTGGGGACAATGGTGTCGGTGATGGCGGTGGTGACGATGGTGGTGGTGGCGTTGGTAGCGGTGGTAGTAGTCGTGGCGATGGTGCCAGTGGTGGTAATGGTAGTGGTGACAATGGTGGCGGTGGTGTCGGTGATGGCGGTGGTGACGATGGCGGCGGTGGTGCTGGTGACAGTTATGGTGGTGGCTACGCTGCTGCACGTGGCTGCCTGCAGTGATCCAGCACTCTTGAGGCAGCAGCAAGGGTTGGTGGATCACACACAAACTGGTGTTGTGAAACTCCCTTCCCGTGGGTGTCTGGATCTGCCAGAAAGCAGTACAGCAGATTTGGACTAATCTCCATCTGGGTTAGAAATATTAAATAGCAGTGGATTTCAAACCCTCTATACTGAATAGTAAAATCTGAAGGCGAAATATTTGATAATAGCTTGGGTAGGGTTAGGGATCAGGGTTCGAAGGGTATTGCCAGGGATAGGGGGTTCGGGTCGGGGTTAACATTGGTGCTAGGTTTAGACCGATGGGTTCTGGATATTTGTGGATTTTTTGCCAACCGGAGGTGAACATGCGCGAGGAAACATCCGTAGCGGACATGGAGCCTGCGTGCAGGCCGAAGGTGGATCACTCCATCGTGTTGCCCCGGAAAGATGGCGACAGCTTGGGGGTTGGAGGCCCTTCATCCAGCAGTGGATTGATCATGGCTTCTGCTGCTGCCGCCGCTGATGATGATATTTGGTGATAAGGGGTAGCGTTTAAACTTGAGGGAGGTTGGGTACTGGTGCCATGAGGAGGTGGATGAGGTGATGGTTGCAGTTAGGGGCCGTCCATAAATGACGTCACGCTATTTTGGAGGATTTTTGACCCCCCCCCCCCCTTCGTCACACGACGTTACAAAAAGTCAGACCCCCCCTCAAATATGACGTCACAAAGCTCTGCCCCCCCCCCCAAATAAAATAAAACATGCTTCAAATCGCTTTAAACTATTGTAGTGCGTATTTAATGTGGCGCTGCACTCTGATGTTGTAGGAGAAAACATTTATTAAAAAGTATATTTAATTAAGTTAGAACGTGTTGTCTATATTTATTTAAAGTTGCCCATTTGATGTGACGTCACATTTCTCAACCCCCCCCCCCCCCAGGTGCGTGACGTCATTTATGGACGGCCCCTTATGATAAAGATGGCTGGTGACATGAAGAGGTGAATGAGGTGATGGTTGCAGATGTTATGAAGATGGCTGGTGTCATGAGGAGGTGGACGAGGTGATGGTTGCAGTTATGACAAAGATGGCTGGGGCCATGAGGAGGTGGACGAGGTGATGGTTGCAGATGTGATGAAGATGGCTGGTGCCATGAAGAGGTGGACGAGGTGATGGTTGCAGTTGTGATAAAGATGGCTGGTGTCATGAAGAGGTGGACGAGGTGATGGTTGCAGTTGTGATAAAGATGGCTGGTGCCATGAAGAGGTGGACGAGGTGATGGTTGCAGTTGTGATGAAGATGGCTGGTGCCATGAAGAGGTGGACGAGGTGGTGGTTGCAGTTGTGATGAAGATGGCTGGGGCCATGAGGAGGTGGACGAGGAGGTGGTTGCAGTTGTGATGAAGATGGCTGGTGTCATGAGGAGGTGGACGAGGTGATGGTTGCAGTTGTAATGAAGATGGCTGGTGCCATGAAGAGGTGGACGAGGTGATGGTTGCAGTTGTGATGAAGATGGCTGGTGCCATGAAGAGGTGAATGAGGAGGTGGCTGCAGTTATGACAAAGATGGCTGGTGCCATGAGGAGGTGGACGAGGTGATGGTTGCAGTTGTGATGAAGATGGCTGGGGCCATGAGGAGGTGGACGAGGTGATGGTTGCAGTTGTGATGAAGATGGCTGGTGCCATGAGGAGGTGGACGAGGTGATGGTTGCAGTTGTGATGAAGATGGCTGGTGCCATGAAGAGGTGGACTAGGTGATGGTTGCAGTTATGACAAACATGGCTGGTGCCATGAGGAGGTGGACGAGGTGATGGTTGCAGTTGTGATGAAGATGGCTGGTGCCATGAAGAGGTGGACGAGGTGATGGTTGCAGTTGTGATAAAGATGGCTGGTGTCATGAAGAGGTGGACTAGGTGATGGTTGCAGTTGTGATGAAGATGGCTGGTGCCATGAGGAGGTGGACGAGGTGATGGTTGCAGTTGTGATAAAGATGGCTGGTGTCATGAAGAGGTGGACTAGGTGATGGTTGCAGTTGTGATAAACATGGCTGGTGCCATGAGGAGGTGGACGAGGTGATGGTTGCAGTTGTGATGAAGATGGCTGGTGCCATGAAGAGGTGGACGAGGTGATGGTTGCAGTTGTGACGAAGATGGCTGGTGCCATGAGGAGGTGGACGAGGTGAAGGTTGCATTTGTGATAAAGATGGCTGGTGCCATGAAGAGGTAAATGAAGTGATGGTTGCAGTTATGATGAAGATGGCTGGTGCCATGAAGAGGTGGACGAGGAGGTGGTGGCTGGCGCTGCGTAGTCGCACCTGCAGGCCAAGGAGCATGCAGAGAGGCCATGGAGGCGAGTCCAGAATGGAGTAGGCGAGCGCGGACGAGGGGGTGACCTGGGCACAAAGACAAAGATCCCCCGTGTAGCCTGTGACAGACTGTTGAGGCAAGTGCTGTTAGCGAGCACCTACTGATACTCCTGCTCCGTTATGGAGTTACTCATGCTGCCAGCTATGGCTGCAAAGTTTGGTCGTACATGTTATGTGTATCGTTTATTGTTAAATTTGAATCACAGTTCCTATGATCACTGTTACATTGATTTCATAGCTTTGTTTTGGTGATTTTGAAAACGTTTTGGTTTAGCCGTGTCTGTTTGTTGTAGTACAGAGTTAGCCTGATAACTTTAATCTAAATTGCCTTATGGTTGTTATTGTTTGACTCGCATCCCACTGGGATTTTTTTGCACGCAGCGTTGATGTACGGTGTTTTTTTCTGGAAGACTTTTGCTGGTTTATTTTTCCTGGATTTTCTCTGTTGCGCGTAGTCACTTTAAGATGTTTTCTTGTTCGTGTTTTTGTTTTGTTGCGGTTACACCCGAGTCAAGAGCCGCATGGCTCGCAGGGTTATTACCTAATACATGAAACTGAAATGAAACTGAAGGCCGGCAACAGCACACGAGGGGGTTTGTGGCCAGCACTACGCCCCAGTGGCGATGTTTACACACCGCACCAGGCACTCATTTGAGGCTGGGTCGACCTAGGGGAGGAGACCCAGGACCGCTTGAGATAATCGTCACGAGGTGTTGGCCGCGAGTGAGAATCTCACTGTGCCACAACACGGTTACAACCACAACAACAGCCGCTGCCGTTCGCCATTAAGCGGCGGTGACGTTACCACGGGGCCGGTGCCAGGCTAGGTGCACTTTGACGCCACGTGAGGTGTCTAAGGCTCGCTGGCAGGAGGGTAACGGGACAGGCCCGGGTGCCGTGGGCTGGCTAACTGGCAGATGCACCAGCTGTGTACTCTGCTGTGCCAACTCGCTGCGTTTTAGCCGCCCGGCGCTCCGCTCGTTGTTGTGAGCGTCGCTCCTCCGCCCTCCGTTGTTGTTGGAGGGCGACTGCCTCCAACTGCCCAGTAGCGTCCTTCACGAGCCTCCTCCACAGAGGCCGATCTTGACACCGCTGGTACCAGTCATCGGCAAGTCCACTCAGCTCCACGTCCTCCTGTACCACATCACTCCATCTCTTCTCTAGCCCGTGCCGCGCCCGCTTAGCCCCCTCAATCCGGCCGAACAAAAGCTGTTTCGGCATGCGGTGGCTGGGTCATGTAGCCCGCATGCCCAGCCACGGGGGTACACGCACAGGTATATACATACACACAGGTAAGGCCGTAGCCATGGAGTCAACATTGGGGGGACCAAATCTTCCAGGGTGTCTGGGGGTTCCAACACAGACAAATATCTACATTTGAAAACCCATTTCCTGCCTAAAATATAAAAAAAATCACTAACACATGGGATGGACTTTTTATTTATGTTTTACAATAATGTCTAATAGTGTATTGTTGTATTACATTGCTATTTTTTATTTTTTACCATTTCTTGTTTCATTGTATGTAATGGCAGAGATTAGGGATTAATAAAGTACAACCATAACCGCAATCATATAAACATAAATATATGCATTGATTTATATGAAGACAAGTGCAGATATTGTGGCCAAGGTTTAGCAATTTTTTTTACTTATTTACATAGCGTAGCAATTATTATTTTTTAGCAATATATTGGGGGGGACATTTTGAGCATATTTGTATAATTACGGCCTTGCACACAGGTGTACACATGCGTACAATGCAACAGGTACAAAGACCCCCCCCCCCCTTTAGCCTGAGCGAGTAGCACCTATGCAGGCCGGCACGGCACACGAGGGGGTGGGTGGCCAGCTACCACGCCCGGCCGCGTTTGTCTCCCCAGTGGCGATGAGCGGAATCGAACTCGGGTGGCCAGGTTCGTAGCGCAGCGCGCTAACCACTGCACTACCGCTCCCCACTACACACGCGATCCGATACACACACACAAGTATACACACACACAAGTATACACACACAAGTAGACACACACACAAGTATACACACACACAAGTATACACACATACACAAGTATACACACAAGTATATACACACACACATATACACACACACAAGTAGACACACACACACACGTAGACACACACACACAAGTACACACACACAAGTATACACACACAAGTATACACACACAATTATACACACACAAGTACACACACACACAAGTATACACACACACAAGAATACACACACACGTATACACACACAAGTATACACACACACAAGTAGACACCCACACAAGTATACACACACACAAGTATACACACACATACACAAGTAGACACACACAAGTATACACACACACAAGTAGACACACACACAAGTATCCACACACAAGTGTACACACACACACATGTAGACACACACACAAGTATCCACACACAAGTGTACACACATACACAAGTATACACACACAAGTATACACGCAAGTATACACACAAGTGTACACATATTCACAAGTATACACACACACAAGTATACACACAAGTATACACACACAAGTATACACACACAAGTACACACACACAAGTACACACCACACACAAGTATACACACACACAAGTACACACACACACAAGTATCCACACACACACAAGTGTACACACACACAAGCATACACACACACAAGTATCCACACACACACAAGTAAACACACACACAAGTATCCACACACACAAGTATACACACACATAAGTATACACACACAAGTATACACACACAAATATCCACACACACACAAGTAGACACACACACAAGTATACAACAACAACCGCCATTCGCCACTAAGTGGCGGTGACGTCACCACGACGCTTGTGCCAGGCTATGTGCACCCTGAGGCCACGTGAAGTGTCGAACGCCCGCTGGCAGGAGGTCACGGGGCAGACCCAGGTGCCACGGGTCGACTGACTGAGATGACTGGCTGATGCACCACCTGTGCCCCCTACTGTGCCAACCTGCTGTGCTTTAGCCACCCGGCGCTCCGCTCGCTGTTGTGAGCGTCGCTCCTCCGCCCTCCGTTGTTGTTGGAGGGCGACTGCCTCCAACTGCCCAGTAGCATCCTTCACGAGCCTCCTCCACAGAGGCCGATCTTGACACCGCTGGTACCAGTCATCGGCAAGTCCACTCAGCTCCACGTCCTCCTGTACCACATCACTCCATCTCTTCTCTAGCCCGTGCCGCGCCCGCTTAGCCCCCTCAATCCGGCCAAACAAAAGCTGTTTCGGCATGCGGTGGCTGGGCATGCGGGCTACATGACCCAGCCATCGCAGCCTTGCCTGCCGGAGGAGCTCACCGATGGGACCCTGCCCAGATCTTTCAAGGATTTGTGAGCTCCTCACACAATCCAGTCTGGTTAAACCCAGGATGGATCGTAGGCAGGTCAGCCTAAATGTTTCTAACCGGCGAAGATGTTCCATTAGGGGGGTCCACGTTTCGCAAGCGTAGAGAAGGGAGGGAATGACCGTGGCCGAGAAGACCTGAAGCTTAGTGCGGAGCGACAGACCAGGTAGCTTCCACACAGCGTTACGCAACCGATGAAAAGATATTGCCGCTCGACTGATTCGGAGTGAGACCTCTGCTGTTAAACTGGAGCCAGTCATAAGCACACTGCCCAGGTATGGGAAACTCTCCACTCTCTCCACAACTGCCCCATCACCGATTGGGAGTTGTGGGGGTGGAGTGTCCGATGGTACAAAATACCCAGGCAGGTGCTTAGTTTTGGTGGGGCTGATGGTAAGGCCCCACCTCTTAGTGGCACGCTCCAGTCTCAGCAGCAGCGTCTGCAACTCCTCCTCTGACTGAGCAGCTATTACCAAGTCATCAGCATACATAACGTGGTTGAGCAATAGGGAGCCATCCCTTGACCGCACCCGGGCATCGATTAGCCTCCCATTATATCTGTACCATATGGAGATTCCCCCGGTACAGCTATTGAAGGCTTCACGAACTACGTGGTCAAAATAGATGTTAAATAATGTGGGAGCCAGAGGACATCCCTGTCGCACCCCAAGGTGTACAGGGAATGGCTCTGACTCCCGGCCACGTAGTTTTACCCGGGCCCGCTCACCATCATGAAGGTCCTTAATGATCGTGAGCAGAGGGTCAGGTACTCCAAAAGCACGAAGAACGAAGAACGACCCAGAGCCCAGGCCTACTGATGGTATCATAGGCCTTGACCAGGTCAATAAAGCAGAGATGTAGGTCTTGTTGGAATTCCCTACACCTCTGCTGTAGCAGACGGACAGAAAATATGGCATCTGTGCAGGACCGCCCTTTCCTGAAACCGCATTGGGGCTCCGCAAGCCTCTCCTCAGCGTGCCTGGCAAGGCGATGCTGAATAATTCTTGCCAGGACCTTTCCCGGCACACTGAGGAGTGAGATGCCCCTGTAGTTGTTACAGTCTGTGCGGTCCCCCTTCTTAAAAAGGGGGACCACCAGGGCATCCTTCCAATCCTGCGGAACCCGTCCAGTGGTCCAGACTGTTGTTATGATGTCATATAGGGCAGTCTGTGCACAAACGCCACCCTCCCTCAGCATTTCGCAAGTATACACACACAAGTAGACACACACACAAGTATATACACACACACACACACAAGTATACACACACAAGTAGACACACACAAGTATACACATACACAAGTATACACACACACAAGTATACACACACACACAAGTAGACACACACACAAGTAGACACACACACACAAGTAGACACACACACAAGTATATATACACACACACAAGTATACACACACAAGTATACACACACAAGTATACACACACACACACAAGTAGACACACACACAAGTATACACACACAAGTATACACACACAAGTATACACACAAGTAGACACACACACAAGTATACACACACGTAGACACACACACACACACAAGTATATAAACACACACACAAGTGTACACACACACACAAGTAGACACACAGCTGCATAACGCAGCATAGTTGCCAATACAGGTGCACGGCTAAATCTATGATCCTAGGGCCCTGGTTCATGGTTCCATGTCCCTGGTCTCAGGAGCCTGGTTCCGGGTCCCGGATCTCTGGTCTCAGATCCCTGGTCCCAGGTCCCTGGTTCCTGATCTCAGGTTCCTGGTCTCAGGTCCGGGTCCCAGGTCCCTGGTTCCTCATCTCAGGTTCCTGGTCCCAAGTGTCAGGTCCCCGGTGCCAGGTTCCTGGTCCCAGGTGCCAGGTCCCAGGTGCTAGGTTCCCGGTTCCAGGTGCTAGGTTCCTGGTCCCAGGTCCCAGGTTCCTGGTCCCAGGTGCTAGGTTCCCGGTTCCCGGCCCCAGGTTCCTGGTCCCAGGTGCTAGGTTCCTGGTCCCAGGTGCCAGGTCCCGGGTGCCAGGTTCCTGGTCCCAGGTGCTAGGTTCCCAGATGCCAGGTTCCTGGTCCCAGGTACTCACCGAGGGGGGGCTACTGACGGAGGGAAGCTTTAGCGCAGGGTGCTGACGGTCTCCGCCTCTTCCCGGGACACCCGGCATCGTGTCTGCGCGTGTCTGCGCGTGTCTCTCTGTCTCAGCGTCTCGTTGAGTCTCTCTGTGTGTCCCTCCCGCCGTGTCTCTGTGTGAACTCCCCGTGTCTGCGCGTGTCTCTCTGTCTCAGCGTCTCGTTGAGTCTCTCTGTGTGTCTCTCCCGCCGTGTCTCTGTGTGAACTCCCCGTCTCCGCGCGTGTCTCTCTCTCTCTCAGCGTCTCGTTGAGTCTCTCTGTGTGTCTCTCCCGCCGTGTCTCTGTGTGAACTCCCCGTGTCTGCGCGTGTCTCCGCGTGTCTCTCTGTCTCAGCGTCTCGTTGAGTCTCTCTGTGTGTCCCTCCCGCCGTGTCTCTGTGTGAACTCCCCGTGTCTCCGCGTGTCTCTCTGTCTCAGCGTCTCGTTGAGTCTCTCTGTGTGTCTCTCCCGCCGTGTCTCTGTGTGAACTTCCCGTGTCTCCGCGTGTCTCTCTGTCTCAGCGTCTCGTTGAGTTTCTCCCTCTGTTTGTGTCTCCCGCCGTGTCTCTGTGTGAACTCCCCGTGTCTCCGCGTGTCTCCGCGTGTCTCTCTGTCTCAGCGTCTCGTTGAGTCTCTCTGTGTGTGTGTCTCGCCGTGTCTGTGTGAACTCCCCGTGTCTCCGCGTGTCTGCGCGTGTCTCTCTGTCTCAGCGTCTCGTTGAGTCTCTCTCTGTGTGTGTCTCCCGCCGTGTCTCTGTGTGAACTCCCCGTGTCTGCGCGTGTCTCTCTGTCTCAGCGTCTTGTTGAGTCTCTCTGTGTGTCCCTCCCGCCGTGTCTCTGTGTGAACTCCCCGTGTCTCCGCGTGTCTCTCTGTCTCAGCGTCTCGTTGAGTCTCTCTGTGTGTCCCTCCCGCCGTGTCTCTGTATGAACTCCCCGTGTCTGCGCGTGTCTCTCTGTCTCAGCGTCTCGTTGAGTCTCTCTCTCTGTGTGTGTCCCTCCCGCCGTGTCTCTGTGTGAACTCCACGTGTCTGCGCGTGTCTCCGCGTGCCTCTCTGTCTCAGCGTCTCGTTGAGTCTCTCTGTGTGTCTCTCCCGCCGTGTCTCTGTGTGAACTCCCCGTGTCTGCGCGTGTCTCAGTGTGTCTCACCGTGTCTGCGCGTGTCTACCCGTGTTCATCTCAGCGTGGCTGAGTGAGTGTGTGTGTCTCTCTCTCTCTCTCTCTGCCTCTGTGAGTCTCAATATGTCTCAGTGTGTCTCTGCGTGCCTATCTCCTTGGGTCTCTTACGTATCACTCAATGTGTGCCATTGTTTTACGTCTTCTTCTCTGTCTATGTCTCGATACGTCTAAGCGTGCCCCGTCTGCCGGTGTCTCTGAACGTGTCAATTATCCAGAACTTTTTTTGCGACTCCTTGTCTTCGTGTCTGTCCCTACGCGTGTCCGTCGACGCGTCCGTGTCTAAATGTGTACAAGCGGGGATGTCTCCTCGGTGGTGTCTCCCGTGCGTCTGTACCTGTCTCGGTATATCTCTCTGTTGTGAGTGTGTCCACGTGTCTCTCGGTGTGTCTGTGCTCCGTGCGCCCCGTCGAGTCTCCACGTGTCTCTCTCGTTGAGTCTCTGCGTGTCTCCACGTGTCTCTCTCGTTGAGTCTCTGCGTGTCTCCACGTGTCCGTGTCGTCAAGTCTCCACGTGTCTCTCTCGTTGAGTCTCTGCGTGTCTCCACGTGTCTCTCTCGTTGAGTCCCCAGGTGTCTCGTCAAGTCTCCGCGTGTCTCCACCTGTGTGTCTCGTCGTGTCTCCACCTGTCTCTCTCGTCGAGTCTCTGCGTGTCTGTCTCGTTGAGTCTCTGCGTGTCTCCACCTGTCCCTCTCGTTGAGTCTCTGCGTGTCTCGTTGAGTCTCTGCGTGTCTCCACGTGTCCGTGTCGTCAAGTCTCCACGAGTCTCCACCTGTGTGTCTCCACGTGTCTCCGCGTCTCTGTCTCGTCGAGTCTCCTCGTGTCGCCGTGTGACTCGTCGTGTCTCCTCCCTGTCTCGTGGGAGGGAGCGCGTGACCCCCTGTGGAGGGGGGGGTGGTGGTGGGAGGGGGGGGTACTTTGATGGCAGCTCACATAAAGTAATTATGAATGAACAATTTCGATTTAAAGCTTTCGTGACTACAAGGATTCATCTTCTTTGGTTCTTTCGGTAAAGTCACGTTGAATGAGAATAAAATAATTAATTGATAAAATAAAATAACACAATAAAATTCTCACGACGTTTCGGCCACAACACAAGCGGCCTTCATCAGGTGAAGGGACGAGACTGTCTGGAGGACAGCGCTGGAGCGAAAAAGCCACGCTCAGATCGCGACCTTTAAGCTGTGTGAGAAGAAACAAAGCGCCTTGACAAAGGACTTTAACATAGCTATTTCTGTGACCAGTTACAAGCTAATCACTCAGCTATTTCAATGCTAAATTCTATGCTAATTCCTTTGTCAAGGGGTGCCTCTGCGGATGTGTATGCTTTAACTTTAACATAGCCATTTCTGTGACCAGTCACAAGCTAATCACTCAGCCATTTCAATGCTAAATTCTATGCTAATTCCTTTGTCAAGGCGCTTTGTTTCTTCTCACACAGCTTAAAGGTCGTGATCTGAGCGTGGCTTTTCGCTTCAGCGCTGTCCTCCAGACAGTCTCGTCCCTTCACCTGATGAAGGCCGCTTGTGTTGTGGTCGAAACGTCGTGAGAATTTTATTGTGTTATTTTATTTTATCAATTTATTATTTTATTCTCATTCTACGTGACTTTACTGAAAGAACCAAAGAATATGAATGAACAATTATAAATAAGCTAGGTGGGAGAAAAGACGCTGCGAATCTTAGCAGCAGTCATTTAAGCGCTGTCGTTCCGACAGTTCTGTTCCTTTACCTGAAGAAGGCTACTTGTGTTGTGGCCGAAACGTCGCGACAATTTTATTTTTTATTATGTTTTATTTTTTATCATTTTATTTCCATTCTACGTGGTGACTTTACCGAAAGAACCAAGAAGATGAATCCCTGCAGTTACGAAAGCTTAAAATCGAAAAATAATAAATAAATAATAACAGCGGTGAGACAATGTGATGGGACTGCGATGGCAGTACTGTAGTGCACAAGTGTAGCGAGTCCAACTGAGTCGCTAGACGTTATCTTGGGAGCAACACTATTTATTACACATTAACACGCAATACAACACGATCTACACTCGGGTCACGAATGCCCATCTAACCACGCTACGGTAGAACGAGACACGGTTCGCTATACCGGTCCGGACCACAAACGAGGTCCCGGACCGCGTGGCTAGAGGCTTCTTCTCCCCGACGTGGATCTTCTTCACACCGGCACACCAAGAACCCCAAATTCCTCACGGGGCCCTCGTTATATACCCCCAGGCTGGGGCTGGCTCCGCCCTTCGCCCCGCCCACTTTCCAGGTCTCTCGAGCTCCTTCTCGAAGGTTCCCGAAAGCTCCTTTGGACCACGTGACCGCCCCACGGCCCCCGTCCACCGGTGCCCCCCCCCCCCCCCCCAATATCATCCGGTCACGTGACAGCAGGACAACCAGCGTATCGTGCCCCAAGGTAACCCTGGCTGGCTGTCGCTCCCTCTCGCTCCCTCACCGGGAGCCCGCACCGCACCCTGCTCGCGGTGCCTCCGCGCTGACCAGCGCCCACCCAAGCCCCGCTAGGGCTGGTGGTACTACATCCCGTAGCCCGGGCTGCCCGTAATCACAACACATTACCCGCCGTGGCTTCGTAAGCCCCGGCACCATACAGTGACAAGTACAGTCACTACACAAGCACAGGTAACAACACAGAGTCTCAACACATTCGTCATGTGGGGGTTGTTTAACCATACTTCACCACTCTCGTCAGTGTCGGCTGGCAAAGGAGGGATTGTCCCGGACTAGCTGAGATGTCGCTCGCCACTGATGTTAGCCATGGCCGGTCGGTAGTCAACAATGAGCCAAGTGAATATGGGCACTGTTAGTCTATGGGCGATGTAAGTAAGTAGATGGGCAATGTTAGTCTATGGGTTATGTTAGTCTATGAGCAAACTTAATATATGAGCAATGTTATTCTATGGACAATGTAAGTCAATGGGTAAAGTTAGTCTTTTCCAAGACGGAGGTACTCTACAAACCTACCGGCTACTTTCAGAGTTTGTTCATGAAGCCATCCAGATATATAAACACAGACACAACTTCAATCGAGAAGATGGGTACAAACTGAGCATCATTGGAAGGACGTTATTAACAAAGTAAAGTATTAACTGATTGTGATGTTTCCATCCTACCTGCCTATGTCAGCTGTTATTTCCGACTCTCTGTGTGTCTCTCTCTATGCCTCTTAATTAGATCTCTCATGCTCACATGTCCTTTGGATTGCACTCTCATGCCTTTGCATTGCACTCTCATGCTCACATGTCCTTTTGATTCAACTCTCATGCCTTTGCATTGCACTCTCATGCTCACATGTCTTTTGTATTGCACTCTCATGCTCACATGTCTTTTTGATTCAACTCTCATGCCTTTGGATTGCACTCTCATGCTCACATGTCCTTTGTATTGCACTCTCATGCTCACATGCCCTTTGGATTGCACTCTCATGCTCACATTCCCTTTGGATTGCACTTCCATGCCTTTGGATTGCACCACTCTTCGATCTCACATTAACATCATGCTAATCTCTCACATTAACATAGCCACTTCCGTGCCCTCGTCGAGAAGGCCGCTCTCCTATCTTACAGTTACATGCTAATTCCTCACATTAACATAACTAGCCCCGCCCACATCTTTATGACCCTTGGGCTACACCCATTTCAAACCATTTAAAACAGTCTGCCCCAGCAGCAGACCATTGCTTTCCCACCTGATGACGGACGCTTTGTGTTGCGCCCGAAACGTCGTGATTTATTTTATTTTATACCTACGTGACTTTACCGAAAGAACCAAAGAGTATAGATGGGCAATGTTAGTCTATGGGCTATCTTAGTCTATGAGCAAACCTATTCTATGACCAATGTTTTTCTGTGAGCAATGTAAGTCTATGGGTAAGTCTATGGTTAAATATACCGTATTTTCCCGCATATAGCCCGCATACGCATA